GGGGCCAGAGCGAACGGCATCCATGGTACCGGGCTCGAGATCGACGAGAACAGCACGGGGAACATATTTGTTGTTGGAAGCCTGTGGTACACAAAGACGTTAGATTCCACAGTCTAGGCCGATATTGAAGTCAAGTAGGATGCTGGTGGAGTCTACACACCTCGTTGAAGTAGACGTTCAGACGATCGAGCTGCTGGTCGGAAGTACCACCATAAACACCGCTGGGATCAAGGCCGTGCTCGCCAGAGATGGTCTGCCTGTAGGTATGAATGAGTATATGATTCGTCAAAACGCGTGGAGCCGAGATTTTTTCGCTGTTTTTCGAAGGAAAACGTACCAAAAGGCAGAACCAACTTGGTTACCCTGCGGAAATTGTTAGCATCGCGATGTCGCGTTTTGTGCGGGGAGGCAAACGCCAAGGAGGGGCAAAAGAGCAAAGTACTTACACACTGACCGGTCTGGAGGTGAACCTGCACGTCGAGGAAAAATCATATGTCAGCCTGCATTCATATCACAAGAGAATGGTCATATCGATCGTCCATGCAGACTACCGAGTTTGGAGCGCTGCAGCAATTGAGGAGCAGTGGGCGCGTGAGGAAAGCTTCCACAGCTCTGATAGTGGGGGGAGAGGCGTCAAAACAAACTCACAATCTCACGCATTTTTGCGGACTGACGGATGAAGCTAAAGAAAAGATTTGTATTAAAAGGAAATAGGAGAATCGAGTTTGCCGCAGCTTCGAATGCGAGGAAATGTAGGAGGCGAGCGATGTGGAAAGGAAAAAGAAAAAAAGAAGGGAGGGCGAGTTGGTAATAAAAAAAACCGGCTGGATGAGGTGGGCAGTCGGCGCGGCAGGCAGTCGCAAAATCAACAGAAAAATAATTATTATTATTAGTACCACTTCAGGGAAAGGCTGCGGCGGGATGATCCGGTCTAGCTCTCCAGTTGCAGAGGGTTGCGCCGCTAGTCCTAACTGGGAGCTGCCAAATTGTGCCGTCCCCAGCTCAACCGCAAGACAATTTCCAAGGGGAAATTCTGTGGCTAGCTGTGCTACCTGGTTTAGGGGCTGCTTTCTTGTGATTAGGGGTAATTTCTGCTCTGCGGTGCAAGTTCTGTCTTATTTCTGGTTCTGCTGCCATGCTGTGCCTCGTATTTCCTGCCGGTGAAGTAGTTTTTTGCTCAGGCCCTGTGCGGCTCAGGCACTGCCTAGTCTCGCCCAACGATGCATACACTTGGCTGTTATGGAGCAAGGGAGTGTTTAATCTGCAGTACCTGGCAGGCACCTACTTTACCTGACTGTTTCTAGTCCAATTCTTAGTTGCCTGGCAGTTTTAGCACAGAATCTGGCATCACTTCTCCTCTATCCGACGAATTGATTGGCGCCTAAAGTCCTAGCCAAAGGCTGCATCTTTCGCAGCCCCCTGTTCGCCCATGGCATCCACCTGCGGGGCCCATGTCAAATCCAAAATAACGACCTCATCTTCCCTTTATAACATCCACAGCTAATGATAGCCCCTGGAAGTAGAGGCTACAGCGAAATTGCCCACTTTTGATAACCCTCCCTCAAAGAGTCTGTATGGCAATGGCTTTCCGAGGTACGGAGTACAAGTACAGAGCACTTCCCCAGATGGCTTTATTGTTCAATTGTCAGCATGTGGATTCCAGCGCCTGTCACATGAGCTTCTCCTTTACCGGCTGCCTGGATTTTCGCTATACCTGATTAGTAGGCTATGGGTTCTTCACCACTACTGCTGTATTTCGCAGCATAAGTACGAATGGACATTCCTTATTAGATATGAGTAAGATGCACCACTGTTCCGTTCTTTATGATGTACAGATCGACTGCTGCCTTAGCTATGCCTTCTGCCTCCCTAGGCAGCCTCTTGAACGAAGCCAAGGACGACTTTAGGCACTGACTTGAAGTGAAATAATAGCACGAGTTGTCAGCATTTGAAAAGCATTGACTTTAATCTTACAGGTAAAATCTTAATGGCATGGCTTCCAAGAGGAGAGACTCAATGCTCCGAGCCGCTTTGGTAGACAATGACGTCTCTAACGTTGCTTCATTAACCCATCTATATGTTTACTAGTCCTTCTCAGCAATGGCTTGTAATCTCTCCTCAATCTCGTCCTCAGTGAGCTTTCTGAAACTCGGGTCTGTACCCTCTTTGCCGTCTGTTCGAGGGCCGCCAACAATGCCAATCTCAATCTCTCCCTTCTTGAAGTCCATGCTGAGAACCGTACTCAATGTTGTGATGGCCAGCTCGACAACCTCTTCCCATGATCCTTCAGCATGCTCCTTGTTCCGCAGCTTCTTTTCCAAATGGTTCATAGCCTCCTGCTGTTTGGGGCCTGCGGCAGTGCCCTTGTAGCCGATAAAGTATCCAGCCGGGTCACACTTGTAGAGTTGGGGTCCCCGCTCGTCGTCCAGGCTGATAATGGTGGTAGCAACACCGTAAGGTCGCATATAAGCCTAGTAGAAAGCATCAGTTATATGGATCCAAAAATTCTATTGCATAGAATAGGCCGTCCTTACACGCTGGGTATACACTTGGCTGATGTTGGCCAGTCTCTTGGCCAGGACATCAGCTGGCATCTCGTAGCCATATTTGTATCGGAATTCTGCAGCCTCTCCCTGGGCACGCTGGGAGAACGCTCTGGCGTCGGCAATAGAGCCTGTGATGACGCATCCAACGGAGGGGGAGATTTGGAAGATGTGAGAGACAGATGAGGGGTCGATGAGCTTATCCTGCGCCCCAAGAGATCAGTCAATGTCAGGCAGCATTTGGGCGATCCAAATACCCACGGGAACTTTCTTCTGTGACAAAACAACGGCGCAGTCCTTGCCTCGCAGGCCTACAGACATGATGTTTGCGGCTGTGATTGCCTTGAAGGCATATTCTATGTTGGAGATGTCAGCCAGGTTGGCTCGGGCTGAGTGACAAGACGCAGGCGGCGGAAATCGACTCAAGCATTCGAATCGGACTTCATATTCGGGACTCTGAACTTACCGACTTGGTACAGACGACCATTGTCGGCGAAGATGGTGATATGTCGGTCGTATGCGCTGGCTAAGAAGAGCGTTGCAAGTCAGTAAGCGGGAGGGATGATGTTGGCGGGGATAGCTATGATGTAGCCCAACGTACCAGACATGGTGACGGCAATGCTGGCCCTATCTAGGGCGATCTCGAGAAGATATATTCACGGCAGCTGCTCGAGTCTGCTATGGTCGGGATTCGAGAGGAAGGAATTGCGAATGTCAAGGTCGATTGTCGATATGGGCTGCCAGTAGCTTCATCAAGCCGTACGCGTTAGCACAGCTTGCCTAGAGCACAAGTCACTGGGAGCTTGGCTGGGAAGGCTGAATGTGCATCGTTACGTAATCTGGGAGCCTGAGGCGCCATTCACGGAAGCAAGCATCCACCCTGGACGCGGTCACTGATACGCAGTGGAGCTTCAGAAAAAAAAACTGGCGGGGCATCTTATCAGTGAGCGCCCAGCAGAAATCAAATAAGAGCTGGAGATGGTTCGCGCAAACAACTTTTGAGGATATCGATTAGTTCTTAATTGATTATTTGCAGTCGGCAATTGGGGACCTGCATTGGCTCCTTTTTCTCCTCGAGTGTCTTTTCAAGCTCCCAGGATCGCCGCCTTTTGCAAAGGCTTCTCAATTGCGCCGAGTTTGGCTTTACAACCACACGCGATCAGAGCCCAATCAACGATCGTTTGCGCCTCAGAGTCTCTCGTTCTACCAACTTTTGAAGCACCATAAAAGGGGTTTTTCCATCACATTCTACCCCAACATGATTTCCTCGGGCGACGGAGCGACGGCTCGTGCGCCAGCCTGGAAGAGGTTGGGCCTGAAGCTCAAGCAGTCTTCCGAACCCGAACCAGCAAATGAAACCCTGCAGGTTGGGCATCCAAGCAGTAGCAGGACCCAGCAGACACCGTCCAAGCGGAAGCCCGAAGCCCCGCCAGCGGGCGAACCTCTGTCGGCACTGAAAAAGTCACGGAATGAATCGCATCCTGCAGCTTCTAACCTTCAGCTGAAGAAGAGAAAGTCGGTTTCGTTTGGTGAGACGCCCACAAAAAGTGGAATCGACTCCAAGGGGCCCGTCAACAAACCAGCTCCCAAGAAGGCCAAGACACCTGGCAAGAAGAAAGCCAATGCTGCTGTTCCCCCTTCGGATATCAAGCCTGCGCTCGAGTATTTGAACCAGTGGAAGTCTGCTCGAGACTCGTGGAAGTTTAACAAGAACTACCAGACCATCCTCATCAAGCACGCATTCGACCCCGTTCTCTTCCCTTCCGCCAACGTTGATACTTTCTACTTATATATCAGAGATCTCAAGGGCTTCGTTCGCACGAGACTACAAGAAACCGCAATGGAAATCCGAACCAAGGACAGCACAGAAGGAGCTGCAGGCTTCCCGGAAGGTTCAGTGAACCTCCCGGAGAAGCAGTTAAGATACGACCAGCTGCTCGCGCAATTGCTTCATTCGCAAGCGGGGCAGAAGAGGAAGACCTTCCATGAGGTTGAATACCGGACTTCATCAGAGGATGTTGATGATGTAATCAGGCGTGTTATCAAGCGAATGCGCGCAGAACTGGTTCTGGACCAATTGTCTGAGGGCGAGGAATCGGATGCCAGCCATACCACCACGGCAACAGTGTCTTCCGGAGTGAGCGTTGCCGAAAGCAATACAACCAAGGCAACCGAAGGCGATAGCCAGGTGAAATTAAAGGAAGGACCCAGCAAGCGAAAGAGAAAGCTGCGTACCAATGTGGACGACAGCAGCTCCTCGGAATCAGAGAGCGACTCGGACGACAGCAGCAGCAGCTCTTCAGACGACTCTGATTCTGATTCAGACTCTGATGATGGCAAGGAGGCTGATAAAGGCAACGAATCTTCCAGCAGCGAGTCTTCCTCCTCTTCCTCTTCCTCCTCTTCATCAGAAGACGAGTCTGACTCGGATGATGAGAGCTCAGATGAAGAGTAGGGAGGGCCATGATATACTCTTTTCCAATCTTTTTCTCGCTCTTTTTGGCGTTACTAGCCGACCGGAGAGTCCGTTTTTCTGCCATTCATGGATACGACCTTTTTTTTTTTTCTATTTGTTTTACTAAATCGGCTATCATCCGTAGACTACTACATGTAGTCACGCCGCATAGAGGAGAGTGTGTGATACCTGGGACGAAGATTCAAGTTTTGAGTTTTTTGTTTTTTTAAAGTATATATAGAAGGGGGTGAATATTTATTTTTCATTTCTGTGGGAGGACCTGTATATACATGTATGTACTGTACCATTAGAGCGCATGAGCGACGGATAGATTTCCTGAAGACATGAGGAGCAGATGAAAGAAAAGAATTGCCTTTTGTATATACGAAGTTCCCCCATGATTAATATCCGTTTTGTTCTTAGACTAAACTTAGACGAATAACTTGGTGAACCCTTCCTTTGGCGGCTGCAGCCAATTCCTCTCATCATACTCCCTGCCCTCTCCCTCAATGATGTGAAATGTGTAAATGATTCTCCCCTTCTGGCTCGTATTCCTCTCGCTCTTGTGCAGCATGTTTCCATGAATCAGCACCAAATCCCCCGCCTTGACCTCACCGGGGATATAGTCCCCCTCGCCCTCCTTGTGCTCGCCACCATACTCATCCCCAGGAGGAAACTTCAGCCCCTCATTGTCCACAATCTCAGTCCCCGCGTTGCCCGCCTTGCGCACCAGCCTCTTCTCAATCGGCGCCCAGCGATGCGACCCCGGCAGGAAACTCAGGCATCCGTTCTCCAGCGTGGCATCCTCCAGCGCGTACCAGAAGCCCACGGCCGACGGCGCGCTGGTGTACAGAAAGGTCGAGTCCTGGTGCGGCGGCACGGCACCGCCAATCTCGGGCTGCTTGCAGATGACCATGCTCTGAAGGCACCGGGCGTCCCTGAAGCCGAGATCCCTCGCCACGGCGGCGGGGCTGACCTCGCCCGCGGCGCTGGTGGCCCGGGAGTCGATGAGCCGCGCAAAGGGCGGCGACAGGGCGTGCAGGTAGTGCCCGATCTTGTTGACGGCGCGCTCCTTTGGCTTGGTCAGGTTGCCGGCCTCGTCAAAGGCATCCTCCTCGAAGAAGAAGCGGACCTTGTCCCCCGACGAGAGGAAGTAGTCGTCGCCGACGTGGTCTGACTTTTCGCCCGTGGAGAAGCGGGTGAGGGGGTGGTCCTTGAGCGAGAAGTTCTCCAGCAGGCTGTGTGTCTCGGCTAAGAGGGAGGCGACGGTTTCTGGGCGGAGAGCATTTCGGATAATGAGATAGCCGTCCTTGTTGAAGGATGAGAGCTGCTCGGGAGTGAGGCCGGGAGTTGGTTCGGCCATGATGAAGACGGGAGCTATGAGAGGGTATTGACTGTTCTTTTGGGGAGATGATATTAAACAAAGAGAGGGAGAGAGATTACAAAGTTACATAAAAACCTGGGGAAATTAATTCAAGTACGTCTTACGGCCTATCGGCGAACTTTTGATAATGAATGTAGTCTCTTTCTTCTAAGTGGGGTGATACTCATCTTTTTACTCCATGTTTTCCTATCAACCCCGCCACAAGCCGCTTCGTGTCACTCGGTTCGCTCCCCGAAAGTCGGACTCCGCCGACGGCCTAGAACGATTTCACAGTAGCACAAGTCACGGCATTTTTCGTATTGCAGTAGTTATAAGCATCGAAGCTTGGTGGTTTCATTATTCAATCGTATATATATGAAAGATTAAGTATGATATGGCCGCACATCGCGTACTGCAAGCCTGAGGAACGTCGATAACTCGACATATGAATAGTGCCATTTGCGTCAAGATATATAAAAAAAATTCGTTTATGTATACACTGACCAATGTGTACAAACTCCCAAAACGCCAAGCTATATATCAAAATGTGCAGTTCCAACAATGAGAGAAGAAAGTGAGAGAATTGAAAGTCATAAGAAGTATCAAACACGCCTGATGGAAACAACCAAAACTGCATTGAAGCGCAGCCTTTGCATCGCTTTCAAGCATCTTGCGAAAAGAATCGATCAAGCATTCAGCGGGTCATCGAGGAATTCGTAGCCCTCTTCAGGTGGAAGCAAGTAGGCAGATGCCGCCAGACCAGCCGCGATGACCAAGGAGATGCCGGCACTAACGGTGCCGAGATACCACGAAACATCAAGATTCCATCCTGGAACGGTAAACTGATCGTCATGGTCGTACAAGTACGCCTGCGCAACAACAGTCAGTCCTGAAAGCTCCTTTTTTTTTTTTCCAACATGGCCATGTTTTATCTGTGCCTTTGAGATACGTACCACTATAGAGATGATGATGAACTCGACCACAGAGACCAGCGTCAGAAGGGCAGAGACAAAAGGCCAGCCCGTCTCGCGCCTGTACTTTCCGCCGCCCATGACGAGCGCAAATGCTATCAAACTGGCGAGACACAGGATGATGGTAAACGAAGCCATGAAGCCGACGGTGCGCCACATGGAGCAGAAATATCGCTCGCCATATTGGCAGAGCTCTTTGGACGGGAAATCGCGACAGTGCGGATCATCGAGGCTGGAGCAGCTCTTGTGCAGGCCGATGTGCTTCTCGAGCGTCTCGCCCGAGGTCGTGGTGACCGAGTACGAAACCCAATGGGGCTCTGTGATGGAGGCGACAATCATGGCCGTAGCTATGCCGGCACAGTTAGTTCCATTTCCATTTCCCTTGCGCTTGGCAAATCCATCGCAGCCTTAAGTTCGTATGTGGTGGTAGCTGCAACAACAGTGCTGGGGCGCACATCGATTGATGACGTACCGGCGACAAAGGCCACCAGGCCAGCTGTGTAGACGTAGACCCGAGTCATGGCTGAGCACACGCAAAAAAAAAAAGAAACGTATCGCGGACGGTTTCTCCAAGAGGACCAAAAAAGAACAGGTGTTGAGACGGGAATTGAGCAATGAAAGTGAAAGGAGACGAGAACCAACCAGCGCTGCCTGGACAGATTGAGGCTGTGGCCGATCGCTGGCGCTCGATCCCTGACAGGTCGGAAAGCAGGCAGCGCAAATGGTAGGTAAGGTACGTACCAGATACTATCTTGCTAACATATTTAGCGCTATTATCAGAGCATTTCTGCTAGTCTTCTACTATGAAAAAGTGCCGAATACTTACAGCTGGCCTCTCCTCCGCCTAGCCATTTTGCATGACGAATGCGACATCTCATCGCAAACACATCACCGCGCGCTGCATGACGCTTCCCCTTTCATCGCCTCCAATGAACGCACAGCTTGAGGCAACCACCAGCAATTAGCCCGCTGCTCTCGTCTCATTTGTCATTCGCTCATATGACACACACACAGCATTGACCCAAGCACAGCTGATAAGACGATCGGGTCTCTCTCTGCACGATAAGGACCATCGCTATTCAAACATTTGCGGGCGTATCCACTTCAACGATGAAAAATGCTATATCATGAGTCATACCACGACGCAGTATCACCAAGAAAAAGCAATTTGGCGCAGTGGAAGCGCGCCGGGCTCATAACCCGGAGGTCGCACGATCGAAACGTGCAATTGCTAAATTGGTTCCTTTCTTTTTTTCCCCTTTTTTGCTGTGAATAAACTGTGCAGTCTGCTCTCTTCCTATCAGCACTTTTTTCTTTTTTTTTTTTTCTTTTGGTTCTAGGTCGCATGCTCTCCAAATGACGTGCATGATGTATATATGTACAAGTACCAGTACACCCCCGCCTAACGCTTGCGGAAAACATGTATTTGTACATTCTTGTAGCTTCTGAGCTCTCCGTATAGACTTAGGCTCAAAAGGTAGCAGCAGCAGCAGCAGCTCCTCTTCCGTGGCCGACCCGAAGCGCCGGCATCGCCATCGGGCGTCAACCGGAAGCTATTATCTTACTTCACTATAAACCAATTTCTCCTCTCTTTCTCTCCTCCCGGCCCACCATTCTTCTCCGCCATGCGAATGCTGTTTAGGTCAATTCCACTCTTGCAAAGCCCGAGATACCTGTCCAAGCCAACCACAGCCCTTGCACCCCTCCTTCGCTCAGCAGCCTTCCGTAAAATGTCGTCCTCGGGTCCCGCTCCGGTGCTCAAGAAGCCCATCAAGATCTCCTGCATCCAGCTTGCCTCTGGCGCCGATAAGGATGCCAACCTCAAGCATGCTGCCGAAAAGGTAGCCGAGGCCGCCCAGTCCGGCTCCAAGCTCGTTGTTCTGCCGGAATGCTTCAACTCTCCATACGGAACCAATTACTTCCCCAACTACGCCGAGACGCTGCTCCCCTCGCCGCCCACCAAAGAGCAGTCTCCTTCGTTCCACGCCCTGTCGGCCATGGCCGCCGAGAACAGCATCTACCTCGTCGGCGGCTCCATCCCCGAGCTCGAACCCGAAACCAAAAAGTACTACAACACCAGCTTGACCTTTGGCCCCGACGGCAAGCTGCTGGCCACCCACCGCAAGACCCACCTCTTCGACATCGACATCCCCGGCAAGATCACCTTTAAGGAATCCGAAGTCCTCAGCGCCGGCAACAAGGTGACGCTCGTCGACCTGCCCGAGTACGGCAAGATTGGCGTCGCCATCTGCTACGACGTGCGCTTCCCCGAGCTGGCCACCATTGCTGCGCGCCGCGGTGCCTTTGCCCTCGTCTATCCCGGTGCCTTCAACCTCACCACCGGTAACTTGCACTGGCGCCTGCTGGCTCAGGGCCGTGCCGTGGACAACCAGATCTATGTGGCCCTTTGCAGCCCCGCCAGAGACATGAGCGCCAGCTACAACGCTTGGGGACACAGCTTGATTGTGAACCCCATGGCCAAGATTTTGGTCGAGGCGGATGAGAACGAGACTATTGTCCAGGCAGAGCTGGTGGGCGAGGATATCACAGAGGCTCGGAAGAACATCCCCTTGAATACTCAGCGGAGATTTGATGTGTATCCTGATGTTAGCCAGGGTCAGATTTCGTTTGACAAGCTATAAAGGCAGAATATAGACTAAAGAAGTTAAATGAAGACCATAAAAACTAATAATAATACAATTGAAGAAAGATCATGCAACGATATACTCATTCAAAGCATCACAATTCAGCTACAAAGTCATTTTTACACCATTCATATACCGGAGACCAGATCAACCAAGGCTGTAGTTTGTCGTGAGAAAAGCGATCTATTAGATCTTTATTTTTTTTTTACCTTTTCTCCACATTCAGAGCGTTTCACTCTATATTTCCCTTAATCCTTTTCACGGCCATTTTTGTCCGAATTTTTAACCCTTCTGCGCTAATGCCATCGCTCATCAAAGGAAATCCAAATCCTTCTTCTTTCATTTTATTTTACCATGCTCTTCTTTTCGTCCATGTCAACTTCCCTTACTCCAGAGCCTTCTTGGCGAAGGTGGGCAGGATGAAGCTGGCCTTGTGGATCTCGGCGTTGTAGTAGCGGCACTTCTGCTCCTCCTCCTCGGGGGTCCAGCTGCGCAGAGGAACGCGGACGTTGCGGTTGGCGTCCTTGCAGCAGACCATGAAGCCGATCTGGCCGGAGGGGTAGGTGGGGATGGTGGTGTAGGCGTACTCGGCGACGGGGAAGATCTCCTTGCAGTCCTTCTTCAGCTGGGTGATGAGAGGAAGGTGGAGCCATTGGTTCTCAGCTGTACGGAATTACAAGAGTTAGTTATCTACTGGGTGTAATAACGATGGAAGTAAAAGCAAAAAACATAGGGAGCTAAAGCTCTAGCTGAACAAAGAATGTCCTGCCCTATGATATTTATGATAAGCGGCTGTTCTCGGAACTACCGAGCGGCCCTCTTGAGAAAGCAGCACTAGCTCTGGCAGCCCCTAGGGAGTCGGAGTATGGATGCAGTCACCAAAGCTGGTTCCAAAATGCAAAAAAAAGGATGCAAATGTAGGAAACCAGAACGGGTCGCTCTAGCATGCCGGCCAAAACCCTAGAGGGCTACACGCCTTCTCAAAGAAAAAAGAGACATACAACCTTGGGTAGTGATGACACCTCCCTCGCGGAGGGCGTCGTGGAGAAGCTGGAAGTAGGGCTTCTGGAAGAGGCTCTCGGCAGGGCCCTCGGGGTCAGAGGAGTCGGTGATGATGACGTCGAAGGTGTTCTTGTAGTCGTCAAGGAACTTGAAGCCGTCGCCGACGTGGGTCTTGGACTTGGGGTGGTCAAAGCCGACGGACATGTGGGGGAGGAACTGCTTGGAGAGACGGATGACGGCCTCGTCAATGTCGCAGAGGATGGCCTCCTCAACGCAGTCGTGCTTGACGACCTCGCGGAGGACACCGCCGTCACCACCACCGATGACGAGGACCTTCTTGGGGTTGGGGTGGGAGTTCATGGCGAGGTGGGTGATCATCTCCTGGTAGGAGAACTCGTCGCGCTCGGTGGCCTGGATGACGTTGTCGAGGACGAGGACGTTGCCGTAGTCGGTGGACTTGAAGATGAGCACGTCCTGGTACTTGCTCTTCTCGTGGTGCAGGACCTTCTCGACCTTGAGGGTCATGGCCTGGCCGGGCCACATGTTGGAGATTTCGCGGAACCAGCCATCTGGACGGTTGCGGATGTCAGCATAAGTCTACACAGCGGTAGTGGTGATGAATGAATGCAATATCAAAAGCACAGGTTTTTTATCTGAGTCTGAGCTTTCTTCCCTGCATATCCCCTCCAGCTCAATTGGAGATTCCAGGCTGACTTTTTTTTTTCTTATCACGACGTCTTATCGCAGCACTTGCAGCACTTGCAGCACCTGAACCGACAACGAGACGCCTCTAGCTGTCTCCAGTCATATCCAGCATCTGAAAGCTTTTGCTCTTCTCGTACATCAAAAGAGAATATTCAATGCAGTCGCAAAAGCATGCGCCGATGCATTCAACGTCATGCCCCGCCATCCTGAACATGGCCATGGAGGGGCAATTGGAATAAAAATTTCCATGGCAGGGCGGGGTATGAGCACACAAGGTGAAGATGGGATGCAGCAGCAGACCTACCCTTGATGGTGGGGTGAACAATCTCGTTGGACATTTTGGCGGTGGTGTGAAGGACTCGTGAGGATGGAACACGGGGTATCAATGAAGAAGAAGGAGAAGAAGAAGAAGAAGAGAGAAGAGGGAGTGACGACGAGCGAGGAAAAGACGGGAGCCCAGACGCTGGGAGCCGAGCGCCTAACTCGCAGCGACAGGCCGTAGCTGGGCCTGAGTCTAGTGGGGTGAAAATTTTTGGCGCACTTTTCACCAACTTGACCCCAAGAATGTGGTTCTGGATCTGGCTGTGGCTCTGCAAGATGGACAGCAGCCGTCGTCGAAATGCTGCAGTCATTTGGATGAAGCCATGGAGATGCTACGCCTCTGTAATATAAAATATGCCCGAAGTGATGCCAATAAGAGCAGTATCAGCATCGAATCATGAGATTTTGTGCCTCTTGATTGGGCTTACACCTTACAGAGTGCTTGCAGCTGCCTGTACCTTGCCGGCACCCTGTTGAGAAACATGACGTCGGGAAGCTTTAAGCTAACCGAGACCAGTCATTGGCCTACAAGCCCTCCATTGAGCTCCCACACGGCCTGCTGATTGGCCCAGGTGCCCAGCTCTAAGCCCAGAAATGATAACCTTTAAAGTATTTTTTCGACCAAGCCGTCGCATGTGTACCTGGGGCCGCAGGGGGAAAAAAAATAGTTGGTGGGCAATGCTCAAGAAGCCTCATGCTTGGGGCATTTCATGGCTGGCTATCGAGTTCCGCTTTCAGCAAACATAAACCCACAAGGCCGTAAATTCTCGAGAAATTTCCTCATCAGGCAATTCATCACGCTATTGATTATAGCAGGCTATTACTCTTGTGAACATTAAACTGCAGCTCTTACAGTTGTAAGTGGGTAGGCAGGCCTGGATGCGTTTGTGGTGAGATTGCCAGATGGTGGGCGAAATAATAAGCGAGACTGCAGGTTACACCTAACTTCGTCAAGCAAATCTACTCATGTGTATGTAGGAGGACTTTAATTAAATAAGTAATGGGTGCAACCAAGGTGGCTCTTGCTACTTATTATACCAGCCAAGTACTGGAGCCGCGGGGCCTAATAGCGGCCAGTACTAGCTGTAAGACCTACTGTATTCCGATTCCTACTCCAGAGGCCGCGCTTTTGCCCTTATTACTCTTTCCCCCTCTCTTCTCTTCAATTACCTGTGTCATATAGTAGAAGGCGAATTAAGTGTCGCCTGATTTTTAGCTAACTTTCTTAGCAAGGTCCATTTCCTGACACATGTTACCGACACGTGCGGCTGTGCACTCTAATCAGTCGTATGTACTCTAAGGTACTGTCACTATTTTTCATAACAGCAACCAGACTCGCTATGATCACTAGCGAAAATGGCTCCTGCTCCCAGCTTTAATAGTATACATGAGTAATCCCTACAAATATATCCTATATATATCTGGTCCTTGCCTAATCACCTCCATTACCCCGCTGATTCTATTTTAATTCTCTCGCTCTCCGATATTTATATTAGTTAACTGTATACACCCCTTGGGATCGTTAGTAATTAATCGGCCAAGTTTATTATAACCAAGCATTCGCTAGGGATATCAGCAATTGTAGCTAAATAGATAAAATTTTAATACTATTTTAGAAAATCTACATAAAGATTTAGGATTTATCTTGCTGACTTGCCACTCTAATGTATATATGATGAGCTGCTAATGTCCTTTATGCATGCGGAGATTCCCAGAAGGAACCAACGGATAGCCACCCTCCGGAATACCATGTGGCAGTTGCTATTTTAACACAACCTCTTCCCGAATACTACATGGCCTTCCACTTACAAATCCTCTAGTTTCCTAGACTCTAGGTTATACTCTCTGAGTACTATAACGGGTCAACCACCATGGCAACCGGAATGAAGTTTTCTGGCGCCTTCTTTACAACCAAACATCACTCCTCGACGTACGACTACATTTCCCCACTAAAGCTAAACCTAGCCGGCAGACGCGTTCTAATCACCGGCGCAGCATGGGAGGACGGAGTCGGGTATGCCACAGCCACAGCTTTCGCGCGTGCCGGAGCGTCTGCAATTGCTGTAGCTGATCTTCACGGCGTGTCAGACGATCTAGGAGCCAAGTTGAAGCTGGCCGCGGCGCAAGCTGGACGCCCAGAGCCCCTAGTTCTAAGCTGTACTGTTGACATCGCAAGGCAAGACAGTGTTCAAGCTATGTACAACATCGTGTCACAAGGCTTTGATGGGTGTCTGGATATCATCGTCAACAACGCGGCTCACATGGAACCATATAAGCCACTACTTGATCAAGACCCGGATGTGAACTGGCGAACATGGGAGGTTAACGTCCGCGGACTCTTGAATATGGCGCGCGCATTCCTGCCCTTGCAACTGTCGACCCGTTCTACCACCGACGGGCTATGTATTATGATTAATGTAGCCTCTTCAGGCGCATTGAGTGCTCGTCCCACAAGCGGCAGTTATCGAAGTTCAAAGCTTGCGATACTGAGGTGGACCGAGTCCTTGCAGTTGGAATACGGTGATCAAGGACTCTTGGCATTCTGTGTCAATCCGGGTGCAATTAAGACAAAGATTACCGAGAACGCGCCCGAAAAGATGCGGGATTCATTGCCGGATCGACCGGACATAGCTGGTGATACGATCGCATGGTTGGCTGCTGAGCGCAGGGAGTGGTTGGGTGGGAGATACGTAAGCTGCCCATGGGACATGGAGGAGCTCATGAGTAAGAAAGACGAGATCATCGAGCAGGATAAGCTCAAGATGAGGATGGTATTTTAAGCCCTCCAGGGATAGGTGTGCATTCGACTGAGAAATTGCTTTCAGTTCGATGCATGACATAAATGACAGCAGCTCTGCGGCCGCATTGTCTGTTTTCTATATTTATTCAAAGGATATGAGCCATGTGGTTGCTACCGCGCTCTAAGATCCCGCATATTGAGTGTTTGCGTTATTCCGCTCTCATCAATCCGACGATGTCTTCTTCCTTGCCATCCAATAGTTCGAGATACTCTAGAATAGGCAATATCTTATTGTTCAAATATGCGGCTGCTTGTGTGATCGAAAGCGGAAGGTAGGCAAGCTTCTGAAGCAGCTTCATCGTCGTCACCTCATTGCAAAACGAGCCTTTCTGAATCACGGCCACAAAAGCCACAGCGCGACCCATTAAGCGACACTTAATTTGCCTTCTACTGTATGTACCTTATGAGTGTACAGATGGGATGAGTAAGAATCAGCTCTTTGTCCCTTGTTATATTATTTCAGAGAGGTACATTAAGGTATATGTCAAGTGCTGCCTGTTGGCTTCTTGTGGACTCAAGCTGCCCCTCCTAAAATAATTAACTAAAATGTTTAGGGACACTAATTCCGCCTTTCACTGTATTAACTTGCTTTATGCTATGTTAATTATACAGATGCACTGCAAAATTCTTAAGCGATGTAACTTTTGCTATCTGCTATCTAAAATGCGTTTCCCATTCTGAAAGTTGAAAACTTAATCCCCCAGAATCCACCTACCCTGAAACCAATACCTGCATCCATACTTTCCTCTCTTCCTCCAGTGTAAGATTGTGAATGCAATTACATCTTATGTCTCTACGTCAGTATGCTGTAATACCTCGTTCCAACGGCAATCAGTATCTGCATCAGTAATCTTCCATCTTGTAAGCATATGATCTGTATTTACAACCGAAACTATCATCGGATTCCACTTCCACTTCCTGGGTGACCATAGAAATGCATCAATCATGTTGCAAAAAGTAAAGAGTGGAGACATATGGGGTTAATAGTGCCAAAATACAAAATTTAGCAAAAGAAAAAAAAAGAAACCAATCGAATTGGAAATATAGGAAAAGCCCAACGCGGGGGTCGAACCCGCAACCTTGAGATTGTAATACAGAATGTGTAACTCATAAGAGTCTCACGCTCTACCGATTGAGCTAGCCGGGCAGACTAGATTGTTGAATGGATCGGATGGATAAATTATCTATGATGGTTTGCTCAAAGGGCACCCCAAACATCGCTGGTCGTTTAATACCTGAGCTGAGGTAGCCATCGTAACAATGCTCCCCTTGACGTGTTAGATTGGCTCTGATCTGCTCTCTCTTGCAGACAGCAAGGTACATGCGCGCTAGATGATACAGGCGGCCTAAACCACATGCAATCACTAGGCAGGTAACCGTGAGGCGGGCTTCTCGAACGGTAGCTCCTAGTTTAGAGCGAGTCGCAAACACCAGCAGACAGCAATGTTGGGGCGAGACTGACTTTACCTTCTTTCGGATCCTGAGACTAATAGTCCAATACACTGTCATGATTATTGAAGACTTTTTATGTATCAATGATCTTCAAAGCCCAATTTAGGGCGTGTATTGGCCTCAAGTGCATGATATATATAAACTTATGGTCCGTCCGTAAGATACTTGCAAACGTTCGAGAAATCTTGCTTGGATATCATTATCTGCAGCTTTCTTTTCCACATTCTGTGAGATTGAAATTAATATCTCTCCTGGGCATGACCCATAGAAGCTGAGAGGCAACTCCTTTCTGCGCTCTGTATGTCTTGTGCCGCAAAATGAAGATGGTTGGCTAGTACATGTTGGTGCAAAGTATCAGGAATCAAGATACTCAGAAGTTTTCTTGTCACGGATGTTCTCTAGAGGTACTGCAAAATTGATTGATTGATTGATTGGCGTGTAACAGGTTGACGTTTATTACTAAATAGTATCAATCGCTATTAAATATGTCATGAAACCAATGATAGTTACAATCTCTCTGTATCTGTTGTAATGAAATAGGCCGGACTACCAGCTCTGAAACGCTCAGTCTGACTATTGCGTCACCATGAGACAGAATATCATCACTTTCAAGCGCCTCATATACAATAGTAAGTCCAGAGCCACAACATCTGGCCATGACGGCTTCCCAAGTCCTAATGACTGAAGGCTGCAGGATGAGATCCCATGTACTTTTCCAAGTAATAATAGCAGGCTGATCTTCTCCAAGTAGCTCGTATTTAAAAAGAGCCGCGAGCTTCTCTCGTCCGTTCCATATTTCCATAGTCTTGAGTTTCGGCATACGAGTAGCTGCCAATCCTGCTCGTTTAAGCATATTCATGATGTGTTGGTGACTCTGGTCTGGCGCCAACAGTTGTGAAGTAAGAACCAGCGATGTCAAGTTGGGCCACTTCTGTGAGGAGGGGTCATGCGTGTTGAAGAAGTCCCAAGCGTCCACCATAAATGATCCTGAGAGGGATTCAAGGTTGAGGCTGACTTTCAAAAGCATTCGACCAAGAGCAGTACTTGGGGTCCGGATAGGCTCGCATTCATAATTGAAGATTTCTTCGTACTGCTGGTTAAAATTTTCGAAGATTGTCAAGTTTCTTAGTTCTGTAGAGGTAAGGTACTGGAGAAGACCGAGGTGAGTTATATCAAGGGTAAAAGTCAGTAACAGCGATCCGGCAGACAGTGTAGTAGTAATACACGTTGCATAATGTGCTTAACAGTACGCGTAATGGAAATGCTTACATTCATCCCTAGATTCCTGTTCTTCATCGGCCCACTCCCTCCAAGGCTCGTAGTGAAGCCCACGTAACCTAGGAAGGCGAGCAAGCATCTGAGCAAGCGTCCGAGGCTTCCAACGGCGGCGATTCTGTTGACGTAATAACACATTGGTTACTGCTGAGACCAAGGGCAATCGCTGCCACCATTCATCCTCTTGTTTATCGTGATCAAATGGACCGAGGGTCATAATGTCTCCGAAGACTTTCAAAAGAGCATAGTCTGGCGAAATCAATCCCAAAGGACTGGTCACCCAATCATGTGGATCATCAGCAGCTCTAACCAGGCCTGTTTGCTCAACCTCTTGGCCAGGGTCACTCGTGCTCCATGGGGTATCGGGCTCAAAGGTAAGATGCGGAAACCAATGCTCCGAGTCGCTAGGAGAGTAGACAGTGATATCAAGTGATAAGTTGTTACTCGACTCCCATGTACTGAGGACTGAGAAAAGATTATGTATTGCTGTCACGATAAGCGTATTTTCTCTGGGGCTTGTAGTAAAGACTTCCGCTTCATGTGCGCATGTTGTGCAATCGTATCGTTCAAGTTCCAAGCAGAGCCACAGGTAGCGCACAAGAGATCGATTGCGAGATGTCATTGCATCAAACTCGGCGAGACGTGACTCCGTCAGTCTAATTCGCGCAAAGGTGTGTTGCTCAATTTTTTCTTGCCATGTACGCGACACTGTAGCGAAGTTGGCTAACTTTCCGCCATCCTGAATTAGATTTTGCAGTATAATATACTGGATTTCTATGGGAAACACGGGACAAGACATCTTGCTGGCTATAGTTGTAGTTAGTCTTGATTATATTGATACCAAGTAAAGAAGGGATGCAAATCTTGGGAGGAAGAGGGTAGGGAGGAAAAAGTCTATAAAATAATATATCAAAGGCTAGGTTCATGAAAGGACGGGTGGATCGAGGCTTTTATTTAAGATATACAATATTAACCACCAGTTGATAATCCTGTCGAAGCTCAACAAGTTCGTGGAATAAAGTTTTGAAGGCTTGCCCCCTGCTGGATCATAACTTGATTTGTGTTTGTTTATATACGAAGTAGGTGGAATTGTTACGTGTCTCCAATAGTTAAAATAATAACGAGAGGGAGAAGGATACCTAGGAGTTGTTGGGTTATTCTGTATGGCCATAGGGGCCGGCGCACAGCGTTCTGAGGAGGTGATCTCCTTCTATGTTAGCGAACTAGTGACACGTTGCCCCTCAAAACAGGCCCATTAGACAACAGAAGACATTTGGATATTATGTTGAGTGTAACCACTGAAGCTGCTCCTTTCTTTGTATATCATATTGTGGCCTGGCACTTCGTTTGTAACAAATTATTGGAGTTGGTTTTAAGAGACACCGCCTAACAATTACCATCCGCCAATAACTAGTTAAATCATTATCTATTCTCCCTTGAGCGATATATTTTATTTGCATCCGGGGTGAGTAGGTCTAGGGAGTGGAGCTCTCTTGGTCGTGGTAGCACGGCCGCCACTGCCCATCTATCTTCTCTCAAAGATTGCGCAGTCAGGGTTCCGTCTAGGTTGGCGATAGAGAAAGCTTCGTTGTAATCGTTTACTAGACTGCCTTTTTGCAAATTTCTTGCCTAAATAGCTTGAATTAACGAATATTTCGTAAGATAATAGGAATAATTTGGTGGCAATGTCTTGGGATGGCAGTACTACCTCCCTGTCCGTCTAGTACACATACATGTGTATGCTCAATCAGGTTAATTAAACGACCATTCAATACAGAACTGCTCTATCAAAATTTTAAAAGGCCACCCTTTTTTCACGCAAAACGGTGGAGGATAGAAAGCTCAAAGAAGGCAGCATAGACATAGCTACTGTCAGAATTTTGTATGGCTACTCCTTGCGACGAGGCAATCTCGAACTGGACTAGATCACGACTAGGTCAGCATGCCTTTACGGCAGGTCAAATGACTTACGATGATCTAGATGACGGCTACGATTGGTTTCTTTCCCTTTGGGGCAATTCAGCACAATGTTGGGGTTGGCTGCAGGTAGCGATAGTCATAGAGAAGTTGCTGGTGGAGGTTGAAGTGCTTCTGAGTCACCATGTCATCTGAGACACTAAAAAAAAAAAAAAAAAAAAAAAAAAGCTTCTTTTTCTGGAATTTCTTAGCGGCTAACACCGACATTCCTTCATTGTTATGGGATGCCAAGGTCGCATCACAGCTGCTTTTGGTTCAATGCCCGATGTAAGAATGGTCAGCTCAGAGTGGCATGGGTGTATCGAGTGAAGACGAATCCTGGAGATATCGGTGATCCTTGATCGTAGCCTTGTATAGAATTTGTTCACCTGCTTCAGTAGGGGAGAAGACTGTTTGTCTCCTTTCAGTTTAAAGACAACATCAGGGACAAGGGGCGGCTAAATGGCTGGACTATTGGTTGTTGGCTGCAGCAGTAGTACTGTATATATCAAGGGTGCTTCGAGCTACAATGACATGAACGTAAACTCCACTAATCTACAGTAGGTGACGTGCAATACTAGATCGGTTGAATAAGTTTTACTAGGCGAGTGAATACAACAGCATTTATGTGCTTAGCAGCATGAGACTACCCTAAAATAGACGACACAAATTATAAAAGGAATTAAGCCTTTTCATTTACCTTTTTACAAACAAACGAAAAGACTATATCTATATATCTAGCCATCAAACTATTTGCAAGTGAGAAGTTGGCGGCAGCAAATATCGATTATTAACCTATAGGTGCATTCAACTTGATGTAAGACTGCAAGATGCGATGAGTATATGCAAGCAGTGAACTAGAGGCGGAGATAGTATGACGTATCAGCGAATGCGGAGCGGAAGACTGAGGTTCGGAGTAACATCCATCAGGAATCTGGCATTACAAAGCACCTGTGATGGTGTTATCAACCGAATCGCCCAGAATCTGACCATTGCGGAGACGAGAAGCTGCACAAACGCTCTTCTTCCAGGGTATACGAGTAGGCGTACAGCGGAATTCAACGATTCAACCGCAGAGGCAAACAGACAATGCCTAAGCAGTCAACGCGATTCCCCGTCCCCTGTGCAGCCTAGTCTTACTCGTAGCAGTTGAGGCACCCTTTCAAATCTAGTTCAGCAGGGATGAGGCCCCCGGCCTAACTACCAACGCTACTCTATCCCGGCCATGGCGCCGATGTTTCAAATCAAACATGGCCCGCCATCGGCGCACTAATCTTTTTTCTCTCGCCCAACTCTTGACATGTCACAAATGAGCTAGTCCGGCCCAGAGCACGTTGCGAAATTGCCACGCGGTTTCCTGTGCCGCTGAGCAAATGAGGCCTCGAGACTGGGGGCGGGAAGAGGAAAAGAAAAAGAAAAAAGCTGACAGGTGACTAGGCCTGGCAGTTGGCAGCAACGCACCAGGTGAGCCAAAAGGTGCGTGAGGGAGGGTTGCACAACCCCAGAAAGAGGTTGGTGGCTTGCTGTTTTTGTTTGCCGCTTGTTTGCCTGTTTGCCATACTAATGTACATGCTGCAACGGCACAGCTGGGCTGGACTCAAAGGCCCGGGCTGAGCCATGAGCGACAGCGGGAACATATCCGGCTTGCTACGGAATACAACCGAGTCAATTCTTTAGTAGGGACTGCCAATACTCGCTAGTGGCTTCAAACAATACCAGATACAGGAGCCAATACGACAGAGTAAGTACTCCATACTATTGCTACCAGCATTCTGTATATTGCACTTACCCAACGAGGCATTTTTAGACTCACTGTTACTAAGCCAGCCCTGGCAAAACATAGGTACTCGTAATTACACGCTCGCCAGGAGAATGTTGGCCAGAAGATCGTCCTGCGGCAATGCAAAGTACGCACTACTATAGGATATCAACCCAGGTTCAAGCCCCTACGCAATGCAAAGAATGCTACAAATCACTTGCATACCCATGAAATAAGATGGGTATTCGTGAGCTTGATTTTCAAGTACTATATGTATGTACATAAGCCGTTACTTGTCCTACACACCTCGTAGCAAGTGGAGTCTATACTACAATTCTGCACGGATACTTACTCGCACATGTCTTCATGCCCTACCTACCCAAGTGCTACTTGCTAAACTTGGGCTATCAATGGCTGAGTGGGTGTGAAATGCCACTGCTTGATATACAAGGCTTGCGGGAGGACCGCCTCCAAAGCAAGGTAGCAACAGTGCCACCTTGATTAGTCCTCCTCTTCTGCGACCTCACCCACGGCTCCTCAAACTGCCGAGCCACGGTACAGCTCCAGTGTCTTGGAAGCCACGAGGCGGGCGGAGGTTGGATGCGAGACAAATGGAAACCTTAAATCTCCGTTTGCGGCCGATGCCTCCACCGACTGGAATGCGAATGACATTAGGCGGGCGCCGCGCCGTTGAGAAACGGAGTGTTATCTCGGGCCTCACTCACGATCCAGAAGGGATCATCGCCGCTACCTGCCTAGCAGGTACTGCAGTTTAGCATGCAGCACGCTAAACTGCCGCGTATAGCAGCAGTTCTTACAACAGGAGCCACTCTGTATGTACGGATACACGCAGCTGTGCTATGGCGGCTCGTATGCAAAAAGAACCCAGACTAATTATTATTAGAGGAGGCGGCTCACACTAAGGATAGGACATTAACCGGCTGTCCTTTTTCACACTAGCACACATAGAAACTACATAGTTGTAGTGTACATACCTGGTACTAGTACGAGTCGTAGTCGTTGATTATTAGCAAGCTCTGACATGCTCTTAAAAAAGTTGAACCAAACTACAAATTGTGTATACCTCCTACATTACATGCCGTGTGTAGCATTTACATGTACCATCACCAAACTCCACTCAGCACGCGAAGGGCGGAGAGCCTCCCCTGGCACGGGCCGCCTTTTGCCACGGCTGTGTCAAGCAAGTCTCTTCACTTGCAAAAGTAAAACCGGAATTTTCTTTTTCTCTTTCTTTTTCTGAAGGAGGTTTATGCATGCTATACTATAAACGCTCAGGATATCTTAGAAAAACAGCCACGCGGTTTCGAATCTCCAGTGGCTGAGACGGACGAGGTTGGCTAGTGGAACGCTGACGTTATGGGCATTGAGCTGCATCCTTCGTCATCAGATGTCACTTTTATCTTAAAACCCCAAATCGAACCAAAGGGCTAGTTCCTCCCTACATAACATATAGCCGATATCTTCATGCTTACCCGCATCAAGCCACACCACGCTGCAGAAAAATGCTAGCACTAGCACCATCACCACTACCGCTCCATATCCCGAGAAGCAAGGGCGATTGTGTTGCTGCACTCCGTAGAACAGCTTGTGGTCGACTGGGTTTTGAGTCAAGCGGTGCAAACTCGGACGTCTTGGGATGGGGATATTGATTGCTTGGTGCCCGACTAGTGCACCGCAATGCTCGCAGTATGGTATGATCTGGTATGTATTGCTACTACTGCTATCAAACACGAATTTTTTTCGCTTCTCTTGTTTTCTTTTTGTGGTGGCGCTGCCGTCCCCCATTAGTAGGTAGAGTAGTTTGTCGTCTTGGGTAGCAGCGCAAAGTAGCAGCGCATGAATCCTGCGAATCGGGCTCGTCAGCAGGCTGCGGCCGACTCTGTGTGTTCTTGGTCCATGCTCACGTCGTACATGCACATGGCCGCAGATGAAGTGCTCGAAAAAAAGCAGGATTCTTGCTGCCAGTGCGATGTGTTGTGCACTCATCAGGATGGCAAAAGACTGCCTACAAGACCTACAAGTATATTGCTGTGAGCATGCGATATTCGTACCTACAGTGGAACCATTTTCGTGGCTCTTACTCGTACACAAGCCACTACTGCTATTTTTCCCATCTTCTATATACTTTTACGTATTTCCTATTCCACTTCGGCAAAATTTTCTTCGTCTCTCTCTTCTCTTTTTATACCACAACGCGTCTCCGCATCGCCCAACCAGACAGCCATACTGCAGGGATAGCCAGTATCCTTCATGTCATGCCACGCCCATGCCACGAGTCGTCTCGATCCGCCATTCTGGTAGTCACCACAATGAAGTTGGTGTGCAAAAACGTGTGCGCTGCATGCAGGGACCACTAATATGGAGTTGAAGATGAGGAGCTCAGGTGGCACAGCAGGTCAATAGCTGTGCGGAGTGTGTCGCCGGAGGTATCGTGTACCTGGGCCATGGCAACGACTTTGGCCCGTCTGGTACTGGCGACTTCGGCCGTCTCTGTCCCGCTGCTCCCGTAGAGTGCGCTTTGCTGCAAATGGCATGCCATAAGTTAGTAGCCGATACGACCCAACTCAGCGCCGACCTGCATAAGTGACAGTACTGTCTACTCAGCTCTTGACTTGCGTTGAGGAACTTTGGCACTACGCAGAGCCAGCTGAGGCGATACTATCCCAATGCTGCCAATGCGCGCTGCAGGTGCCCCTAATTTCGCGCCGTTTCAAAGTATCCTCTGGTTTTCGGCCGAGTAGCATCCAGGTACCGGTTTGGCGAGTCCACCAAGAGCCCCTTATTTGCCCCCCCCAGCAGTGCGCCATCGAAGGCCGCTAGAGCGTCTTGGTGTCTCGAACAGAAGCTCGATGGCAGGCTCGGCTGCAGCAGACACTAAAATGGGCCCTGGTCGCTGCATGCTGGCACATTGAATAGGGCGGAGCCTCCCAGGGACCCCCATGCCAAATGCCATGCTTCAGCGGCAGCTTGCTCAATACAGGTTCGTTGGACTCCTGCTGTAAGAAATCCATCCCCCGAGAGCAGAAACAGGCGGTTGCGTTTGGCCATCCCCGGCTGCTGTGGATGGGGACGAGCAAATCCCGATTCTGCCGCATCTTCGCATCTCTCGTTTCCTTTCTCTTTTTCTCTTTTTCCTCGTCTGAACCTTACCCGTCGGTCGCCACTTTTCCGCCGCTGCCCATCTCATTAGTACGGTACAGTACGCAGTTGCTGGAAAGCTTGATCTTGGTTGTGGCCCTGCTCGGTTGAATTGCTCTTCCGTACGGCCTTTCTTCGCTTCTCCATCTGTGCCCTGATCCCCTTCACTTCGATCGACGACGAACAGCGACGATTGACGGACGTTACTCGTGCAAAGCGACGGGTCGACAGGGACCTTGAGATTGACAGGGGCTTTTCGCGCAGCATATTGACCACCATCGCGAAACAAAGGGGTCAAAAGCGAGAGAGGCAGCCTTGGAAGCACCGCTTTTCACTTCCATAGCGTCGTTTGCTGCAGTACGCCAGCAACCTTGGTCGCTAAACGAACGGTCTTTTTGCAGTTGTCATCGTGACGTCCCGGACGTACACGATTGCGCGCAATAAAAATTTTTTTCTGAACACGAAATCGAAAGGAAAGGTCTGCTACTTGTTGGCTGAAGACTTTCCGCAAATCGCTATTTCCGTGAACGCGACTCCACGGCAATTCGGCTTTGGCATATTCCTACCGGCATTTGATCACGACGACGGCCAATCTCTGGCCACACAACACCACGATGTGCTTCGGGGCTCGGAATAAGAACGAGGATGGCGAGGCTCACTCTCGAGAGCTGGATAAGGTCCTGCGCCAGGATGAGAAGCGCATGGCTAAGGAGGTGAAGCTGTTGCTGTTGGGTAAGTCTTGATTGTCATACGCCCACTATCTCGGCGTCAGCCTTAAATCAATCACATTAAATAAGGGAGGGGGGGAAGAAGAGGTGGGGAAAAGAAAGAGGAATATGTTGGAAAAGGATATGCTGAGAGAGCAGCAAGAGAACTGGATTAAGACGCATTACTGATTGGCGTCGTAATATCCAATATGCTAACGCGGATCGTCTTTATAGGTGCTGGAGAATCAGGGAAATCTACCATCCTGAAGCAGATGAAGCTCATATATGCTCAAGGCTTCAACAAAAACGAGAGGCTAGATTTCAAGCCAGTCATCTTCAACAACATTGTTCAGTCATTCAAGACCATCTCCGAGGCCATGAACGAGATGGGATTCGAATATGACAGTCCTGATAACGAGGTTAGTAGCTTTACCTCCTGTTGCGACGCCCAGGCACTTGATATGATATATATATATATATATGCCTTCTTCGCAAGCTTATTCTTGTGTCACGTCGTTCGCGGATGCTGGATGTAGCCTGAGAAGGAGCAATGGCGTACTACACGGATCGTGGCGATGAAACCTACTAACACAAATTTTATTTATAGAAACACATGGCGCACATTTTGGTTGATAGCGAAATCAGCCCAGACAGCAAGATGCCCGAGGATTACTTGGAGCCGATCAAATTGCTATGGCAAGACAGTGGTGTAATGGCCGCAATTGCCAAAGGCAACGAATACGCTCTGCATGACAATCTCACATAGTCAGTTTTATATTCTGCCTTCCCTTTGACGCTCCAGTAACCACTGCGAGGTTTTTTCATTCATTTTTATTTCATTATCATGTCGCTCTGAATACATGTATAGCCACGACTAACCCTAGCTCAGCTTCGTGACCGATATCGACCGGATATGGGCCGACGGTTATGTACCGAATGACCAGGACTTACTCCGCTCTCGGTTGAGAACCACAGGCATCATAGAAACTGTCTTTGATTTAGGCCAGTTGACATACCGCATGTTTGATGTCGGCGGCCAAAGGTCAGAACGAAAGAAGTGGATCCACTGCTTTGAGAATGTCAACTGCTTGCTCTTCCTCGTTGCTATCAGTGGTTATGACCAGTGCCTTGTGGAAGATAAGGACGGCGTAAGTGCCCAAGCGAATACAAAGTAAATGCGGCACATGAACTAACGCAGACGGCTACAGAACCAAATGAACGAAGCTCTGATGCTGTGGGAGTCCATCTCCAACTCACATTGGTTCGCCATGACGTCGTTGATCCTTTTCCTCAACAAGATGGATCTCTTCAAGGAGAAGCTGCCCAAGAGCCCGATCTCCAAATACGGCTTCACCGACTACCACGGGCCTGAAGACGACTACAAAGCAGCCAGCAAATACTTCCTCGATAAATTCCGCGCGTTAAGCAGAAACCCCGAGAAGGAGATTTACGGCCACTTCACCAACGCCACTGACACAAATTTGCTGAAAATCACAATGGGTTCCGTGCAGGACATGATTATTCAGAGAAACCTCAAAAAGTTAATACTATAAACACCCCAGTTCATCGTCTTTGTTTAATTCGTTTTGCACCGCGCTGAGAACCTTTTGCCAACTCTTTTTCAGGTTACTTATTTGAAGCGGCCTTCAATTTGCCAAAGTACTGATTATTATTATTGTCGCCTAACCTCTTCTTTCTATTTATTATCTGCCTGGGTGTCGATTTTTGATTCAACCAACACAGACGAGTTGATTCCTCGGTTTAGGCTGCCCAAATCGACTCCGGCGCCTCTTCATGCATGATTACGGCATCTTACGGCTTTCACCTTCATTATTCGTTGGCAGTAAAGCTCTCGGCTGCATTTTACGTTGTTTTGTCTTACCATATATACATTAGCGGGGATATGTCACACTCTTCCGTATTTTTACTCTATTTTACTGTTATTTATTTTTCTTTGTTTCCTTTAATATTATAGTCGTGGTCAAATAGGGGGAGGAAAGGAGATCTTTGCAGGCTTGGGGAAAAGGCAGCAAGATGTGTGGTTTGAGTTGCACATTATCAAGACTGAAGTGAAGTGAAGAGGGAATGATATGAAGTGGAACGAGAAAGAGAGGGGGAAAAGGAAACCAGGGCATCTTTTTTGGATAAAAGAAAGATATTGGTGGATTTGTTATATTTTTTTAAACCCTTCTTCAGTGATACCTAACTCTTCTTTTCTTATTTTCTTTTTCCCCCTTTGGTTACTTGACTTTGTATATCTGCAATATCAAGTGGACATGTTCAGAGAAGAACGCTTATTGCTCTACTTTTTTCTCGTTTGATGTGAAGATGGCGCGGCGGCGGCTTGGTAGCACCAGGCAGATTGATAGGCAGAAGATGCTGTTTGAAGCTTAGCTAATGAATATTTTGATGCTGGAGGCTAAAGAAGTTTGGATGCATTTATGCGACCCCTCTTAAATCGCTCATGTGCAAAAGTTGGCTATTAAATTTAATACTTGGAGAGTGCCTTGAAAATGAAAGAATGCAGCGCTGGAATATACCTACTGTAGTTGGCAGAGTTGCTGTACTCGCAAGACTCGGTTTGCTCGATTTTGGCTGTAGCTTCTTGAGCCAATTACTGCCCGCCCTAACTCAAGCAAGTCACAAAGCAATTTGGCGCAGTGGAAGCGCGCCGGGCTCATAACCCGGAGGTCGCACGATCGAAACGTGCAATTGCTACTCGCTTATCATTTTTTATTCTTTCTCTTTTTGCTCTTCATACCACTCATAATACCCAGGTACATCTCCATAGATTAGTATATATACTGGCTTTTTCCCTTTCCACATTACCAGCGCGCAACATCTCGTGTTTGCTCCATAAAAAGACCATCACGGTCGCACAAGACATCTTCACCGTCATCGACGAGAAGGCACCATATCGTCATCATGGCCCCACACGGATAAACCGCCAAGCTGGGCGCCCATTGGCCTGGTCCCCTCGCCAGGCTCGCCAATCGGGCTATAATGCTCTTCGTCCTTCCTTCCCGCATTCTTTTTGCGGGGAAGGCAGCAGCCACCACCGGATGAGCAAGCCCATAAACAGCAACAATGGCGCGTTGCATGGCAACACACTGCCGGTTGCGGTTGCATTCGACTCGGATGTACTCCGTAGCAGCGACCGGTTTCTCTCTCTCCTTCTCTTTCCCTCTCTATTATTTGGCGGGTACTCGTAGCTAGCCGAGCAAAAGAAGCTACCGCCCACTTTGTCAGTGGATGAGGAGGTCACCCGAGCTCTGCATGGGGATGCGGAGATTGAGGCAGCCCGTCTTGTGAGGAGATGGTAAAGAAAGGGAGCCTTTTTCAATGCATGTCTTGGAAGAAACTACAGTAGCATCAACAATCGACCAATTTTCCCCCCCTACCCCTTGTCGCGTCTCTTTCAGTTCCTTTCCTTCTTCATCCTCGTCATTTTTGCTCTCGCCATCTTTGCTGCGCGACATGGCATTGGTTTATAACTTGCAGAGTTGGAATTCGCAATAGTGAAACTCGTTACAGCTCGTTGTCTTACTCTGTTTTAACGAGGCATTGATCTTTTTAAGCTTGCAAGCGAGCGAGTGATTCTTTCCCGATTCCAGTTGCTCTACATTTTAGAACGCGCATTGCCGGTTACGGCTCTACGATTATCACCAGTATTGATACCTATTTTTGTTGCGATCGAGCCAAAATCATGGTTGCTATCAAGCAGGCCGTCCTGCTTGCGGGCCTGGCGCAGTTGATAAGCGCCGCCCAGGATGTCATTACGGACGATTCTCACTTTTATGGCCAGTCGCCGCCAGTTTATCCATCGCGTAGGTTGCACCAGACTTGGCTTGTGGAAGGAAATGGTCTCTCTCGGTATAATGCTAATGCTATCGTTAAATTAGCTGAAATGGTTGGCGGCAACGAGTGGGAAGCCGCATTTCAAAAGGCGAAACTTCTAGTCGGCCAGATGACTCTGGAAGAAAAGGTAAGGCAGAGAGACCCAACTAGAATCCAACAAGGTATCAAAAATGATTCTGAACTCCTTTTAACCCTTTCTATAGGTTAATTTGACGGCAGGCGTCACAAAGGATTCCACATGTTCTGGTAATATTCCTGCCATCGAGCGTCTACACTTTCCAGGAATGTGCCTCAGCGATGCTGGTAATGGCCTTCGTAACACAGATTTTGTCAGTGGCTTTCCCAGTGGAATTCACGTTGGTGCCAGGTACGGAAATTTGCCCAACTTGTCCTTTCTAGTCTTAAAGCTTCAACGTTTAAATCGAGGAACGCTTTTATGCTAACCACGGGTGTAGCTGGAGCAAGGACTTGGCTTTCCGGCGTGGCACTGCCATGGGTGGTGAGTTCAAGACAAAGGGCGTCAACGTCCTGCTTGGCCCCGTCGTTGGCCCTGCTTGGCGTATCGTACGCGGAGGCAGAAACTGGGAAGGCTTCTCTGTCGACCCGTGGCTGTCTGGGGCTTTGGTTTCTCAGACTGTTTCTGGCATACAGGGGCAGGGTGTTATCACCAGTACCAAGGTAAGTCGTCATCTTTACGCAACTATCTGCCATTTCCAAGGAGAATTGAAATGGACAGTGTTGATGTTTGGTATATTTGCAGCATTATATCGGCAACGAACAAGAAACCAACCGGAATCCAGAAGGAAATATCTCCGCAGTATCTTCCAACATTGATGATAAAACAATTCATGAAGTATACTTATGGTAGGCATTTCCGCCTTTGCAAAGTCCATCCAGAACTAAATACTAACTGTCCATCTTTTTTGCAGGCCTTTCCAGGATGCTGTAAGAGCAGGTAGCGGGAACATCATGTGTTCTTATCAACGGGTCAATAACTCCTATGGATGCTCCAATAGCAAGACTTTAAATGGTCTTCTCAAGACCGAACTTGGCTTTCAGGTAAGTAAAATTTCAGGCAGAAGCCCCCGTTTCTCGCTTCTTCACTGCTTTTTGCTACTATTATGGCAATACTGATCGAATATTCGAATCTAGGGGTTTGTTGTTTCTGACTGGGGTGCTCAGCACGCAGGGGTTGCTACTGCAGAAGCTGGCCTCGATGTAGCCATGCCTTCAAATGGTGGCTTCTGGGGCGATCATCTCATTGAAGCCGTGAAGAATGGTTCATTGGCCGAGTCTCGAGTGACTGATATGGCAATGAGGTAATGGTGGTACCGAATGTTGGAGTTTACATACGCTGACACGCATCTAGAGTCATCGCTTCTTGGTATCAATTTAATCAAGACCAGGACTTCCCAAAGCCTGGAATTGGCATGCCTTCCAGTGTCCTGGACCCTCATGAGATTGTGGATGGACGAGATCCAGCTGCCGCTCCAGTACTCCTTAATGGTGCTATTGAAGGCCACGTTCTCGTCAAGAACACCAAGAACACCTTGCCTTTGAAGTCACCTCGCATGCTGTCCCTCTTTGGTTACTCAGCCAAGACTCCAGACGACTTTAACCCGTCCTCTAGTGTGCTACTCAGTCAAAATTGGATCACAGGCCAGGAACCGCTTAATTCTAACTATATTTCAGTGAATGGACTCTCGGTATTCGGTGAAAATGGTACTATGTTCGGCGGCGGTGGTTCTGGCGCTATCACGCCGGCACTCGCCGTCTCTCCATTCGAAGCCTTGAAGATGAGGGCCTACCAAGATGGCACGGCCATATTCAACGACTTCATCTCCGATAGGCCATCTATTGAGCCTAGTTCTGATGCCTGTATCGTTTTTGGTAATGCATGGGCCAGTGAAGGGTCCGATCGTCCCGCTATTCGAGATGACTATTCGGATTCATTAATCAAATCGGTGGCGGATCAGTGTAACAAGACAGTTGTCATCTTCCACAATGCAGGACCTCGACTAGTCGACGGCTTTATTGATCATCCAAATGTTACAGCAGTCATATTCGCCCATCTACCAGGCCAAGAGAGCGGCCCTGCGCTCGTTTCACTCCTCTTTGGAGACACAAGCCCCTCAGGTAAACTTCCATACACGGTTGCGAAAAATGAATCCGACTATGGCAAAGTGCTTGATCCGGCACAGCCGGAGGGCGAATTCGTGAATTTCCCTCAGGCCGATTTTAACGAAGGAATATATCTCGACTATCGCTATTTTGACAAAAAGGGCATTGAGCCTCGATACGAGTTCGGTTTTGGACTTAGCTACACGACCTTTGCATATTCCGACATATCGATCAACTACATCGAGGGGGCAAATACATATCCCTGGCCGGGAGGTCCCATAGTAAGCGGCGGGCAAACCGATCTCTGGGATGCAATCGCCACCGTCAGCGCAAATGTCAAAAACACAGGCAACTTTGCCGGCGCAGAAGTAGCGCAGCTTTACATTGGAATTCCAGGAGCCCCAGAGAAGCAACTTCGTGGGTTTGAAAAGCCCTTCTTACAGCCTAACCAGTCGGAAACAGTAACTTTCCATCTCACGAGAAGGGATTTGAGCGTTTGGAGCGTTGAGAGGCAGAAATGGCAACTACAGCAGGGCGCGTACAAGTTCTACGTTGGGAGCAGCAGTAGACGGTTACCCTTGAACGGGACAATGAATTTGTGAAAGTAATACCTATTACAGCTTGAAATGGGATCTTTAGATTCGGATCAAGTGTGCCGATATACGATGATATGTCATATATATATATGAGAAATTGCACGATATACGTTATATGCAGCTACTTCTTGCTTGCTGCGAGTGAATGCCTAGATAGATCTTTGTTTTGTCAAAGCAAGCGATCTGCCAAGGAGGAAACCAAAAAGTGATGGAAAGGGTATTATTAGGTTAATCGTATTTACCACTTTGAGGTACTCTAGTCGCTTGGGCAATTGCCTTTGAGCGGACAGCCGCCTGTGAACCGTATTTCGTACTCCAGACGTCTCACCGCCTTAGTAAGTGAGTGCTGTTAGCTGCATGCTTACTATGCTACCCATCAGACAACACGCTGTGAACGTCGGCCTTTTTCTGGTCTCTTATATCAGCTAATCAGCCGAGTTTATGCCTGGTCATGATGATTCAACGCGACCCGGAGCTCCCGCGACCCCGTTGCGAGCTGGACATTACTCGTATACCCAGTATGCTCGCTCCCCTTCCCGTAAGCCATCTTGGCAGCATTTTCTCTCCATAGTATACTGTACAGTAGTAGGTAATATCCATAGTACTATCACCAAGTAGGCAGCAAAACAGTGAAGAAAAAAAAGGGGCGGGGGAGGGGACTAGAAGAGAAGTAAAAAAACGAAGACAATTTTGATGTCATAGAGCATGATCATGTAACTCCGTACTATGCATGTATCATCTCTAATGCGACGCACGGTTGTTTAAGCTCCGCTGCCAGACGGCGGAAGAAATGCCGACAATTGCACGCCTCTTATTAGCTGTCAATATGGAGTAGGTACTACACCTACTTTCTTCAAGGCAAACACTAATTAACTTACCTATGCCCTAATCTGGGAGTTTTTTCATCCTTCTCTTCGTCTTCTATTTTCTCCATACTGTAGTCCCCATCTGTCTCGATGGGTCCCCGTTCTCCAATGTCGCGGACGAGATTACGTTTAATGCATGGCCAAAAGGCTGGGTCGCGTAACCGTTTTCTGCCTCTCCCTTGGCATCGTGGCTTGGCCCGATATGGGGCGAGACGGCTGCTTTAGATATATGATCAAGTAGACCGTAGTGGGAGTGGGAGGAGTGGCGCGCTCTAAATTGCAAATAGAGATCGCTTCGCTTCCAGAGAAGGAGAAAAAAAGGGACCCCCCCGATGGCCAGGCGCGGACAAGTCACACGATCGACGATCGCATGAACTGTTTACTCCTCCAAACAGAAAAAGTGGCCACCCGTCGCAAATTGCTTGTCCACGTCAAGCTGCCCTCTATGTTTTTTTTTTCTCCTACCGGCACTCCATTCTCAGTCCACTTGAGTTAGTCAACGTTCTTGTAACGAAGTACAGTGCGGCTAGATTTATGCGATCGGCATCATTGACAGCGGGCAGTACCATCGAGGCCCACCCTAGTTTTTCTCAACACCTGCTGGCCAAAGATTCTGCCAGGGTCCCTCGACAACTGATCTCAAAATTCGGCCAGCATCCTTGACCATCCTTGACCCAAGCAGACCTTTTCGGCAAAGCCGATTTCGAGGATACCCCTTACCAAAGCCGAGATATCGCTGTTAGTGCCAAGGGAGCGGCTTCCAGCGGACACATCAGCACTGCACACGATGCTTCTTTGGGGGCTGCCGGTGTCCGGAGGAGCTGTAGCACTGACGGGGGAAGAAGGACGACCAAAAAGTTCAAAGACATTCTCGGACAGACATGGCTCTTTCCCCACGCCGGGTGAAAATCGTACGATTTTCTCGCAGCTAGTAATGTTAGAGCCTCGCAACGCACACTAGCGGCTGGAGGTTGTCCATCTGGCCGCTCCATTTAGATTCCGTGTCTCGGATTGGCAATGGGTACGGATCAGTTGCCATGTACCCCATATTTCTATTGGTAATTCATCAATAGGCGTGCTTTAGTGGTGTAGCACACTATGGCGATCTCACATCTTGCTACTCCGTGCGTATGTAATGGTGGCGGTAGTAATACCTTACCAACAATCTGGATAAATTCTCGCGACGCACCCGCATCATCGCCGGTTCTTGACCTCAGCAATGCTGAAACCGCTCCGTTTATCGCCCGCAAAAGCTACTAATTAGTACCATCTCGGAAGAGTTACAAGGGGATGGGGAAACGTCAGGAGTGCAATAGATAGACAACATTGCCACGTTCTGGGCCCTCTTGTGAAAGGATCAAACTGCACAGGGTGCTTTGTACACGCCCGTCAGAATCATTCCTAGGCGTGTGTGCTAGTGTGAGTTGCTTGATAGACTCGCAAATATGCCTTCTCCATACTATGTACAAGCAGCAGTACTACTCCGTACCAATCTTTGGCCAAAAGAGAAGGAATAGCAAGGGTAGGGGGGTTTGTACAGGCGGAATCGAGCATAGGGGAGCAAACGAAAAAGAAGAAAAGGCCCGCAGAGGGTGTGGCTCTGTATCAGGCTCAGGCCACCAGGTTCTCAGCAAGGATATCAAGGAATCTATCAGATGTGATATGATGCTTTCAGATGGGGCTAATACGGTGCTCCGATGTGATGTAGCTGCGCGCGTAAGCGGCCGGCAGTTATATCCTAGGCCGGGGTTAGGAAAGGGGCGTCTTGAGGAAATGTCGACACCAGACTGAAGTGGAGATGTTACCCAGACGCACTCAATTCTACCACGCTGTGCGTGCTCTGGGGGTAGCAAACGCCGTCAAACATAGAGCGCTATCTCTAGATGTGAGGTAGCGTACGAGTCCTAAGGTCTAAGATACCTAGCCAGCACGACTCCATATTCTATTTCGTACTTGTATAGCTCTCATGCCTTGGCTTGGCAGATGCCTCTCACTCTCCCTCACATCACCGATAATTCGCGCGGATGAACCCCGAAGCACCAGGCTCATCGTCCCGGTAGTGTAAAACTATAAGCAAGATGGGATTCGCTTCCCTGGAATTGCCGCATGGCTAGGCAGAAATGATGTTAAGTCACATGGGATTCACGAATAGGCACTTTCATTGCATGTACCAGTTGTTTTAGTCCACATACCAGAGGGCAATCAAAGCAGCGTCGGCGCGGCACGGCCCATCAACTGCTTCGGGAGTGACTGTGTAATCTTCTAATCCACCAGAAGAGGAGTGAATTGAGGCCACGAAAGCCACGATCAACAACTTTCAGCACTGCCAGAAGAAGATAAAGGGGCCTAGGGCAGACCAATCGCGAAACACGGATAGATCACCGACGCAGATGATGGTCGCCGATACCCGCCAATCTCTAAATGTCAGCTTGTCGACTGATGGGTACTCGCATGTGCAAAAAATGAGCCGATGAACGGGGATATGTCGAAGACCAATAGGGAACAAGGTATTCCAGGCAGGCCCCTTCTCTGTCTCTTGAGCTGCTTAACTAAACGCAGCTGCTGTCACCGTCTCCGTGGCATTGGACTAAAGCTGTCACTTAATCGCACCAGGCAGCCGATTCAATTCACGCCTGTAAGCCTAGGCTGTACTGGGGTAGATAACCCCGGGATACTTTCAAGGTCACTAAAAAGAATTGCTTATAGCGCGATTTAAAGAGAGACATAGGAAGAGGGACTGCACTGCGAAGCTCCAGCAAGCTGCCAGTGCGTTTTAGCTGTCCTTGGCCGTGTGATTCCTCTGAAGGCTTGCATATACATACAACACGCGCGTGCGCATACACACGTACATGCGTACAGGTATGCATATGCATGTTCTCAGCGCCAAGATGCAAACTCGATAAGGTCGGCGCTCGGTTTCGGTGGCTGCGCATGTATGGTATGGAGCAAGTGACTTAAACTTGCATGATCCTTGCACCCCCTTCGGCCAACTCGCGAGCAAACGCGGCTAATAGCCAATCTAGACCCAAGTTGGCCGAGAATCGAACAAATCTGACCGCTGCGAGGCGGCAGCACTGCTGTCGACCGCAAGACAAAGTTGTCAGAGTCCCCAGTTAGCACGTCCCAAACTGATGATGCCGGACCGTCCCTTGTCCTTGTCATTCGAAGCGAGATCTTTCGACTCCTCGTGGGCGATCTAGGAACAAATCGAAGCGTGTTATAAAAAGAATCTGCGTCGTGTCGAGCACGGCATTGGGTCGTTTGCTCCGTACTTCGTATAAAACTATTACCAGTAGCAGTGCAGCCTAAGATTCCATACCATGTGCTTGCCCGTTGTGGCCCTATTGTAGTAGCATACTGTATATTTCTGACTGTACAATAGACAATAGAGTATGAAGTGCTGCGTGCACGAAATTTTGCTGTGTTATGGTGGTTTTAAATTGTTGCGGGGATATCAGTTATCTCTTATGCTCCGATCGCAATGAGTTGCGCTTTCGTGCTTGCAGTAGCTACTCCATTCATATACGGCATACAATATGATTGTCAGCTGCAGGCACGACGCGGAGCCCATATTCCAGCTATTCCAGCTGGAAGAGAGTCCCAGCCGTCATGAACCAGGGTATTATGCTCTGAACTCTACCGCTGACCTAAATTGCCCGTAAATAATGGTACGATTTCAGATGACGATAGATATAAAGTGGAGACGCCATTAAAGCGTGTGGAGAGCCTGGGGGTAAGTGAAAGGTACTTGTACTTCGTGTATGGTACAGGGAGCGTACATACCCTTCCTGGCCGAAGCCGACTTCCTTGCTCCTTTATCAGATGCGAATTACGAGTATAATTTCGTATTAGCCCTCCCAAAACTGATATATGCCTGAATAGCGACGGATACAGTCCGAGAAAGAGCGGGTTGCTAGCCCCCATTTGAATCCCAGTTGAGATATTGTGACTCTCAAAGGGTAGGTGGTAGGCATATGGCGAATTGGAGATGAAAGAAGTTGTCTTCGCGTCATGGCTGGCCCCATCAAACTGGAGTGTAGCATTGGGCTTCCCAAGACTTGTTCTTTGCGGTTGATGTGGTAAGGCTCAGTGGCTAATGGGAGGTATGGTCCGCGAACCATATCGACGAGGAGGGATGCTTTTGAAGTGAGGCTGTTCCCGTACTCTGCACACATCTCGTACTGGTAGTAGGCGGGCTAGAGCCGCTGTTTGCAGTGTCAGAAGGAATGAAAAGCTGCCGCAATGCTCTCAGGATATCCTAGCGTGGGCTTCCACTGGGCTTGGATATTTGTCTCGTCGCATATATTTAGTTCGAAATAGCGGGGTTGGAGTGCGCTTTACGAAGGCGGGCGCATGAGAATCGCGCTATCGACGGTGTGCCAGTCGATTTCTCTAGTGGCGCCTGAGTTGCCAGCATCTATTGTTTGCCATTCAAACAGGAGGGTTGCTACTGCAACTCTGCGCATGCAAAGTTATCACAGCCCATCGCCAGCACGCAGGTGGGTCGATATAGCCTCCCGCCGATCCATGCCGGTACCGATTTGCAAATGATACTGCTTTCAGAACACACTTGTCCGCCCATGTGTAGCAGTGCTTCGTGCATACACATGCATGTGTCTGCCTTGAGTGCGAAAGTGTATCACCAAGGCCTGACCAAGCTCGCTCATCGTTTCAGGAGAGAGTTACTCATAGGAGTAAAAGGAGAGCTGTTCAGAGGAGTGGAGTCCCGCTAGTAACGAACATTCGGTGTCCTTTTTGTGGTTTTTTTTTTTCTTCTCTTAGGAAGGAGCTGTACTTTTCCCCCATGTCAGTATGCGGAGTCGGAGCATGCAAGAGAAAATAACACGGCTCTACAGTACCTTCCATGAGAGCGATGCAGCACTCCATATATGCCAGTCCCAATGGGGGAAATCTGCCGTAGCATATTGACATGGGGATCACCCAAAACTTGGAGACGGCGTCGATGACCCGGCTCTTCCACGCGACGAATACCAACGGCATCGTATCAGCGGCCCTTGCCCCCCTTGTCTAACGGTCAACAGAGCCTCCTTAATAGTGCCAAGTGGCTAAACTTTGGGGGAAAAGGCAAAAGGGAAAAGAAACGAAAAGAGACCTGTCACGTCGGCAAGCATCTAGCATGGTAAGCAGAGCCGAGGCCAAACTTACTCATGCATCTCGTAAGGGCTACGATGGAGTGATTGGTGGCCGCAAGCCAGTCAATGCCCAAGGATGACGCCGCCTGGCTTCGCGGCAAGGAGTTAAGATTGGCTTGACGACACGCGCGAAGCACTGCCTTTCGAGCTTCGCCTAGACGCAGGTCACGGGTGAGGGTGTAGAGCTGGGGGAGGTAAAGGAGGGAAGAAAAAGATTAAAGAGCAAATCACCGCGATGGCGTCAGAGTAGGGATTCGGCGCAGACGCTATCTCCCTGCCTGGAGGGCAACTTCCTTCAGTCGCTCTTTCTTCTTCTTGCAGCTGCACGAGGGAAGGGAAGCTGCGCCATGGCCCTGTACTTGCCCATCAACCCCATGGCAGCTGCTTAGTTTGTCCACATTGTGCGCGCACTGGTTTGCCTTACATAAGACTGCCGCCCTGAAAAGGCACTCGAGGTCAGTCGTACATGGCGAAATCTAACGCGCAAAATAAGACGTCAAATAAAGATGCGCCAGCCATGCTAAAAATATCGCTGCTACCACATCATGTACCTAGGTAGGTACTAGGTAGACAAGTACTACAGTTGATCTAGCCTGCCTCGAATCTGCATTGAATCTACCACAACATCCCAGTTACCGAGAAATGCCTACAGTGCAGTAATATGCCTTTCGAATCTTGACACTTCTCGTAAGAACAGCCAATCTCTGTTTCCCAAAGTAAATGAAATGCTACTCGTGCTAGCGACTGGAAGGGTCCGCTTGAGGCAGTGCATCAGATGAATCGGAGGCATCCCACTCGAAAAACACAGCAGGAAAAAAAAAAAAAAATTCACCCCCCTCATATTTCCTCTGAAGAGAATACCTAATTAAATACACCCTTCCTTATAAAGCTCAATGGAACTCAGTCTAAACCAAGGCAGCCAAGACATGGAAAAGAACTCATAAAACAGACCCAACAAAGTGGCGTGAGTTTTTGCAAAGAGCCTGGCCTACAGGCAATGGCTGGGGCGACGCATGAACAATCCAATCTCATTCATTTCGTCCAGATGCTCTGCCAAGCCGCGTCCATCCCATGCATAGGTATCCAGTTAGTACGTGCTGTTGGCGCAGTAGTGCGTGAATTGCTAGCCTAGTAGTAGCAGTACCTCTCTGTGCAGAAGATGCCTAGGTACCTAGGCATTGGGGTTTTTCTTGGATTTTCTGTTGGCTACGTTAGGCACGGCCACAGCCCATCATCGGCCTCGAGTCGAACCAAAAGGTCGCACACACTTCTTCCTTTGGGCTCCCTCTCTGTATGTGCCGTCATGCAGCACCTTTGTCCAGCTTGCAGCGATCCTACAGTACTTCACTGTTTCCATGCCTGGCTACTGGGTGGTACTAACGTAGTACAGTATGTGCTACTTCTTACCTACCTACATACCCGCACACCAACATCCACACCCATCGTATCGCATCGTCCGTACATGGCATATTCCCTCCACTAATAAGAGATCTTCTTCTCCAGGCTCTCGCCATCTCCGTGTCTTTTTTAATTAAACCAGCTTTGTACGAAAAGCGTAGAGTACGGAGTCGCAGGGTGGCATTTGCAATTTTCTCCTCGCATCTTATCATATCATTTCCTACACATCACATTTCCTCTCAACTACACACGTCCTAATTTGTGCCCCCAGAAGCGCACTTTCTGATGACATGTCTGCATGCAGGATCACACATTGTCCGGCTGACATATGACGGGCACAGCCGCGCTTTTCAAATGGCTAAAAATACTTGTAAATCCCCCGTCTACAGAACGGCCACAACCACTCACGCAGCATCTGGCTTACCTCTGTGGTGTTGAGTGAACGATAATCCCGGATGCCATTAGTGATCCATCACACACGAGGGTTACCTATTGGGGCTCTTCAACTCCTGGGCCACTTACGGAGTACCATTAGCCCATAATAGTAATCACCCATCAGGCTGGTGTGTGAATAAGAAGCCCCTGCAGGGCCTGCCAGAGCAGTCGACTTCAGCCTTTGTGCAGGCTGTTTGCAGGCCTATTTTGCCGGAAGCGGAGCCATGGCCATGGGTCTTTGACATCATCATGCCAGAATTTCAACCCCAGCGCTCTTTAGATTATCCGCCAATTCATCGGCCCCGATCCCGACAGGCATGGAAATTCTAGGCTCTGGAAGCATCCTGCAGCCCAAGGCTTTCGTTTCGTTGCTATTTCTCGGGAACTGGAAGCTCATCGTCCCCTCGTTTATGGGCTTAAGGGCCATATGAGGGAGGAACCCCTCAATCCGGGGACCGATAAATAATGTATTACTACCAATCAAAGCTATTTGGGCGCTCAACGCTATTTCAAGAATGCGGCCTGTAATATGTGTAGTCTAGGATGGAAGAGCCTAGGATGGTCAGCAGAGTCTTTCTTGGAAGGCTATCAGTCAATTATTAGAGCCACTCCTAGGACCTTCACAGCAGGAAATCGGCCCATATGATCCATCTATGTACGATCAGCCGCACGGAGCGTAAATCTCACGCCGAAGCTGCAGTGCCTACTACACATGTACATCCCAGTGCTCAATGTGTGCGTGTGAAGCGAGTACGAAGTTGGGAGTACAATGCTTGTAGTATCGAGCACGTACAGTATGAGTACAAGTATGGTTCATCCTGGCAACGATCTCCAGATCAGACGATCGGTTATTCGATGCACTCCTCCCTTTCCCCCCTTTCAATTGTCTGATCCCAACGGTTTGGCTTTGGAGACGTAGATGCTGTCCTGTGTCTAACCGTATCGCATGCAGTATGCGACTCAGCAACGTTGGCGAATCCATCTGATAACAGGCCAGGCAATCTCACCTAATGATTGCGCCGTCCCAGAATTCGGAGTCGTCCTTGAACACAGTATCTGCTCACCCGGCCGTTGCCGAGGGGGTGTAGAAATATTAATACCTGGGAGGAAGAATACCCCTTTGTTTTCGAGTTTCGCTCCATTTTAGCGTTATAATTCCGTTGCTACTGCTCCGTAGTTCTTAGCCTTGAGCCCCAGTTGTATGGAAGGGTGGCTGGGGAGCTTTTTGACCCCGGCTGCATCTCAATGTATCTGTACTATAGCAGCCGTGACCAGATCTCCAGTCTATCATTTGTCATCTATCCAAGAGATTTCAAGTCATACATGTAAATGATGACCACTGTGTCTGACTAGCTACAGTAGCTCTCTTGTAACAGGGTTTCGCAAAAGCGAGTTAGAAGCCACTCACAACGGCACCTAGTGTCGCCTCATCAGATTAGATAGTAATCTACTACGTAGTTGAATTTGTGATGCATTCAGCCGGCTGAGAGGGGAAAGCGTAAAATAATAGAGAGAACCGGTGAATTTGAACCCATTAGTAATCTCGACGGGGTTTCATGTGTGAATATTGATGGCAACTTGCCAATGCATTTGGCATATGGCGAGGAATGGCCATCACTCCGCCCAACAGTGTAACGGTGGCCTCGCGCCCTGAAGGGCCCAAGTCGACAGCTGTAGGGTATTGTGTATAAGAAGGATCTCTAGGAGAAGGGAGGGAGCGCAAGGTAGTATAGACGGAGAATTCCGCAGGCGATGTTTGCAACCCGTTTCAAAAGCACTCCGTAGAAAGTCGCATGCGTCATCTCATCAGGCTATACCTGTATATAGGGGGTATGTAGTATTGTAGTGCCCAATGTTTCTAATGCCAGACAGGGAAGGGAATTGCATAGGCTGGGGTGGGTGTCATCCGACGTCAGCCTGCAAAGTTCGATCGCTTCTCAGCCTTCCAGTATGCAGTTGGTAGTATGAACCACTTGTATAGCCGTGCGGTAAGCTCATATCGACAAGGCTAGGCGATTACATATAGCGCTACCCTGTTATACGTGACCACCTTCTCGATATTTCCATACGAGTGCTTATCTGGTTGCTAATACGGAAAGTAGTAACGCCGAGGCTCCATTGGTGAAAGATGCTGCTTCAGTTTTCATGGCCTTAGTCAACATGTAATATGAGGATTTGGGACAGGTGCGGATGGGGGCAAAAAAGGGGAGCTGATATCAGAAGAGGTGTAACGAATATGGACATGAGCAGGAGGTCCTCCGTACGCGTAACCGATCCTACGCCAATGCCCCGAAAGCCCGAGAGCTGCATTTGCCGGTAACAAAACGATAGGTAGTATAGGTAGCTATGGACAATTTACTCCGTAACATGCGCTCGATAGGCCCATTAGGAGATGATAAATCCACATATGCGTACATATCATATCGGTATGTAGCCAATACATCATGCCTTTAACTTGGCATGTGGTAGGATCTGGATGGGTATGCCGTTCGGAGGGTTATTCCAGCTTTGGAATCAGCCCCATTGTTCTGATCAAGCTTGTGCGGCGCGCTAGCTGATGGCCAAATTACAAGTCACACCATATGGTCTTGGATGGCCATTAATTGTACGAATGTGAGATTGTCCGCCCGCTTTGCGGCGTAGCCAGCATTGCAGCCACCACTAGGGCTGCAGTGCGAACATCTGTCTGCCTTGTGCACACCGTTATGGATGGCAGTGTGGACAAACGATTGCGGTGGTCAAAGGGGCAGGGACGGTGATGGGACCTGTCCTTCGCTTAGACAAGAAACATGCCAAATACAGATGATCCAGAGCGAGGTCCATACTTGGAAGTGCTATTATTATTCTAGCGGATCCTCGCTTGCTAATGAGCGGCCGGGCAGCTTGACGGCCGATCTCAAAAGTCTCACTTGCGGCGGCCTAGTAGCCCCGAGCCGAGTCGCCATATTAGTGTTGGATCCAAGTGTCGCAACTTTTCCCCCCTTCTCATCCCGAAGTGCCAATCAGCCAAGCTTCACCGGGCTGGTGCTGCTAGGCCAGGCGTGTCATTACCAGAGAAGAGGACTGTGGGAACCAATGGCAGGAGGAAAAGAAAAGAGATCATTGCATTGGATGTGACTGTTCGTGGGACGTGCATGTACGAGGGCGAGAACATGGCTTGGAGCGGCTCATAGGCTAACGCATGCTAATTTCGTTGACTCGTAAACCAGCTCGCGATGGAGAACGGTCGTGTTCGGGCGTTGAGATTTGGCGCATGTGCGTGTGATCGAAAGAAAAAAAAAAAAAAAAAAGAAGTGGTCCTTGAGTGGGACGCCGTTTGATCGATCCATCAAAAAGAAAGGAAGACAAAATCGACGCTATGGCTTACCATGCCTTAGTCAAAAGTGGGCTGTTAGCTGCTTGGCGCCTTTCGCGCTCGGAACAAGAAGAATATTCGATTCTACCAGCCAGGAAGCTAGAAGCACACGCCACGTGCGATTCCGACACCTGTGGGGTGTTCCATTGAATGAACGACTTTATCCGAACACGCAAGGGTCCCTGCTAACACAACATAAATTCTGAAGCTCCCTCTGCCCTGATATGACCGGATTCCTGCTTGGACAAGGGGAAGATCCAGTAGCTGAGGCACCGGGACGACTCAGCTCCGTTTGCGAGGAGAAAAAGCTCTTGTTCCAGACCGAGCAAGTAATGTATTAAACCCCGCTTTGGTCCTTCCCATGACGCCGAAAATTGGTCTGTTGTGTCTATGTTGCAGCGTGTTTGGATGAGCTAGTTAAGGCGGGCGACTCTAAGCTGCAGGTCTTGGCCAAGCCGGTTTGTCTCGAAACATTGGGCAAGATTTTGAAAGAGCCCCTTTCACTTAGGTCGGAGCAAGTATAGCGAGCAAACACCCTTCAACCCGATGATGTTGGTTCCAATCAACGTTTCAGATGTGGCTAGCTCTACCGTAGTTCGATATGAGATAAGGCTGGTCACAATGGAACCAAGCTCTTGAGTCCTTGTTGAGGAAGCCGGCGGAGTATCTTTCTCTTGTCTTCTCTCGCCACAGCCACGTCAATGACTGGTAACACAGCCGTGTATACGATTCGGCTTGCTGCACCAAACACAAGATTGAGCTATGCTTGAAAGCATTAAAATTTCCGAGTCCCGCAAGCCGGCTAATATGGCGGCACAAGGACCAGAGGTGTGTGAACATAAATATGCCTGAGAGGCATCCGCGTCTTGAATTCACTAGCCATCTAAGCTTTGACCGGGCTTTGTGATTCACTATTGCGAATAGCTAGATGAAATGATTCAGTGGCTCAATCATTATGCACTCAGGCTGCTTTGCGCAGCATACTTACCGTATATCATGTGGGCAAAGCACATCATATGGTAAAAGAAAACGCTCCTGCCTTTCCGTACCCTAATTGTTGGGTGTAGAGTAAGGTGGCTAAGATCGAGGAGTTGAGAAGCAATCGCTGGGGCAAGATCGAAGCTAGTGCTTCCTTGTGGATGCCCTCCTATTTTGGCCCCCATACCAGTTTAAGGTCTGGACTGGAAGGTATTACAACGTGATCCTCCCGATTAAGAAGTAAGTCGTCTCTGTATCTAAGGGCGTGCACAGCTTACAAGCATATTGCCTTATGCTGTGGCCTTTTCCGTAAAAAGAGAGCTGGCACTGTGACCAGGATTCTGCTGCTCCTTCGGGCGCCTGAAAGACACTCAGCTGCCACCAGGTTCCTGAATGGGCTGGATACAGCTCACGAAAGTTGATGCTAGCTAATATCCTTGACGAGCATAGAGTCGGATTGCAACACTCGGGAGCTAACTGAATAGACGTGTAAAAAGAGGGGCGATGTACTTATAACTTAATAACTTTCCATCAACAGCGTGTTTGGTCTCCTCTACTTGGATTCTGCTGAGAGCCCACGGAGATCTTGGCGTGCGACTGATGAGAGGATAGAGCGAATGGAGCTTGATGAGCCACTGTTGAGAGAATTGATTTGCAAAAGGAGGATGTATGATAAAGGAGAGAATGAATAGCAGCACTTCGAGGTGGAAACAAGTGGAAGTTTTGAGAGCATGCGATAGAATCTGGTCGGTGTCCCATATTGAACCGCAGCTGCTATTCCAGACTTTCAAAGAATAGCATCGGCTGCGCGCATGGCCTAGCCGTACGGCACGGCTGGCTAACATGCACCGGTGTTACGAACAAGCCACAACGTGGTTGAAACGTTGGATAGGTTGACAATGGCGCGAGAGCGACGCTTCTGCGAAGGGGCGTCTATTGCGATGTAGAGGCGATGTAGAGGCGATGTAGAGGCGATGTAGAGGCGATGTCTGGCTGAATTACTGCATTGACACCTTGTCACCGAAAACGAGGCGGCATCGATGCGCTTGAGGTTATTCAACCGCTGAGTATTCGGCTTGGCCCTGCGCACTGTTGATTTCCAGCTTCCAGCCCTGAGAAAACGGTGCTTTCAGTGTAACAGCCACAGCATCCACAGTGAATGCTATGCATGTTACTGTAAAGTGCCTAGGTACTTCTTTTATCTCTCAGGTGATGGTAGAGACTGCTATCCATAGCCAACGCGGCGCTCGAACAATAGTCCTAGAGGCAAAGGAAGACGTGAAAAGTCCCTCCCAATATACGGACTCAACCTACTGAAGCAGCCAGTGGTTAGGATATGTAGCTGTGGCGTGTCACTTCTGTCATAAAGGCAAGGTTTGAGGAGCGGCACAGTGTGCGAGTGTTTGACGATGGACGATGAGCGGCGCTGACCATATTGGTGTGAAGCCAGCCAAGAGCAGAGCAGGGCTCGCCTGACCTGGCGTGATCCAGATCCACAGTTAAGAAGCATCTGATCTAGGCTAGTAATATCTCAGCGAGATTGGGTCGACGGGCCATCTCGCCATCTTGCAAGGCAGCGGTTGCAACAGGGTGCCACCCGCACGCAGCTATCGGAGCGCCATGCTTCTAGCCTGTGTGCAGCTAGGCAATGAAATGGTGGACACCCGGTAGCTTGATACGAGCACATCGTACTTCGCACGGAGTAGATGATTCTTGACTAGTTCGAACTAATGATACTGCCTAGTCTTGCCAAGATAGATTAGCAGTCCGTAGTATGTATGGAGTGACTCTTTTGGTATGTCACCAATTTAAGCCAGCCGCTGAAGGAAGAGGGTCTGCTCTGGAAACCAAAGAGATTGGACGATTTGGTTTGCCAGCTTGTCTTTTTTCAAGGAGAAAATCAGCCAATTGTGTGGATTTTCTTGGTCCAAGTAGTGCTATTCGCCAGGCTGTGGTGGTGTTCCTTTTTGCCTGTATCTCGTGTTTAGTAAACCAATACTAGGCTGGTATTGCATCGTCATTGCCATGGCATTGCATCGTCGCAGTCTCCGTGACGCCTGTATGGTATGATCCTGCTGGCCACGACATGGAAGGAAGTGAACAGCAGCAAACCACTAGTAGACCGCTGACCGAGGAGCAAGTGTTAGGTTCATTGAGCTGCGGCCGTCGCTAAGTTTAGGACGATGGCCCACCAATTGTAGGTATTGAAGCCATACTAGCACGATGCATGGTGACCAAGACCCCCAGCCGAAGGGGGCCAGATTTACCGCTCTGACTACTCCATTCAAGTACATGGCGCCAAGGTTCCTGGTAGACGAATGCCGCTAGGAGCTCCGGTCGAAGGAAAAGGCGGTTGCTGAGGGCGGCACAAGAGCGCTAACTGGGGGCGAAAAAGAAATAGAATGTAAGAGACAGTGCAGCGAGTACGGAGTAGAATCAGTCGCTTATGATTTAACGTCGCATCGTCTTGGAATGTCCTTTCAGACCGACCGGGAGGCGTTGTTCCTGGTACGGCATCGACAACCTCCAGTATCCTCAACGGATGATCCTCAGGCCATATCGGACAGAGAGAAATGCCGCCGACATGAGGAGGTCGTGGACCCGGCACACGAGAGGAGTATGATGGCTTGAAAGTATAGGTATACGCGGGATTAGAAAAAAAAAATGCCGACTCCTCGATCCAAGCAAAGGCGGAGCCACTCAACTAGGCAGGCAAAGACCGCCTGTCCAGCTACGGCACCGAGAGGCCCGATTCTGGGGACCGCAAATCTGGCATCTCCCCTGCCCCAAGGCCGTCCCAAGTGAGCGTATCGCGGTCATGGCTGCAGGACTTGCACAGTATGACAAGCAAAGCGACGAGAGTTCTGGATCGTTTGAGATCCCGCCAGCGGCCAGCGACAATTGCTGCTACCAGTTGCAGTGGTCAGCTGTGATCCTGCATGGAGACGCATGCACGATCCTCCCTGTCGGCTCCTTGGTCTGTCGAGATCTCGCAACACTCTGATGACGATAGCACTTGTGCTCCAAAGGGTGCGGCCGGCGTCGACTGTTGGTTTTGCAGCGATCAGACGCCTCCAGCTACACGCCAATTGCATGCCGCATGCTCATCGCGGAGTCTGTGGCATCCAGAGTAGGATAGGTAAGCAAATATAGTGGCCGCTGGTGGTTTACTATAGTAGCGCCATGCTCAACGGCGAAAGCTGACGATGTCGGCAGCCGGGCGTCATCCTGTCGTAAAGGCAGGGTCTCGACCCTTTTCGAGCCGGACTCGTGATCGTAGATGTCTGATCGCACCGATGAGGCAGGCACATCTCACTGTGCCGCGCGATATGGAGTTGCAAGGTTATAGTACCTGGCCACCGCCTTACTCAGTATCGGTTGTACCTGTAAGCTCCCGTACCGTCGAGCCCAGGCATGTTCTAGGCATCTCAGTGCTAAATACTAGTAGGTGCGCACCACCAGCACGGGGCGCGAGTAGGTACTCTCCAGGTACTCGGTACCATGCCCCGACCGCCTCTGTGCTCCGTCAGTAGACACGGGCTGCTATCTACTTCAACATGCATCCAGCGTCCAGCGGCTGCCCGCCCATGCCTGCTCCTTATTTTTCTCCTTTACAGATGTTCCGAGGAGGAGGATAGAAGGAGGAGACAGAAAACTCTTTGGCTTTGCTCATGCATGCAAATGCACAATGTCTTTCTCGCCGGAACCGCTGGTGCTCATTGCCGAGGGTAATTTTGTGCACGGAGCATACGTACCGTATACATCTTGTAGACACACGTGGCGCCATGTGTCTGCGGTGAGGCCGTGCATGAAGGCTGCTGAATGGGGATGGGCAGGTGCGCTCCCCAGAGTGGCTTAGGCTAGAGCCGATGTCCTCCTTCCCCGTTGTCGTACCCCTACAAAATCTCTGCTGATCTCGTCTGGAAGCGGGCCAAAAACCCCTGGTGTGTCTTTCCGTTTTTTTTTTCCCGCTTTATCTTATTCTATCTCATTCATCTTTGCACCGTTAGTACGTCTACAAGTACAGGTACACTCGAAGTTACAAGTACAGGGCGCCTAGCCTTGTAGGCATGGAGCTGCGAGGTACTGCCAAGGTACATAGCAGGTAAGAGTAGGGACCAGTAGACTACTTACTATAGAAGCGTTACATATACCTAGCGTATCGTATATGCATTGTACCTGCTATGGTCACAGCATTTAGTACCTACTAGCAGGCAGATACTGTAGTAGCTAGGTAGCAGGCTTGGCTTATCATATTTTCTCCATGATTTGATCATTTCATCTCATTTATGCTCCATCTTTTTCATGCATCATCTTCGCGACTGTTCTCGAAGCGGCTGGCTGGACAATCGAAGCAGGCCTGGCTGAGCCATTGCTGGATATACGCAGGTGAAAGGCAATGGCTGACTGAGGGCGTCCCCGCCAGCTGGCGCTGTCAGTGTCAGTCGACTTTCTCAGCTCCGCAAATGAGAGGCATTCTTCGCTGCGCGAACACTCCATATCGTGGCGTCAAGGAAAGGCGCGAATCGAGATCAAATACGGAGCACACCCTACGCGCATGCTGCGACCTGGTACCGACGACCAAGACCAAGACCAAGACCAAGAGCTGCGTATCGTACATACCTGTACATACGCCCACGCCTCCGACCTCCCTGCGCAGAGCATGGCGCTGTCTGCATCTCAGCCGCCCCTGTCACCGCACTGGCTTCATTCCAAGCAGAGGAGTGTGGCTAGCAAGGGGTGAGGTCCACCGCATCTTGTCTTGTCTTCCTTTTTTCCACGCTGGAATCCCGCCCTTGTCCATCGTCATCTTCACCCCTCCCGGCGCTAGAGGAGCAAGGTTCGAAATCTAGGCTCACCCCCAGCCGACGACCACGTTATACACTTGTATCTGACCGCCCAGACCAGAGTCGCTAGCTCGGACGCAGAAGCAAGTGCAATCCAGTACCGCGGATTTGCCTGGGTCATGGTCCCCACCCGCACTCATCTTGCTTGTCCCCAATCTCTTGTCTTGGGGCCGGGCCAAGGGCCTCGTTAGGGCATCCTCCCAATCTCAGAAGGCCGTCGTTGGACCCCTGCCATTGGCCACGGCCGCAGAGGTGTACGGAGTGGGCTCCGTACCGGCTGAGCTTTAGGGACGCCCATCACACAACCTCTCGACGCCACCACGCGGTCGCTTTAGATCTCTTTGCCTGGGTCCCCGGTCTCTGCCTTTGGAAAACGGCAGGGCCTGCCAGCTCGGCGACGGGTCTTTATTGGCATCGTCATTTATAGCCTTGTGCTCGCTTCCCTCTTGCTACCCTTTTCTCTCTCTGCCAGTATTTAATCCCAACTTATCTCTGCTGGCCCCCCACGTCTGAGCCCGGCCTGCTTACCCTTCAATACCTGGATACTGTATATACCTACATATGCGAGCCCGCTGCGATCATCCTCGGCCCCGTTTCTAAGTCGCCAGGCCAGTGGCCACTCCACCGCAGACGCCGAGCTCGACCCAGCGCTTTTTGTGCCCCTAGCATTTGTGCTAAGTCAGATGTATCGACGACCCTGACTTGCGCCAGATCTTTTGCTTGCCACACACGCTATGGAAGCGGGTGACGTTGGAGCCCGACAGAGGTGCGTTCTTACTCATGCATTCCTCCAGGCCTAGCCGTTTGATCGTACGCCCCCCCCTCTAAATCTGGAATTATTAACTCACAACTCCCCCTCGTTTCTCTCCAGTATTGGTCTTTCTTCTACTCCTACGCGATTTGAACATCAACCATCGCAACCTCCCCATCCACACCAGCAGCAACGAGAAGCCGTCGACAGACGGTATCAGGACCAGCCTGTCATGGCAGCAGCCTCAGTTCTCGCCCCTAACGCTCACTACCCATCTCAGTCATACCCATCCAACTACTCTCATCAACCTTCGTCCGGACCAAGTGTCGCCAATATGATTTCCTCAGAGCCTCGACGACCGTCCCCCGATAACGAGTCTTCGGCTCGCCAGTCACTGCCATCGATTTCAGAGGTTATTTCTGGTGCGCGACCCGGGCAGTACCCTCCACCGGCCCATGCTCCTCTGCAGCCCGGCTCGAGCTTGCCTTCGCCCTTTGCTTCATCGGCTCGACAGTATCCCGAAGCCGATAAGCACTCTTCTCAGCCTCTGCACTCTGCCGCCTACCCTCGACAGGATGGCCACGCCGCGTATTCAGATTCTCCCAGGCCACCCTTTAGCAGTGGCCGGCCTGGTCTCCCCCCTGTGTCTGATCGCCGGGCGACTCCTCCGATGAAGCACGATGCTCACCCTCTCCCACATCACATGGTTGAACCACCAAAGCCGTCTGATCGCCATTCAATGAATGGCGTGTACTCTCAGCCGCCACCGCCAACCTCTATTCCTTACCAGACGGGGCCGCTCCCGGCAGGGCAGCAGCCACTTCCTCCTTACCAGATTTCTCCTAGAGGGCATGCGGCTTCGCACATATCAGGCCAATATGACCCTCGGCCGGCGCCCACACACCTTGAAGAGGCCGACTATGGTAGAGCTCGATATGACAACGGAACTTCACGATCATTTGAGAGCTGGAGCTACCAGGAAGCCCTAAGTAGAGTGAGTGACTCCGTCACGGAAGCTAACATGGAGCGCAACCACTAATGGATAATACAGATTGGGACCTGCTCGCGAACCATCTTCAACTTCGCAGAGGCTTATGGGCGCATTGCCCAGGAGCAACATGGATCTCAGCCAATCCCTGAGCGCCTTCCGACTGAGCGGGAGGTGAGCGATATGCTCTCCAACGTCGAATACCTCAAGCGCTCTCTCGAACAATGCAGAGAAGTAATCGTAGCATCGCTCCAGAGCGAGAGGGCCCGCGATGGTGCCAAACCAAAGGGCCCATATGACGACGATCAGGATGTTCAAATGTATGGCGACTCAATGAAGCAGCCATATGGCATGACAGAAGTCAAAAAACGCCGAGGTGTAAGTTGAGCCTTGTTATTTGTGACGACTGGCAAATGAAGCGTACTAATATGCTACAGCGTGCTGCTCCCCCTGGCCGATGCCACAGCTGCAATCGTATCGATACCCCGGAATGGAGACGTGGCCCTGATGGTGCCAGGACACTTTGCAATGCTTGCGGCCTTCATTACGCCAAACTAGAGCGTAAACGTCAACTGGAAGCCAGATCGCTACGACCCAAGCCTGAGGAAAGAAGTTGAAGCGACAGCAGCCTTACTGGGGCTTGACAAGATGCTCTACGCTTTTCAGTTACCAAGCCCTTACACGATGGCTTTCTTTTTCCTCTTTGTTTATCTGTATGGCGGAGCCTATGAAGCGGAGAGCATGCTGATGACCCGAAAAAGACATTCAACATTTTTTCTTCTTCTTCACAAAACATTTTTTGCAGAACAAAATACCCATTTTCTTGCCGAGGGCCTGCATGGAGAGTTTTTATTGTACATGTGTTTTTGAACACGGGATTCTGGGATTGGGCGGCAAATAATCATGGCATTGCAGGCGTTGAATAATATACACTATAGGGTCTGGGCAATATTCACCTTTGATGATGAGATTTTGTCTTGGAGACAATGATGCCAAATTAGCTTTGGATTTCTTTTTAGATCGCACTTCTTTGTATCTCTGCTACGATTGCCGCTTTGGCTAGGGCAGAATGTGAAGGAAATTTCCGAAAAAATAATATCCCCTTTCAGCGTTAATATGATACATATAGAGGATTAAACACATGGATTTCAACCACAGTCTCTTTGTTGCTTTCCTCCCGCGTGAATATCATTGCATTTGACTAGGTACTACTACTACTAAACTAATATCGGCTCGCAGCAGCTTGGCTAGTTCCCCACATGCTCTGAATATTTTCTCCTTCTCAAACTTGGTGCGTCATGGGCAAAATGTCCAAGTAAGCTTTTTATGTAATACGGACGGTGATTGGTCCATCTTGCTTTACTAATGAGATCGGGTCGGGGAAGATACTTTGTTTTACAAAGTGATGAGAGAGAGATCTCGGGGAGGGAAAATAAGAGAGGGGGTGACGCTGTGTTTCGGGTAGAAAGAAGGGTGAGATTAAGCGCAGCCCTCCCGTTTGGAAACACCTGTTTTTCTGGGGGGGTGGGAACGATAATGGGCGGCATCTCTCTCTTTTTCTTGCTGCTTAGTGCTGATGCCTGTGAGAGAAGGCTGTGAAGCAAGTAGGTAGTCTTTTTGGACCGCCGAGGAAACAATTAGAAATCTGAAACGAGATGGGTGCTACTCCGATCTCTCAGACTCTGGGGCCGTTTGCGATTATCGCGAGAGGCAGGATTGCATATCCCCCCCCTCTCTTGTGATTGAGATGCGGGCCGTTTAGGTCCTTGCTCTATTAGTCTAGGTCCTGCTTCCAACATTCTTTTCTTTTCTTTTTCGTGCTCGGGTGGCGGCCGAATTCAGGCTTCTGTTCAGCTTCAACGGTCTTTGGCTTTAACGCCCCCTGCGCTTTTGACGTTGCCGTAGTGGCGTGACGAAAAAGCAGCAGTTGGCATCCTTCTCAATGCTTGGCGAATTTGCTTTTTTTTTTTTGCCCCCCCTCCTCACTCACTTTCTGGAAACTTGGGCAAAGTATACAGTACGCATTAAAGCAGATTTAGAGAACGAAGAGCAGAATGACTAGGGTGAAGTAGGGGTCATCACATGTACGTGGTCAATAATGCAACCGAGCTGCATGCATTGAAAGGGAGGGAACCATTAACCTGGGGGAAAAAAAAGAGAGCCGTCTAGCGATGCTTGCTCCGTATTGTTGCTGCTATAATTACCACCATTTGCCACTACTGCTGCTTATATGTACAGCGTATATGCCTCCCTCACCTGGATTGCATGGAATCAATCCTGGGTTTCTGTCACAAAATCCTTCAGCCATGCAGGCGATATATTTGCTACGCTCGTGCGCTGATTAGTGTGAACCAAGCAAAAGAAAGGGAATAAAACGGCTGGGCTGTTGGCGAATCAATACGCCTACTGTGGAATGGGGCTGAAGTTGAGAAGTGACGGCGGACGGATCGGCTGTCGGGTAGCTGCAGCGCCGGATATGCATGGCCCTACGGATGAGGAAATGAGAGATGGAGATGGGAGAAAACAAAAACGGCGAGGAAACAAGGGCAAGCGAATGAGTGCATTGGTGAATGAGCTACTGTATGTGATGTGCAAAAGGGGGGAGCCCATGGCCATCATGAGCCCAACTGGGGAGCATAAGGAAGAGAGAAGCAGATGCTGGTATTGCGCGTGTAACCGAGCTGAGCCCTTTAGATTGGGCTACAGGACTCTCTCTCTGTCTTTTCTGTTTCTGTTGCTCCCTCACTGTCGGTTCTTCGCCTCGTTTCTGATTGGAGGCCGTGACATCCCTGCAGCGAGATCGGGCTGTTGGTCTTGACTTACACCACACCGTCCCATCTCGATGAAGGAGCCTCTATAGAGCCCCAACACCCAAAAAGCCAGCAACAGGCTATTTTGACAAAAGGCTCCAAGCTAGGACAGTTTCTTAGCGCTTTTTGCTCCGCAGCATAAATCGTAGCCGGGACCGTGCCGTGCCCCCCCCCCCCCCGGAATGCCCGATGCGAACAGGCACTAAAGCACCATGTAAAAAGAACCAACAGATAGATAGGCAGTAACGCGTGGTTTGAAATCTTTTTTTTTTTTTTTTTCTTTACAGTGCATGCTCATGGCGTTTCGATTTTCGAGCACAGAGCAGCAGCCGCGCACTGCTAGCCGTATCTGGGCTGTGCACGGTGACAGATGAGAGAGAAGGGAGGGTATTAGTTGGAACCGGCATGCCACGACATGGCATATTGTAGTGAGACAAATGAAGTACAAGGAGGGTCCCCATGTTAAGAAAAAAAAAAAGCAACTACCTATTCGCTCAACTCTATGGTTGGCACTGCGAAAATATCATACCATGGCGTTTGCTTTTTCTTAGCACATGCATAACCGCGCTGGAAAGCCAGCCGGCGGCTCCCCCCTCCCCCTTCAGTCACCCAAAATAGAGAATCGAACGAGTCACATCAGCTAGTCAGTCACATCTCATCAACAAGGAAGACCCAGGAATAAGCCACGCGCCGGGAAAGAGGTCCGGCATGCGAAAAGAAAAGAACGAGAGAGAAAAAGGTTACAGAATGTGCAGGGGTTGTTGTTGATTTGCTGAGAGCTGGAGTATACGTGAGAGCTACTGTAAGATGCATGCAAGATATGCAAGGCGAGACGGAATTGGTCCGAGGATTTAGCCTAGTCCATGTAGCAGTGTAAGTGGGCTGGAAGAAGCCGAGATGCGAGGAAACAAGAAACGGGGGTTTTGGAGCACGCAGCTGCATGCATGAAACAAGGGAAAATAGACAAGGCATCAATCAGTCTTTCTTTTGCTCTGGCTCTCGACCGGGCGTTTGCCAACGAGCGAATGAATCCCCCCTCTGACCATCTCCCTCCATCTCGGTCTGCACCTCTTCTTTCCCTATTCCTACCTCCTCACTTCTGCTACTACTACCTGTACTGTGCATGTGGCATTAAAGGAGGGGCGTGTTGGTGTAAAACCTCATTGTCGTACGAGGCTGGAGAGGGTGGCGCGGAAAGATCGGACAGGCGGGGAGCCTGCTGGACTTCATCGGACACAAGAACGCGGAATCTTAGTCTCATGGTGTCTTCCATCTTGGTGTACAGTATGCTTGTGATACGCTGGTGCTCTTGTGTGTTGGCCCTTGCTCTTCTTCGTTTTTTCCTTATCTTTTTAATCTTGTCTGTCTGGCCCCCCCCCCCCCCCCCCCCCCCCCCCCCCTCTCCATCTTTACGGCATGAATCTTGGTTCGCATAGACTTATTCAACAAGAATGTGTTACGGCCACACCAACAATAAAACTTTCTAAACAAGGAGTGACGCTGGACGCGCCGCTGTGGTACGGTGGGATGTGGACAGATATAGAATCACATACATGGCCAGCGTCAGCGGGGTTATTTTGTGTTACTTGACACATGGATGGATAGAGAGGGAGAGATATAGAGTCAAAGCCAGCAGCCAATCTGTTTAGTATTCCCATCTCAAGCCACAATCTATACACAACCATGGATCAAGGATGGCTGGCAAAACAGTCACGCAAAAAAAAAAAAAAAAAAAAAAAAAAAAAAAAAAAAAGACAAGCCACGAGCTTGCAACCCCGTCATCACAGAGAAGAAGCTCAGACATGCCAGGTCGCACTCTGTGTGCGTTGGCATGTATAGAGGCTAGCTGCCGTAGCCAAATCTGTTTCCAACTGATATGTGAGAGGGCAATAGGGCAAAAAAGGGGAAGGCAGCCGGGCTGTGGCGTTAAGCTCGTATTGTGTGCGGAGTACAGAGATGCACCACGAGTAACTGCAATTCATCTTTTCTGCTTCTTTTTTTATTATTATTATTTTATTTGTCCTTTATCTTGCATGTATGGACATATGTAAGATATACAGTATTTGCCCTCATTCACTGGATGCCAAAAATTCAAAATAATGAAGAGCATAGATGTCCGTTTTTGGTATGCAGTGCGCGAGTACTTTGTACCTGTTTGATTGTTGCAAACGGCTCGATCCCCCCTGTCCATGTGGCTTTTTTTTTTTTTTTTTTTTTTTGTGGCGCGCCAGAAAGAGCTGGGGGTGTGTGTTTCCTGTGATGGGAAGTGGGAAGTGTATGGAGTACAGAGTACAGAGCTGAGCTGACGCTGTTTAATTTGCCGGGACGATGGAAAGCGAAGCATGCCTGACTCTTGCTCGCTCCCGTACTAACGCTCCATGCCTTGCAGCAACAATCCGTGGCGTTGACGGGGATTAAGCGTCTGCCGGCATGCTCTAGACGGTCCCTCCGCGCAGAACTTAGCGGGCTGGTGTGCCTGTGCGTCGGGCAAAGCAAGTGCATTGTTCATGCCTGCACCCGAAGCTATGCGGCTGTTCCTCTCCCATCTTCCATCAATCGACGATGCTTGCCGTATACCACACGAGTAAGGGCCAGGGTGCCCGTCGACGGCCAAGCAGGGGGTCTCCACGCCTTCGATCGCAGCCGATGACCAACAACCAGACGGAGTACCCTGCAGCGATCATGGGTATCCACGCGCTTGCCCTTTTCTGCCCACCACGATAGCTGATGCTGCTCGACTCGCCTGGGATAGATTGCGACAGGACAAGTACGGTAATCTCCATGTGGCCATCGTCCCCTGGGCAGGGTAGCACTGCTAACTGCAGCTGCAGCGAGCAAGCAAAGCAAGCAGCTGCCACGACAAACAAATGCAGCCAAACTCGGCATATCACAGCCTTGGATTCCTTCGTGCAGGGGAGACCACCAGAGGAGGACCGGTAAACAAGGAGAGCAGCAAGCAGCCCCTTGTCGACCTGCGGCTGGCCTTTCCAGAGCGACGGCGGTTGCATCGCGTTCGTTACGCGGAGCAGAAAAGGCTCTGGTCGTCAGTCGCAGAAAATCTTGATCTCAGCTTCCGTCAAATCCCGGAGAGCGCCGGCCGCTGCCCAAGCCATGGTTACGCTTGGGCATCATGGCATATGCAGCTATGCAGCAGGACAGTGCCACAACTGCACGACGATGGCTGGGATGTTGCTTGAACGGCTCTGCTGAAGTAAAGAGTGGGTATAAGTGGATAGTTGAGGGATGGCGATGTGAGGCAAGGCAAAGGCAGTGTTCCCATGATGCCGCCGCTGCGTCCTTGTACAAGCAGCAGTGCTGCCACAGCTCACTGCTGCTGTATAGTATAAGCATATGCACGAGTGTGCGCGTGCATCAATCATGTGGATGGCCGTTTGATGGCCCGAGCAGCCTCGCTTTGCGCAGCTTGAAAAGGGAGTGGGCAGAATGCATCGTGCCGGGTTTGAGCGGCACCAATGGCCGAGCTGAGAGAGTTGACGCACAAACCGAGCAAGATGGAGCCAGGGACAAGGGGGGGGAGTCTATCTTTGATTTCCTTTGGACCTCGTGAGAAAGCCCGGGGCAGTTGTTTCCCCTTACTCGTGTCAGTCCATCTTTAGCGGTATCCTCCAACTCGTACTATACGGCACCGCTACGGCTATCGCTATTCTAGATTAGCACTTCATCGTCCTGAAAGCTAATCTAGAAAGCCAGCTGCTGCTTGCTAGCCGTGCTGGGGCTCCCAGGTGATTGGTACACCCCCGTCATTCTGGGTCCCTCCTCTACCAGATCATTTTACGATTGGGAACGATCCACTGCTCCGCCACTTGCTTCATCGAATATCGAACTAGTTCAATCGTATTAGCAAATCTACAGGCGTTCTAGTGACTGGAGACGTAGGCTAGGCACAAGCAGGTAAGCTCTTTCACAAGTTACGTTTGAGTGTTCAGGTGGCTTAGTAGGCGGCAGAGAACAGGTACAGAGCAGACAGTATCACTCTGCTCCATGCCCAAGCAAGGCATCAAAACAGCCTAGGCATTCATGCATCCGCAAACTGCCTACTTGCCCAGGAGCACTTGGCATGGAACTCGTACTGTTTTCTTTCTCCAGGATAAATCGAACCACGCCATCCAGGCCAATCTCCAACCTTGTCCGCCCTTGAGCAATGAGACTTCAACCGTCAAGCCACCGTTAGGACGCCGCAACCAATTATGGACTCCAAAACCGGGTATAGCCTCCTTCTAATTATCCATGTGAGTCGGCAGCCAGCCACGCGGGTCTAGAGTCTCAGCCCCTCCTCAGCCCTTCCTGGCGGCCACTCCACCATCGTGCAGCCGGTGTAGGAAAAAGCAAACAAAAGAGAAGGGCAAAGGATCGTCACCCTTGCTCGTCTCGGAGAAATTAGGGCTTCGTTTGATGCAAAAGGGAGAGGATTTGGGAAAAGAAAAATATGAGTTATGACGCTGGTGTGGTGGTGGTGGTGGTGGTGGTGGTGGTGGTGGTGAAGGTAGCCCGTCCTTGGGTGACAGACAGCAAAAGGGATACTAGATACTTGGCGCCGGATGCGGCTGTCACTGACACGCGCCGGCTCGTGCTCGAGATACACGGAAGCAAATCGACAAGTTCTCGTATAAACGGCCGGTCAGCGGATAAACGCAGAGAAGAAGCGGAGCTGCCCTGCCCTGGCCCACGCATTGTCGTTGGTGTAACCCGGAAGCTCGCCGTTTGCTGTGTCGTCCATAGGGCCAGCACATTTTCTTGTAGCATTGCATGCTGAATGCTACCGAGTACAGAGTACAGAGTACAGAGTACAGACTACTACTGCTGCTGCTGCTACGACTGTTGTTGCTACTAGTCACCGCTGCGATGGGCAAAGCCCAATGGAAAGATTAAGGCTTCCCTTGAATGGACCCCGATGTTCCATCTGACCCCATCTGACCCGAAATGACAGGAATTCGGGAACGGGGCGGGTGATTGCAACAATGTCTCAACCCTTTTTTCATTGGCTCATGGGGGCGCTTCTGAGATTTGGGGGTGGCATCATCTGAATCAACCTCCACACCATTGAGAATCGTTCACCGATCAACGGGGCCCAAGGGGTTTTGAGCACATGGGAAGTGAGATCGACTCAGATTACTGGACAGGGGATTCGGAGTTTTGACGACGAGAGAGACATCTTGTGGGCTCCGGCACGCTCTGCAGCTGTCATTGCAGACATGTTGCTTTGGCCTACCAAGGACACCAGCAAGTGGCTTGTGCAAAAGCAACAACCGAGTGCAGGTATCCATGACAAACAACCCCAGACCGACTCAAGATGGAACATCGTATATCTGGGGCACCGAAGGCGCAGAGAAGGAAAAGAGCTAGTTGACACTAACACGGGGAGAGCCACTACTTCGCCGATTCTTCAGCTGGACTTATGGAGCTTCGGCGAGATAAGCTACTGGCTCGGCCTGGGCCATCTCGGAAACAAAATGTCGGATTTGATAGGCGCCGACACCTTCAGCCGCACCGTGGACTCGCGGATCTGCCCGGAAACAGACCAAGGTGCGTTCTACACTTTGTGTCTTGAAGCGAGGCAAAACCCATACAGTACATCCCTAGCATTGCTATGTTTAGCAACCTCGCGCCAAAAACATTCCGCCCTCATTTCTTTTTCCTGTTCCCCCTTTGACAGCGAGGCCGGCACGTGGCCCCCGCTGCCTCTCCCTTCGAGTCGGTGACGTCGACTAGCCGTGCGGCTGAAGCGATCCAAGACATGGCGCTTGAGCCAAATGAGCAACCCGGACAGATTTCTCCGCTCAGGCATCATTTCGCAAAGGCAAGGGAGAGAAAGAGAGGGGGTCGGTGCGTCTGTCCAGCTCTAGAATTATACCTCCTGGAGAGAGGGAATACCTAGTAGGTAATGACGGTACGGAGTTATAGTCGGGGGCAATGGCAATAGTAGTAGCAGTAGTAGTATGTAGTAGTGCTGCCGCTACCGCTGCGTGTGCTTGCACGAGAACAAAAACCTCATCCACAGCATGGTCGATAGATCTGATAGGCACACGCCGCCTTGATACGCGCACGGCGCACACCTTTCCCCTCTCAGCGAATTGCTTCTCCACCAATAGACGACCGCAGATCGCCCCTAAACTTACAGTGCGCCAGATCAGATCAAGATCAGGATCAGGACCTTTCTGCTGCTGCCGCGAGATCTCTCCCGGCGGCCATGTTCTCACCCCCCCCTTCCTTTTCCGATCTTGACCGTCAGAGTGCAAGATTGCGTTTAGATATGAGATCTGGTTGCTTTTCTTTTGTTGCTCGATATACCGAGCTGGTTCACTGGCGCAAGATACTGCGCTACCAGCTCTAGGTGACTGACTTGCACCTCTTTGAAATTTGGCTCTTCACTTGGCCCTTTCTCCTGCCTTTACCCTGTCTGTCCGGCTGAGTATTGTACTCCGCCTTTTTCGTGATGTGGAGTTGGGCTGTGATGGACAAACGCACGCTCCATCCACCCAATCTCAGCCCGGCCGCATCTAGCAGCAACTCACGTACACACCCACTTAGCACCTTGGCTAACAAGATCGCTGGTATCCAGTACTTTCTCCTACCGTTCCGTAGGCGCCTTCAAAGCCTACTAGCGTCTTCAGAGTGCTTACGGTGTGAATACGCCTTCTTCCCAAAACGCACAAGTGATACGCCATAACTGAGGGATAGCAAACACGGAACCCATCTGGTTTCCACTCACAAGCAGCGCCCCGTCAACCCATGCAATAATCCCTCGTACGAAGGTGCTACAGAATACTAGTGCAGACTTTTTCCTTCCTTCGTATCTACTAGTACTACAAACTACGCTGGTATACTGTCGTATGCTCTAGTTCATTGAGCTGGTTGAAAGCCGCAACTGACGCTGACCTCCTTGTTGAAGAATAGCCCGCATGGAATCTTGATATGCAGGCCGGGTCTCTGCATAAAGGAGAGGGAAGAGCGGTAAGTTCCGGGGGAAGCTAATTACGTCGTCGCATCGTTGGGTCTTGCTCCATATCTCATCTCATGTTTATGCATAGCTATGACTAGTCATATTGACGCTACCCACTAACGGAATGTTTTTAACACTGTATTTGTTCTCTTATTCTTTCCGAAAGGCCAGGAGAGGAATGATCTCACTAGGGAGTTTAAGGGAAAAGCAGAAAAAAAAGAGTGTTTGAGAGAGAGAAGGTGTACAGATATGCCAGTAATACGTAGTCATACGGTTTGGATTATATCGCGTGCCCAATTGCCACGCGTGCGCACACTGCAGAATAAGACATCATTGAGAGACATCCGATACCCCTGATAGACACTTTTCTGTTTCTCTTCTGTTCGTTTTCCCCACCGGTTTAGTTGTACCAGCTGGCGCTTTTTTCTCCACGTCAAAAAAATAAATATAACCAAGCTAGTGGAATCAAGATTAGAAGAGAGAATCAAGAAAGGTCATACGAATACCCAGAACGGGACGATTACCCGAGACATACAGCGCGGCCTCGGAATGCTGTGATTGACCGATAGACCGGGAGTGTCCTCACTACTACCTGCTACCATCTCGACGGGGGCCCCCCATTCCAGCCCTAGGTTTTGACAGCCCAAATGAAAAACAAAAAAAATACATTCTCCACTAACCCTCTGTATGGACGGCGATGTTCCTAGCTGAGACTCCAGAAAGGGGGGGCTTTACCGCTGAACGATATGTCACTTTAGTCTTGCTCGTTCGGATCCGACGGTAAAAGGCCCCTCCCCAAAGCAAGGGAGGAAGAGAGACCATCGCTTCTCTGGGGGGGCGTTTTTCTTTTTTCGTCGTGTTTTTCCTTTCTTGTTCTCGGGTATCGGACATTTGGATTTACGGGAAGCTACAGCGTAGTGCTGGCTAGTAATATTTTTTGATCATTTTTCTTGTTTTCAATGCTTTCTTCTATAGATTATTGATGGCGCTACTGCCGTGTTGGCGACCCGATCTGTGCTTTAAGCCCCCTCCCAATTTTTTTTTTTCTCTAGAACTACACCTTGGTATTATACAAGTACCTAGTAGTATGATGTCAATGGGGCGAAAGGGAAGCTTAGCTTTGGCTGGTACTGGTTCTTGATTGGATGTACGGAGCGATCTCCTTTGGACGAGTTAGAATTTAGAAGCGCGGGAAGGAGTGCTGATACATACAGGCAGATCTGATCTCAATTTTTTTTTTTAAGCATTTTAGAGAATGGCACTTGCTCAGATCTCGCACCCTCTTGTGTGTCTCTATTATTTATTTATTTATGGGCTAGTTTAATTAGGTAATGATATGCGTTTTGGGTCACCTGGGCTAAATTTTTCAAGACACACCTCAGAGAGAGAGAGAGAGAGAGTAAAAAAGAGGCGAGACAAATTTCAGGGCCCGTTGTTGTTGGTGGTATAGTAGTAGTATCATCAGCAGGGGGGGGGGATTGGAGAGCGGGATGATGCGCGTTTTTTCACTTTTCTTTTTTCTTCTTCTTCTTCTTCTTGTGGCAATGACCATTTACTGTATACGGCAAGAATGGGTTTGAGACAATTACCGTTGGAGTGTTCAGTTGGAAACAGATGCTGGTCGTGTTAGTTCGGTTCCTGGTACATAGAGGTGTTCTATTCTTGGCTCTCTCGCGCTCTGTCTCTCTCTCCCTCTCCCTTGGGGATGGGCTGTGGGAGGTAATGGCACGGACTGTCTTTTTTTTTGTAACGAAACTGAGAACTGATGATACTGGTGATTGCACTGAACAAGTTGGCGTAGAGGGGTTAGGCTGAATGAATGTATGAGACATGCTATTATGAGCATGTGTAGGCTTTTTGACCTTGTAGTTGCTTACAGAGACGGATGGTCATATTTTGGGTATTGTTCAATTATATGTTCAATCACATCTTATTTTGGGTATCGTTCAATTGTATTTTCAATTACGTGTTTTCAGGTATTGTCCTGAGCTTTTCTGATGTAGCTTGATGAGGAACCCATGTACATTTCTATAGGCTGATCCATCATCGTCAGATAACCAAGGAAAGAATAATAATAGTACAGTCAAGAGAAAGAGTCTTCATTGTCAAATATGCGAAGTCTACTATAATGTGAAGAAGGAAAAAATAACCTTTCCCCTTTCCATACAAATTCGCAAATCGTCTTAAATGGGCATTGTAAACCATTGATTATACTACCACATTCCTTGAAAACGTCGTGAAAGACCCTCACACAATTAGAAGAAGTATAATGTTCATTGAACAAGTTAAACTGCAATGGCTTCATAGACCAAGATATCACTGATGTGCTGCACATTCATGTCCAAACAACGGTTATTACTATCGTCTTTACAGACATCTTATTTTGTTAACCGCGAGGAATGGTACAAGTGTAGCCATAAAAGCCTGATAACTTAATGGCTGCCAAGGTACAACGTATTCCGTTTATTATATATACGATTTCATCTATTAGGCAACTTAGAGAAGCCAATTTTCAGTACAGTTATATATAAACAGTGAGCTTTGCAAACCCATTGATGACTTGAATTGTCCGATTTCGCGCTTTGACGCACTCTGGGGCATCGTATTGCCCTGGCTCTCAATGCCAACGTATTCTCATCCAACTGCTCCCTCATCTTCACTTCATGAATCGAAAGAAAGAGTGTTCCCACTTACTCCACTGAATAATCGCAAATTCGTAGGCAGTCAGAATCCTGATGTCGCCGTAGACATGTTGCCTGTATGTAGAGAAAAAAAGAATCATCGAGCAATTGATGGTGTAGTCTCTGCTACTCGTTTCAAGAAAAAACAACAACAACAACAACAACAAAAAAAACAATTTTATGCTTGGTATCCAATGAAATGGCATGCTCTCGGCAGGCAATATCCAAACTCCAGGCTTAATGGCCTTATTATGCTCCAACTTCAGCAGTTGTTCCGTCTATCCATTCACTCTTTCTTTTCCGCGAGCCAACACTCTTGTCTGATGGTGTCACCGCTGGGCCAGTGCTCCTGAATTTCCCGAGGAGTTTGGACAGTCCGGGGATATCTAATCCGCCGAAACCACGACCAGCACTCTCCCGCTCACCAATGGCCACAACAGCTCCAATGAGATCGTGAGTGATGGCATCGTCAACGACGCTGTCATGGTTGTAGTGGGGGTGAGCGTCGACGAAGTTTCGAATCCATCGTGCGGCGGTGTCAAGCTCACCACTCGCTCGCTTGCTGATGAGAGAGAGATAAGTCGCCAGCTCACAACGGGTCTGGACATCTACGTTGACACTGTCAAGGTAGCTTTCCACGATGGGGATCAGTCCCGGGAAGTCTCCGTCGACTGATCCGTTGATGATCTCGTTAATGGTCATCTCCTCATACTCCTCTTCAACCGGAAGAGTCCCTGGAGATCCTGGCCGACTGGGCATTGCGGAGCCTGGCCGGCTATCGTCACCAAAGACGGTATTTGCGCGCGATGGTCGTGCTGGGAAGGGATTCTTGCGGAAGTAGAACTTCTCCTTGAGGACAGCATCTATGCCATGGGCTCGCTCCATATTCTCATCCACCTTCTTGATAGGAATATAGAAGTTGAGGTCAAAAGACAGTATAGCTCTTGTAACTAGAACCATGAACACCGAAAAGGCAGCATTCTCGAAGTCGGTCACCTGAATTTCCATAGACCGAAATTCGACTCTCCATCCAATGTTGTTGTCGGCTGGCGGGGGCTTGAATCGCATGTGCTGCCAATTAGTTGATTGGATGTTTTCGAAATGGTCAGTCTTGTTTAAGTCAAGCTCCTGGAGGTCCTCCTCAAAGATGACAATAGGATCTCGAATGAAAAGATGGGCAAAATGGGTAGCCAGACGATCATCCATGCCACCTTCCATAAGCTGGGCCTTGATTTCCGGGTCAATCACTAGATCGGGATCCAGATACTCTGGTCGTAATCGTGGATTGGTAGAAATGTACGTCGAGTTGGAGGCATATCGCGACTTGGGGATCCTCCAGCGGTCATTTTTGAGGGGCTATCCGGATACATGTTAGTTTTGGCTTTCAAATTTGCTTCTGAAACACAATGCTCCGAAAGAGGGAAAGATGCTGTTTACCTTTTCACCAAGCTCCTCTGGTGTCCTGCAATCGACTGCGCGACTAATCTGATTCCACCTCACATCAGTGCCAGCCAAGAAGCCCTTGTAAATAGGAGTTGCTGCGGTTAAAGCCAACATGATGGGGCCCAACGGGCTCAGCTGATCGTAGAGCTCTCTGCCTTCGACAATATTCTTAGCCTGGAAAGTAATTTGAAGACAGCAGCTTCCCATTCCAAAAGCCATTGCATCCATGTGAATAAAGTTGTCTGGGGCGGCTCCATTGCGCACGTCATCGTCCTCGGGCCAGTTGTGTAAGTCGTAGTTGACGGTAGGGTCTTTCCAGGGATTGGGGGTGTTTTTGTCATGGAAGATGGGCACATTGACTTGCACCTTGCGAGTTCTTCGGGAACGGATATTGGCGGCCAAGGTCGGGAAACGGATGTGAGGGTTGGCGATCTCGTCCGGTACAAACTGTGACCGCAGCTTGGGTCCAGAGGGAGGGTAAAATGGGTAGGTGAATTGGCCTGGAACGCCAATCTGGGGGAAAGTAGTGAGTGTAATGGGGAACTCGGTGGGTAACATGTGCTCCTTGGCAATCTTTCGCCGGAGCTTCATGTCGGGCTCAACGCCCAAGAGTTCCTTCAAGCCAATGCCCCATGGTTTTCCAGGTGTGGCCTCCAGCATAAAGCGGCCAAACTCTGGGTGAAAGACGGGCAGAGTTTTGGAGGATTTGCTGCAATAGCTAGTCAGACAACTGCGCGGAAACTGTGTGAGGTTGATAGCTTACCATGGCTTCTCAGCAGGCTTCTCAGCAGGCTTCTCGTCTTGAAGCGCAGGTACACAGCCAGCTTCAGCAAGCTCCTTGTCAGCCGCAAGAGCTTTGAGGATTTCAGCCTGTCGAAGGGATAAGAGCACCTTGGGCTCATCCTCTGCGTATGTCACAACAAGATACTCGACCTAAAGCATTGTTAGTGAGTTGACTTGAGAGTAAGCTGCTATGTAAGCCGGTGTGAGTGAGTGAGCGTTACCTCGTCGCCCCATAGCAGGGCATCCCGTTCTTTGCCCTTGGCTTTATTCCAGATCTCCAAGAGTTGCTTTCATCATGTTAGCGCCCACTCAACCTCACCAGGTAGAACAAAACAACGGCAACAAACCTTGATACCCCATTCTCTCACTTGGTTTGCGCGTAGCTTGGCTTCTGGCCACTCCAATGCCGTTCCCAGCGCTCTGTCCGTTCATAAACCCATCGTATTAGTCAACCATTACTTGCTAAACGTGCTTCGGTACGACCTACAGGAGACCCATGGTGCAAACGACGCGACGGAGTGAGATGTCGAGAGGGTTGAATGCAAAATGCTCCGAAGAGCAATTTAATGAGGAGGAATGCCGTTGGTGGCACTAGCAACGGCGGCGATGATCCTGATGACAAAGATACTGGGAATAGAATATGAAAAATAAGAATTAGACGAGAGAGCCGATTTTTCTTTCTCCTCGGGTAGCTCTGCAGGCACAGGCCCAAAAAATGGCCGACAAGCTGATAAGCTTCGATTTTCGAGCAGCCCCAATGCCGGTCGGAATATTATTAAGCAGACGCAATCCCTGGGATCGGTAATCAGGTCGGCAGGAATCGACAAGCCTGGCCCGATGAAGAGAAGACCAGTCTCTCCGCCGCAGCTTCAGATGGCGATGCGATGCCGTGGAGACGGACGAGATGCACTATCTATGTAGAAGGTGAAAAAAATCTCAGCACTTATCAAATCCGAACACCCCCACTCCGAGAGAAAGGCGCGCCACCGGGACGGGGGTTAGAGGAAAGTAAGAAAAACCGAGTCTCGAGGCACAATCCAAGGTTGACGAGTGGGATGGTTGCGGTTTGTATCCAAAATACATAAGATTGAATCCAGCGATGCAGCAGGAACGGCCTTTATCTAATGTTTGTCCAATCCCGTGTGACTGTTTTTTGTTTTGTTTCGGCCTCTCTCCCACTCTCCTTCTTTGCCTTTTAGATCTACAAGCTGAGGCCGTTGAGGCGGGTGGAGGCACTTCTAGCGCCCTAAAAAAGACATTAAGGATTTTTGGATTCCATTCTTAAAAAAATAAATAGACAATTTGGCATAAAAATAAAATTCTCTCTCCGCTTAGCCCAGCGAGAAACGTAACAAGAAGGCCGTTGTGGATCCAGGGCGGGATTCGAGGGCCTAGGATTTGTGAAAGCTTAGAAATCCAAGCCGAGCTGGAACGTCGCTTCCTCGCACTCGGCCTGTCGGGGGGGAAAGAGCTCTGAAGTCGGGCAAGAAAGCAGGGCGGAGTCCGCCTGCAAGAAGCCCTTAGTGGCTCTCTGCGGGTAATTGATTACGCCTGGATGCAAGCCGTTGGCAGCTGCGATTGCCATCATCGTGGGCTGGACGTTGGTGGTTTTGACGGTATTGCTGCCTCGACGGGCACGTTCTCCTCTGTTATCCGCCGGGCTAGTCCACGGCTCCAGAACTCCCCTTTTTGGGGGCTTGCCAGCCAGGGGATCTGAACACTCCCAATCGAGGTATTAGTACCACCATTAGTCTCGACAGAAAAACGGGATGCCTTCAAGAAAAGCCAAAAGGCGCTTTTGGGGGACCAACAAACCCCCATTGTCAGGTCAGCTGGCGATGGCAACATGCAACGGATGCATTGCGTCATGTAATGTACCATATGCTGCCTCCTGGGCAGTTGGCCTTGGAGAACGTTGAACAGGCGTTCTACAAGTGTGCCCTTCAGATCTCCGAGGTGAAGGTAATGAAATATTGAATCTACTAATCTGGGGGATTTGTGCTGTTGCTGCTGCATGTCTCTCTTCTTCAGAAGTCGCGCTAGACCCCGAGAAGAGGTGCCGTCACTTCGAAATACGATCGTTAACTAGTACCTGCTAGTAACCATACAAGACAGAGTACACTTACCTAGTACATATGCTACTGTAGTGATACCGTGTAATTTCCTCGCAAGCGTTTCTCTGGTTGCCATTACCTAGGTACTACTAGGTAGTAGTTACTGTTGGCCATGCCCGTGTAAAGTATTGCAGTTGGTCCATGCTCCCTTCACCGAATACACCGTGGGCTCACCGTTTAACCCGCCCCCAGTCCGCCGCCGCGTGTTTATGCTATATCATTCCATGCCGTGCCATGTCCATGCCTCGCTTCCTACGCGGAGAAGCTGACACAGCACGGAACCTTAGCTTTCCAAGCATACGGGTTACTCCGCACCGGAGTTTGTAGACCAGGAGGGAATCAGTAAGCAGCATTGAGGATTTGTATCATAGCCGTCTCTATTGCCGAAATGAAACTCGCTGCATGAATGTAGTTACTGTACAATGCGCAGAAGGGTTGCATGCATAACTGCTACTGGCTGTGGAACGTTGTTGATGCTGTCTGTGATTGGCTCTAGAGCCAGCAGAACCAACCAGACATTGACCATCTACGAGGAATGCCACTATCTCTGTGGCAATTCTAGGCGAAAGACAAGTATGAAACTCTATCTGCCATGTGCGAGCGGCTTCCAACGACTGTAAGAGCTTGGCCTTGGCCAATCCAATGAAACAAGGCCAAAGGCAGTGCTTGTCCGCAGATAGGGAGGGATGCCTTGTGCCGTTCAATTGACTTCGGTCCGCCCATGTTTGCACACGCACGACCAAGACCAAAAGGACAGCCCTGGGAGATGAGGGGTTCTCAGATCCGGGCAACTTGACTGGCTCTCCGCCGCGGGATTCGCGCCTCGAGATGGCCGTGACTGGCTCGGCCAGCAGGCTTTTGCGTGAGTCTTTGGCCATCAACCCGGATGATGGCACGAATGTGGGGAAGCCCTTTAACTTTTGCCCTCTTCTGGCTTAGATGATGAGCAGAGCTGGCCGAACCCCAAGACGAGGGAGAACTTGGAGAAAGGGGGAGGAAAGAAGCGTTGCTGGACAGTGGGCAGTGCAGCTACCACCACACTCTGTGACTCCCACCAGCGTTATACACGCTCTGGCCGTCGTCATGAAGCTGGATTGGGGCACGACGTCATGATTGGCCAGGGTGGAGGGTATGGGTGATTACGTCATAGCCCAGCATTGTGTCACGAGTGCTGTTGGCAGTGGACGGCGATGCTGAGGGCGCAAAGAACGAGCTCTCCGTGTCTGTCTGACATCGAGATACAGCAAGTGGATGTATCGACAGAGCAGTGTGTAGTCACTGCAGGTTTGAAAAAGTTGCTGGAGGACCCTTGTGGGAACGAATGACCTCCTTGTGGCCCCATCTGTTTCAGAGCGATTAAGAGCGAGAGGCTCTGTTGGTGACGGCATAGCGGAGCGATACATATTGTATCATGCTTTGCACCGTACGAGTAAGAGCTTCATTAAGTGTACATGCACTTAGATTCTAGACTATTATCATTCATTTTATAGAAGGGCTACACGGATGGCACAGAGCATACCGCTGCTGTGGCTTTACCAAGCAGAGTCCCCAAACGGCAATTGCATGCTTTCTGTTTTAGCTACTGATGTACCTGCAAACCGAGGTATTTTCATCTCACACATGGATGCCCTATTAATGCAGATACCGTCTTCGCCGAAGCTAGAGCCCACTGTTGGGCAGGTATCTCCAGGTACTAAGCAGCTAGCTTGGCCATACCCGCAGGCTGCTGCGAAGTACTTTGTCCAAAGCGGGCTTAGATATAAGGTAAGGTACCTGTAGGTAGCATCAAACGGCTGCAAGTAGGAGAAAAAAGCAGCGGTGAATGATCAAAAGTGTATGAAAATCTTAAGAAAAAAAAAGAGAAAGAAGTACAACGTGATGAAGGGGTAATATTGAATATTTGCAGTGGAAGCAGCAGGTTTGGCAGCAGTGGCAGCAGCAGCAACAGAAGCAGCACGTCCCAAGCTACAGCTGCAGGACCTCCACCGCAGCTGCTACAAAATCACTGCCGAACCAACCAGAGGCCGCTTGAGTGACCTCCATCAACTGGATCACCTGCTCTCTGTCCCCTCCCATCCCCTTGCGCTCAGTAACCTTGCTGGGAAGAAGACTCAGGGACCGACTATTTTTTGTTCGATTTATTTATTTTACTATTTTCGACCTCTTTTTATTTGGTGCCTCTGGAACAACGACACTTCATTCTCTCTTTTCACCTCCTCGCCATTTTCTTCTTCCTCTCTCTCTCGTCCTTGAAAATAAGGAAGCTCTACTTCGACACACATACTGCAACCCCCGCACGCCTGTTACGAAAAACCAAAAAACCAATTCAGCTGTGCCTGGCACACTCACCACAAGCCCACACAACTGAGTCGTAGCCTTTTCCAAAGACCTACTGCTCGATAGCCTCTTTTTTCTGTGCGACGAGCAACTTCAACGACAAAGCGATCGATCCGATATTCTTGCCTTTTTATATCCCAAGACACCATGAACCCCCACCAGAAGAACAAGGTCGACATCAATGTGAGAAATCCCCAGTCCTAGACGTTTCTCTTGCTACCCCTCCTCTCGCCGACGGCCTGCATTGGGGCAGGGTACAGTGACCAGAAAGGACGGAAAGAAGTGCTGGAGCATTTCCTACCGCCTGTTAAAATGCCAAGGGAATTGGGATGAAAAGAAGCCACTTGCGCAAAATTACAATGGACATGACTCGCATTTGCTAACTGGCTGCCTTTACTCTTGCTCTAGTCGCTCTCCCCGGATGAGCAACGTCTCTTCCGCCTCTACGGCAAGCTGCCCTCACGATCCGACCACTTCGCCAAGCACCTCAAGGACCGCAAATACTTCGACTCAGGCGATTATGCCATGTCCAAGGCTGGCAAGGGTGACGACGCCGGTGCCGTTGGCTCGCAGCATCCTGTCCCCGAAAACATCCCACACCTGACTTCTCCTACCAACGGTGGCACCAGCGCTCCAGGCCACGCTCACCGCGGATCGGTTCCCGGCATCCAAGCCGGCAGCCCTATCAAAGAGGGCAGCTTCCTGAACAGAGAGACATCCGCCGAGGGCCAGGTGACGCTAAGCGGAGACGACAAGAAACAGGATGAGGAACAAGCCAAGCCTGTTACTGCTGGACTTGCCGGAACACCTATTGCCGCTGGCGAGGCCATGCCGCTCCGACAATAAACCCTTCACAAGAATGACCAGGAATCTGAAATTATATCCCGCTTACGTGTCAAGATTACATGTGTAGTATCCGACCATGAGGATACTGCAAAAAGAACCATCTCTTTCTCCCCAGCCACGCCGTCTGATTTGAAAAGTGCGATATGAGAAATGACATGAGACGGGGAGAAATAGCTGTCATATCAAACAAAAATAAGCATGGATGATGATATTATCTACCATCATTCCCTCAGTCTCTTACATCCCACTCTATCTAGTTACAAAGATATTTGCTGCGAGGATGAGGAAAAAGGCAAAGAGAGGCATGGAGATTGACACGAAAGGTTAACTTTGAAGATGGATGAAATTTGTTGTTTTTATGACGAGCCTTTAGTTTTTATGCCTTCCTCCTCCCCTTCTTTCTGTTTGCTTTTTCTTTATTGTTGTTGTTATATGACACGTTGGCGTTTTAAACCGGGAAATGGGGAGGAGGGTGGACGGGACATTGTTCAAATTGATCAGAAATTTTCTTTTTTTCTTTTTGCTTCGGGCGCTATGAATCCTTTTGCGCAGAGAAAAAAAAAGAAGAAAAAAAAGAACAACTATTTTAAACTCTAAAAAACGACGACATGGACTTTGCTCCTTTCTTCTTCTTGTTTTGTATTTTTACGAGTTTCGTGTTGAAAGTTGCTTGCTTGCTTGCATTGCTTTGCGTATGTGTCCCACAATGAGAATGGGGTTTCACCTCACTACTACTGTCGTCGTCGTCGTCGTCGTCGTCGGTTTTGATCTTTTTTTTTCTGACGCTGGGTTTCGACCTATGTACCTTTTGTTGCTATGGCTATTAAATCTCTGTGTAGGTATGCTTACTGGGTGTTAATTGATGCAAAGGCAAATCAAAGGATGAAAGACGGCCAGAGGGATTATTTATCTGTGTAGCATACACAAAACAAAGAAAACAGACGTGATTTCAAAATTTATTCAATTTTTTTTTCTCCCCTTTCCTTTCCTTTCCTTTCCTTTCTTCCCCAAAGCATAAGGGATATCATTTCTTTTGCTTGTCGTCATTAACGGTCATTACAAATTCCAGAAATTTCTCTCTCTCTCTCTCTCTCTCTTTTTTTTTTTTTTTTTAATATTTTATATTACAATGCCAATGCCTTGGTAGCCATCTCCATGGCGCCCTCGAACGTCTTGTTACCGCCAATGAAGCCCGCCGCATGGACGAAGACGCAGCCATCGACTCCGCAAACGCCATCCAGCTCGGCGTCACGGAATCCCCTCCACGCCTCGGGCAATGGCTTCCGGCTGGTGAAGGAGTCTTGCGTCTCGGGCACGCACTGGATCCTCCACTTGGCACCGGGGTTGGTGCTCTCGGCGTAGAGCACGTACAGCACCGAAGGGTTGCCCTCGCCCTCGAGAGCATACAGGTGCTCCTTCCAGGGCACGCTCTGACCCTCGATGACGAGGATGCGGCCCTCCGGGTCGTGCTTGGCGCGCTGGTCAAAGGCCTGCTGGACAATGGTGCGGGCGGGCAGCCAGGCCTTTGTCATGAAGTCGAGGGTGCGCTCAAACTCCTCGCCGATGCGGCGGCTGGCCGTCAGGAAGAGCTGGTCCTCGGCCTGCTGGGCCTCGTCGGCGTCGGCGGGCTTGGGGTCGTTCCAGTTGGGGTTCAGGCGGCCGACCATGGCGCCGAGGGTGAAGCCGCCGGTGCTGAAGCGCTGCTCGATGCCGGCGGCCTGGAGGGCGTCCCGGTCGTAGCGCGAGATGCCGTTGTCGTGGGCGTCGACGGCCTCGATGAAGTTTTCGTAGATTTTGTTGTACAGCAGCTCGACGTCGGCGCTGGAGTCAGCAGCAGTGCTATTGTCGGCCGCCTGCTGGATGCTCTGGGCAATCAGGTCGCGGCCAAAGTGCATGTAGACCAGCCCCGCGCTCGACAGCTTGGTGTTCTTGCCGGGAAAGGTGGTGTCGAAGCCGCGCTGGTGGTGGTCGTAGCGGTTGCGCTGGGCGTCGTACTCGCCGCCGACGTCGACGACGGTGTGGCACGTCTCGAGCGTCTTGGGGTCGCGCGTGCGCACCAGGCGGCTGTCGCGGTAGGCGGGCAGCATGCGCAGCATGTGCACGGCGAGGGCCTCGTCGGCGTGGAAGTGGCCGCTGTGCGTGCCGACGAGGACGCTGCTGTCGGTCTTGAGGCGCTTGGGAGCTGATTCGGCCATTTTGGTCAGGATTCGACGGAACATAAACTGGGAGACCGTCTTTTGGTGGCAAAAGTGTGAAGCTCTTGAGGAGAGAATTGCAATGGGCGTGGGGAGGATGTTGACGATGGGTTGGGCAGGATTTAAAATTTCAGAGGAGAGAGCTGCAAGGCGGCCAATGAGAGACAACGCATTGCTATCAGGGTGCTTCTTCACCCCGCTACGAGACCCCTCCTGTAGGGCGAGGCTGGGGGTGTCTTGCCTGAATTTGGTTCACTAACACGTGCTGTATGCTGTGTATTGTTTAGGTATCATAAACCGTCAAATTGCCAAAACTTCTAAATCAGTACATTGATACTATTTCATTATTTGTCCAGCCCTTCCCTTCCAATCTTGCTCATGTCAACCTCCTCGCTGGCCTTCACTGCCGGGCCCCTCAGCCCCGCCTCAGCTCCCGCATCTGTGCCCGCGTTGCCGCTGATGCGCCCTGATCCCACGCCCGTGGTGCGCATGTCTGCAGAGTTCCAGTCTGATGCCTTGGGAGGCTGCTCGGGCAGCGGTAGGTTCGCCTGGGCATCGGCGATCTGCTGTTCTTTGGACTGGTGCTGAGATTGAGACATTGTTGTGTGTGTTGTGTGTTTTGAGATGTTTGGTGATTGACAAGTCGTATAATAGTAGTAGAGGTTTTCTAAGTAGGTATTGATGTGAGCAATGAGCAGTGCTAATTGTTATGACAACACTGCACTTACTGTATCGCAGTGTTATTCAATTGTTTCAATTGTAGTAAAATAAAATGATATCTTTTTTTTTTCCATCTCATCTTCACCCTTCGCAAACGTCTTATATACTTTCTTATCGCGAGTTGTCTTCCCTATTCCTTCGCCTCAATGACGTCGCTATGCACTCAACTGTCTGCAATACTCGCAACCGTCCGCTGAAAATGCTCCGGCCAATTCCCCACAAATTCAGGCGATTGCCCCCTTCCAGATCTGCGAATATTTGCCATCTCAATCTCATATACATAAGTTATGTAATGTCTCCGCTGCTAAACTTCCGATTGTGATGTTATACACGTCTATAAAGAGTAAAACAGGTGGGTAAGAGGGCCCATTCAATGGCTGCAATCCTGGCGCCAATTGCATCACATTGGCCACTGATATCCTCAAATGAGTGTCAAAATTTCTCAGATTTGTCGTAATAGCAGCTACTACTTGATTAAAAAACAAAACAAACAAACAAACAAAACAATGATAGATATCAACGTATTTCCTTGTCCGAAACGCCAGCCGCTCCATGTCTTTCTTAAACAGTCCAATCGGAAGCGCCCACTCTCGTCAGGGCATCCATCCTTCAAGTACTGACACATAAAGATAGCGAAATAATCAAACGCCCACCTCCACCTCTTTACACTCCTGCCATTCGCCTATCCGTATCGGCAGAGGTGGGCTTCTCTCCGCTATCGGGATTCAGGTAATCCGCATCCTCTGCTGCCTCGTAGTCTGAAACCAGATCAGATACTACTTGCCTTGCTTCGTCAAACTCGTCCAAGTTTTCGGAAAAGGGTGCCGTCTTCTTGTAGCCTTCAATAAAGGCATTGCGCTTCCGCATGCCGTCATATTGCTTCAATATCCTCTTGAAGAGCTGCATCGCAATATGTAGTCAGCAACGTGAAATAATAAAACAGAATGGGATCAGGGTGTACGAACCGTAGCAATGCTCGTGTGGTTCGCCAACATCAGCCCGCTCACGCGATGGCTCATTGGCATATACGGACTTCTCTTCGTCAGCGCCACCTGAATACTGGCAGGACCCCATGGAATGAAAGTGGCCAGCTTTCGTTCTCGGATACGCAGCAGACTCTTATGCACATCCGTCGGATCCACCTCGCCTTGGATGACATTCAAGATGGAAATGTAACAGCTCTTCTTGCCCGGCACCGTCGACACCATGCGGTTCTTTGGCTGCAGCAGCCTCCTCATCACGTCCAGCACCGTCGTCTTACGGACTGTCTTGGCCTGCTCAACCTGGTCACCGGTGAATGGTGTGTAGGCCGTCATGAGAAAGTGGCAGCGCGGTGTAGGTATCAGCGAGGCCAGGATGCTAACAAGATCATTGTGCATGTATCCAGGATAGCGTAGAGTTGTCGTGCTCGCAGACATGACAGTTGCGACCTATGGTTTGACACACATATCAGTTAGCTATATACTGCTCATCAGCGTGTCTCAAGCCATATATCCCCCCAGCTTACCAGTTGATTTGTTTGTTGAAATGAGGGTTCCTGCACATGGAGTCTATCTGCAGCGATGTGTGACAAGGCACCATTGTCTAGGACGACAACGGAGTCCGCGTTTTGTACCAATCTTCTCATTGAGAGAACGCTATTGTAAGGATGGACCACCACATCTGGGGCGTTTGTTGTGTTGGGAAAGACAGAGTAAGTCTGTATGATTTTCTTCGGGAACCGATCGTTGAGCCGCTCTAGGAGGAATGATCCCAGACCCGACCCCGTACCTCCGGCGATAGAATGTAGCATCATGAATCCCTGAACTCATTCCGTGAGCAAATACATATCCAGCCAAAGGCGGAAAAAAATATGCACAGCTATATGCTTACCTCGAGCGAGTCGCTACCATCCGCCTCTCGGTCAATCATCTCCATAATATCTTCGTAAACCGCCTCACCGCTCTGGTATCCGTCACCCCAGTTATTCGCCGCTCCCATTCCATTCTTGCCCACGTAAAAATTCTCCGGGTTGTAGATATTTCGGTACGGGCCCGTCTGAATGCTGTTCAACACCTATTGTTGAGAAAGACGCACGCATTAGCCCTCTCCTGATTCTCTTTGTCTTCTCCTTCCTGCCACTATTGAACCGCAGCAAAAAAAAACGCATAGATTGAAAAAAAAGGCGGCATACCCGGGGTTCCAGATCGATTAGGATCGCTCGGGGGATATATCGCGTATCGTCGCTCTGGTAGTAAAACACATCCTTGCGGTCGCCGCCCTCCGTCGCAAAGTCCTCCAGGTTGCCGTCCTGGCTAATTCCGTGTTCCTGACATAGCTGCTGCCAGAACTGACTGCCAACTGGAATAGAGAAGCCAAAGTGTTAACCTTGCATTCGCCGCACGTAAACAAAGCCCGAGCAAACCGCCCAAGGGGAAAAGAAGGGGAGAGCGGAAGCGCATAGCACTCACTGCTGTTGCCGCACTGTCCAGCTTGAACGGTAATAATCTCGCTAAAGAGTTGTAAAAGAAAAGGTCCAGTTAGCCTCGATCAGTCAAGCAATCTGCTTCAGGCAATGAGTTCCTACCGTGGCATAGCTACTGGCGTTTGTCTCTCGACCAGAGCTGTTGTGGTGGTTTCGAGGTTAGTTACGGAATTATAGCGAGCGCAGACGCGCCACGCGCAACTTTAGCTACCCAAGTACCGCTATCGATAGCAAGCTCCCCGCCCCCACGAGACTACCAGTGTCACAGCTACCGCCTATGGGTACTTATTCAGTTTCAACATCTATCTGATACCTACGTTATATATCGATTTAAAAAAGTAACATAATGCTCTATGATATGAATGGCACAGGAATTGGCAGATAGACTAAAGGCACACAAAGGGATCAACTTCAAGTTTACTCATTTCATTGTACAAACGCTAGACTTTTGTTTCTTCAAATCTAGGATAGTCCATCCCTCCCACTCAACTAGCAGTACGTCTGTATAAAGTACAAAAACTCCAATTATTACACTATCATGATCTTGTAGGGGTACAGTTAATCGTCAAAATCAAAAGGGCATGAATACTCCTTGGGATATATAGGTTTTCATTCTGTCACAAAACCCCAGCCAGGGAAAAATAGAGGGGGAGGCAAACCCTTCCTGAGTTTCAAGCTTTCTAACGCCCGCAATGCTAGTAATAAAAAAGACAGTCCCCCAAACCTCCCATCTCCCATTTCCTTAGTGAACAACCGGCCGTAGAAAATGCACTTGTTATTCCCATATTATTTCTTGTTTAACGCCTTGTGTGTCTCCAACGCCTCGGCCAATGACTTGGCCAAATCCTTCGTCTTCACCTGGATCATCCAGGTTTCGAGGCCGTCACCCTTGTCATTCGACGTAGTCATTTTCACATACTTCTCATCTGCCTTGTAAGATAGATCTGGCAGTACAGACCGGTTCATGGCAACATTGCCTCTAGGTTCCGCTCGCAGAAGCAGGCGCACCGTATTAGTTTCTTTGTGCTTCAACAAGCGTAGAGGCCCAACTCCCTGGGTAGCCCATGGGCTTTTAGACTTTTTCTCTTCAGCATCCGATGCTTCTCCAGCGGGAACAAACTTGAGTACTTTTGCGCGAACTTCGTGCAAAATGTCTTCGTCCCTATCCGCGCCTTCTGTCAAGCTAATCTGCTCGTGCTTCTCGCCATCTTCGTCATTATTATCAGCAGCATTGCTGTTCGTCTTCACTTGGGTCGATGGTTCCGGAGTCCCGCCGGCAGGTGTGGTTGCCAAGCTAGAGCCTCCCCCAAGGTTGAATGGAGAGTCTAGACCCGTCGCTTTAGCGGCGCGATTTTCCGATTCGGAAAAGAAGACTTACTTGTCCCGGTGGTCGAGGAGCCACCAACTGGCGGTGCGAGGTTGAATCCGGAGGAAGGCTGGCTTGCTCCAAAGGTAAACATGGATGATGGCTGGCTGGAAGGAGCCGTCGCAGTAAAAGATGGCACGCTCGTGTTCGAGGCCGCACCATTAAACAAAGGTGCTGATGTCTGCGAGGGCTGACTTCCGGTGCCGCTACCAAACTGGAATATTGCGGAGCCTCCGGAACCTCCCGCCGGGGTGGACGAGCCGAAAGTGAACATGCCTCCAGGAGCCGAAGTCGTGGCCTGGGTCGAGTTCCCGCCGGCGTTGCCAGATGTGAAAGGATTGCTGAATCCACCAGAAGGTCCTGCTCCTCCCGATCCAAAGTTGAAGTTGAAACCACCACCGCTGCCATCTCCAGATCCGGATCCAGATCCAGTGTTGGATGGGGCCGCACCAAAGAGAGGTGCTGCAGCGGGAGCAGGAGCAGAGTTCATCGAGGTACCAAACAAATTGGAACTTGAGTTTGAGCTTGCGCCTGCCGCGCCGAAGTTGAAAACAGGAGGTGGCGCCGAAGTATCAGTGCCAAGACCAGTAAACTGCTTCTTTGCTGGTGATGCATCGTCCTGCTTCATGGGACTTCCACCAAACAAATTGGTGGTCGAGAATGAAGCTGGAGGTGACTTTGGAGCCGCTCCGAATAGAGATTTGGCAGCTTGCTGGGAAGTCTCAGTAGGCTTGGGGCCTGCACCAGCCGCTGATCCAAAGCTAAATAGGGGCGCAGCGGCGGTGGGCTGGCCCCCAACAGGAGGAGAAGGATCCTTCTTGGCCGGCACGGCGCTCGGAGCACCAAACAAGCTGGTTGGTGCTGCTGCAGGGGCAGCGGCGCCAAACAAGTTGGTGGACGAGGACAGGACAGGCTTCGGTTTGGCGGGCTCAGAAGTGAAGGCAGGGGTACTGGCTCCAAACAGAGATGTGGAGGTGGAAGTAGGTGCAGGGGCTGCGGCACCAAACAAGTTAGTCGAGGTAACTGGAGTGGTTGTTGCGGGTGGTGCTGCGGGTGCAGTACCAAATAGATTGGTGGTAGGGGTAGGAGAAGGGGCGGAGAGGGGAGCAGAAGGTGGTGCTGCGGCCGGCGCCGCTGGTTTGATGCCAAAGAGAGCTGCAGACGCGCCAGTCAACGGGTTTGCGTTTGAGGCATCCGAGCTGCCAAAGAGTCCATTACCCTTGGGCTTCTCAGCTTCCTTCTTTGGAGCAAACAGAGCAGCCGTAGACGCCGAAGGCATTGATGTTTTGACATCGCCAAACAGCTTGGAGGTTGCTTCAGAATTTCCGATGGCGCCAAACAGGTTGGTGGTGGCGGTAGCTGCAGGCTTGGCAGGCTCGCTCACTTTCACGGGCTCGGCCACAGCGGGCTTGAGACCAAAGAGCGACGCGCCAGTGGTTGGGACGGCAGACACCTTGGGTTCAGAAAACACCTTCTTGGTAGGTTGAGAGTCATTTTCCTTATCAGACTCTCCGCCAGCCAGGTCGGCTTCCGAAAGAGGCGTGTTTGCTTTGGAGCTCTGGTCTTGCTTAGAGACTCCAAAAATGTTGGATGGTGCAGTGCTCTTGGGCGCGAAAATGGAGGTGGAGGTGGAGGTGGCTTTACCGAAAAGTGAACCATTTTGGGTAGCGGATGAGGTAGGGGCAAATTTGAGGGGTTGGGTCGTGGGATTCCAGGTCTGGTTGATGGATGAGGCTGGTTTCTTGATGGCGATTTCATCCGCAGACTCGTCGGCTCGCACTGGTTGCCCATCTTGATCCTTTGTGATACGGTCAAAGAGACTGCGGCCTGGAGTGCTATCCCTTGTACCAGCAGCGCTGGATACACCAGTACCAAAGCCGGTTGACGGCTTGGTGCCAAATAGATTAGATCCAGCTTGAGAGGAAACGTCGCCCGCGCCGCTAGCTGCGCCGCTAGGCTCATCGCTCTGCGCACCCTCTTGGCTATCTTCGTTATCTTCGTCATCTTCAACGTCAGACTCAGATTCACTCTCGGCATCGGCTTCAATGCCGCTATTCTTTGCAGAGCTAGCATCGGACAGATAGCCAAAGATGTTGCCGCTGCCGTTGACCGGGGGCTTCAAAGAGTTGTTGAACACTGAGCGAGACAGTTTACCATTGGCAGCATTCTTGTCAACCGATTTGAAGGGAGTGGGAGAAGGAACGGGAGAGGCAGCAGCCAGAGAACCGGCGGGAGACGCAAGGGGAGATGCGGGGGTCGCAGCCGGCTTGCTGGCAATCTTTTCAAAGAGCGACTTTGCGGTAGATGGAGTAGCTTTTTGCAACTTGGCGGGCGAACCTTCGTTGGTGACAGTCTTTCTCTTATTCTTGTTAGGAGCAGGAGTGACGGCAGTAGGCTCGTCCACCTCATCCGTGACGGTAACCCTTCGCTTGCTCGCTGTTGCCACATTCTCAGTCGCATCAGCAGTCTCCTTTGAAAGGTCATCATCAGCCTTTCGCTTCTTGATGGACGTTGGCTTGCTCGGCGTGCCGCTGGCCTCCTCCTCCTCCTCTTCTTCTTCGGGATCGGGCAGGCCATGTTCTCGTCGCCATCTCTTGAGAACTTCCTTGGACGGCTTAACGCTCTGGAACTCGTACAGTCCATATCGAAGCAGAATAATGCTTCGGCTCTTTTCAAACTCTTTGGCAAAGTTCATAATGTTGAGCTTCCAAGTCTTCTTGGAGAAGATCTCGTTGGCGGCATATTTCAGTCGACGGAGATCGAGAATGCAGAAGAACTGGCGACGCTGCTCGTCGTCGAGGTCTGGAGGACAGAGATGGGCCAAAAACTGATCGGCATAGATGGATCCCTTAGAATTCCAGTCCTTTGGCACCTTGTTTGCCAAGACTTCGCCGGTCAGTTCTGGAGGCGGCGATGAGATTCGCATGTTGAACAGCTCCTTGTCTGAGGAGTGAGCGGCCAAGCCGCGAGGCGTCGGGCGAGCAGTGGACTCGCGATAAACGCGACTCGGCTCGGGAGTCACACCAGGGGCGAAGACCTTCTTCATCGTGCTCTGAGGGATGCTGGGCGAGAAGGAACTCGTCGGAAGGTCCTCGGCGACGGAGGCTTTGAAGAGGTTGCTGCGGGAGGAGACGCCGTTTCGGTTCAGGGAGCCCGATGATACTTCATCACGCTTTATCAGCAGCTTACGCGATGGAGCTGTGTGAGGCGTTCCCAGGCGCTTGTGGGCATATGGCGTCGCGACGTAGGTGCGCTTCGCGAAGGGCAGAGGAGGACGTGACATGGGAGTGCTGCTTCCAGCATCCGCGGCGTCGTACTCGCCGGGAAGGGCGAAAGTAACCATGGCGGCGACAGAGGAAGTGGCAGCAGTAGGGGATGTGAAAGAGAAACAAAGACGAGAAAGGAGGGTAGATGCTTAGAGACGAGGCGCGACGATGATATAGCTGGGTCGCGTCAGGGTAGGTGGATGAAAACGGCCACAGGGGTGCAGAAAGAGAGAGCGTGGTCCGCAAAAGTGCAGGCGGAAAAAAAAAGTCGTCGAGGGCAAGCACTCGCAAACGAGCACCAGCTGCTGCGGGGATTCACAGCAAACGAGCACAAACCAAAGGACAGCAATAAGCTCGTCGCGATTGCAATGCCGATGCAGATGCACACGCACGCAGAGTCGTCCAGGTCGCTGCCAGAGAGTTGACACGACAACCGGCGGACGGTGGTTTGGCGGAAGGGAAGTCAAAGAGATGGCCCGCAGCTTGATGCGGCACCTGCGCAGAGAGAAGGGAAAAAAAAAAACGAGACGGGCGGCGCGGCAAGGGGCGATTCAAGCCAAGTAAATATTACTAGCAGCACAAGGGACACGGCCGGGGCCCGCTTTTCTACGCCCCTCCAGTACAGGTTAAGCATGTGGCCTGAGGCGAAAACAAGAAAAAGAAAAAGAAAAAAAAAAATCAGCTCCCCGGTCTGTCACTTAGGTAAGCCGCCGGCTGCTACTGGAAGTGGTCGACGCAGGTGATCCGGTGACGCCTGGGGCTGAGGTCACTGCTACCACGGCAGGACACCATCAGCGCTGCAGCCGGCTGGACACGCCCTGTCCAATAACGTCACTTGCCCAGCTGTTTTTGCCCTGACGCAACCTCGCACGCCGCGGACGCAGCCAATGACGGTGTGGAGCTGCACGTACCGCGCGTAAGTACACATTTGGTACTGCGTACCGGAGGCTGCTTCGCTTTCGCTGCCTTGGTTGGTTGCACGATGTACACGCGCCGCCAGAAAAATCTATCAAAAAAGAGCCTCATTCATATCACAGAGCGCTCACTGAAGAAAGTGAGAGACAAATAAAAACGGTAAATCACACAACGGGAGGAAAGAGATCGCCAAATAGTTAGCAATACTATCAGTAAATATTCATGACCAATCCCTAATCAAATCCTACAATTAATAGATGAAAATCAAAGGAGGGTGGTGCCAGACTTTCTTGTCTGTGTCGTCTTGTGCGGGTCTTGAAGAGCAGAGAGCTCAGGCCACAGGGCATTATGACAACCAGCGGAAATGAAATCCCAATAACAGGGATGAACGGAAGTACAGTACTGTGGCCCATTTGGCAGGGTAGGAAGAGCAAAGAAACGCATGCCGAAGATAAAGAAGAAAAAGCAAAAAAACAAATTCCCCATATTCCGATTCAAAAACTGCTGTCCATAAAGCCATTCCTTTACTTCCTCAATCTCTTTTCGCGATCCTCCAGGTACTCTTCATCAGAAGCGTCCAAGATATCGTACTCTTCGTCGGTCATGAAGCCGTCATCTGATCCATCCCACTCATACTCTTCTCCGCTGACAGTCAGAGATTCCGCCTCTGTGGCTCTCTCGTCTCCAGCGACAGACTGAGTTTGAAGCTCTGCATGCATGCTAGCATGAGGTGACTCCTTGTCAAGCTTGGGGAAGATCATGACGCTACCAGTCTGGGCGTCCTCCTCCTTCTTGGGCTCCTCGACCGTAGTCGTCGGCAGAGCCTCAGGCGGGGGCATTCGCACACTGACGTCACACCAAAGGCGGTGACCAAACTTGAATCCATCAGGAGTGGTCAAGCGCCAGTAGGAGATGATCTGGCCCGCGCGAGCAGGAGTGCGGAGGAGCACGGTGAAGGGGAACTCATTGCCTGGGGCAAGAGGGGCGTAGCAGACTGTTGACTCTGATGCTGACACAAGCTCTGAGATACCAGCAGGGTGAGCGGAATCAACGTGGCCCATGTAGTCACCGCCAACAAACTTGACGGAACATCCAGCAGGCCAAGCAGTTGTGCCCTCGTTGCGAAGGACCCAGGTCTGCTCAAAGACGTGGTTGGGAGGCATGACTGTGCCATCAGAAACAGAGTCGCGAATGAAGACGGCACGGAGGTCTTGCTCATTGACCGATGCCATAACCTCAGCGACCTTTTCCTCCTTGACCTCCTCCTTGGCCTCTTCCTTGGCCTCAGACTCGGGCTCTTCCTTCACCTTGGTTTCCTCAACCTTGGGTTCCTCAACCTTGGGCTCTTCAGGCTTCACGTCCACAACCGTTTGCACGGTGTTGATGGAGTTGTTCTCGCCCAAAGTCTCCGCAGGTTTGAAGGCGTTCTTGACGCGGTCGCCCATAGGGGGCATGCGCTTGCCATCCTGGTGCTCGCCAGTAGTAGTAACGCTAACATGGCGAACAGGAGTCTTGAACTTGATAAGGGGATGTGTCTTGTTGTGGTCGTTGGCGGGACTGGCCTCGCAGTTTGCGCAGAAATCAAGGTCATGGCAGACTGCACACTTGTAGCGCACGCCTCTGATGTAGGTGGGATAGTCCTGATTGCTGGAGCACAGGGGTCCATCGCAGCAAATGCCCATGTGCACAGGCTGAGCACAAACGTAGGAATGAACATCCGCGAGAGGCTCATAGATGGGCGCAAAGCGGTGGTTGGCGTGGACAAAGGCAGCGTTGACAACGCATTCAGAGCAATAATCCCAATCTGGGCAGTCCAGACACTTGTGGCGGACGCCAGTGATGTATTTGTCGCAGCCATCACAAACAGCGTGGTGGGCTTGGTTGCGACCAGCTCCCATCTTGACAGTAATGTGATCTGGCATATTAGTGCCTGCAACAGCAGGGATAAATGCATGCTTGGGGTGGTGGCCGTGGGCATCCTTGGCGAAGCATCCCTGGCAGAGGTCGAAATCCTCGCAAGTAGTGCAGTGGAGGAACTCAGCCTCGGGAAGTTCTGAAACTCATTAGCTCAACGGGTTCTGGGGACGATGAGTTTCTTGGAGTGGACATACCTTGAACACAGCAGTTGCATGTTCGCATGTTGCCCAAGCAGGACCATCTGGCGCCCACAGGATCAACAAATGGAACTCTTGGAGAGAATGCGGGAGCTACATCAATAGTTCTCAGAGGCTCAGTGACGATTGGCTTGCAAATAGATGGCTCTGGAGCATTCTCAATGTGAGTGGTTTCGATGGCATATTCGACTCTCTCGGGTGTAGGGATTGATTCCTCTTGAACCGGGGTTTCCTCCTGCTTCTTGGACTTGGACTTGGGCTCAATCTTCTCAGTGCTGCTAGCGACGAGCTGGCCGTCTACCATGGTCCGCTTGATCAGCCAGTGGTTCTCATCATAGCAGCTGACTGCATGATCAACACAGGCCTGGCAAAGATCGAAATCGCCGTCATCACAAGTCTGGCAGTGATAGTGAACATCCGCAACCGTCTTTTCGCAGTTGTTGCAGCAGACAGCAAACGGAGCGGGGGTAATGATATGAGATGGCCCTGGTGCTGGTGCTGGGTCACAGTACTCTTGGAACGAAGAGTATACTGTTTGAGGGTCAAAAGGAGCAGATTGGGCAAAGTTGGCTGGCTGGGATTCAGGGACGGGGGTCTCAGCCGTCTCCTCGACCTTGGTCGTCTCAACCACCTCAGGTCGAGCAGGTGAGACAGTTCGCAGGGGCAGTTCGACACCCGAGAGAAGGGTAATCGAAGATGGAACCGTAGATGGCGTCGGCATCTCTGTGGCAGAATCTGATGTGGACTGAGATGCGTCGCTCTCGGTGGGAGTTATCTTGTCAGTAGGCTCGTAGGTCTCGGCTGCTGTAGCCTCTGGCGCATCTTCCACGGTGACGGGCTTTGGTGTAGTCTTTGGCTGTGGCTGGATAACAGAAACACGCAGCTTCAGCTTTGACTTGGCCTTCGCGGCTCTGTACAGCTGCTTGTAGACTGGCAGATTATTTGAGTCGAGAACGACGAAGGCACTGGCAGAGTCAGAGTAGCGCTCAACGATCATTCGGGTCTCGGGAGCGATGCGAAGGAAGAGTCGGATCTGGTTACAATGTCAGCACCTCTAGCATCTTGGGAGCCACCATAGAAGATGTGAGATAAGCGGCGTCATCATTTAACCAAGAAAATATGATGACTGATATAATGAAAAAAGATGAAAGTTCAGTCAAACATACGTTGTTTTCAAGAACATGAGGCGTCATGTCACGAAGTGGCATCTTGACTCGGCGAGTGGTGTTCTCAAAAGTCACCTTGAGGGTGACCATGGTCTCAGGACCAGGCTGGGGGATAGAAGCCATGATGGCGGTCTATCGTGGTGATGATGCTTGGTTAGCAGGATGCAAACTCAGCCCGGTGACGGTGATGAAGCGGTGGGCTACTCACGCGATAACAACGTTCCCCCTTGAGTCGACGCTATCGAGAGCAGGCTGTTCTTTTATACAAGCCACCGATAAAAGGACAGATGGCACTAGCAAGGAGCGATGCAATGGCGATGCAGCCCTTGTTGCGGTGGAGAGGGAGATGAGAAGAGGTTGATGAAGAGCAGGAAGAAGGAGAGGAGAGATGACGATTGCGTGGTTGGGAGCGAAGCTCTTACAAAAGGCGCCAGGCTGACCGGGTTAGGCGAGCCGGCCGGAAACTTGGAGAGGCCGCAGTGCATTCTGGGTCCTCTGGGCTGCTTGGCGCCTGTACCAGTTACCTGGCGGTCCCCTCCCGTGCGCTGCCGCAATGTACATGACTGCGCCGTGACGCAGACAGACAAGCTCGGCTCTGGCTCACCGACTGGGAGGCAAGCGCTGAACCTTTGCTAGTGGAGCCGAGGACCACTGCAGGCCGGCCCAGGGCAAAGTCACGGCAACGTCTGGGTACTGGAAGGCAAAGGCAGCGCTGGTACCCAGTACCTGGCTTCGCTGGGGAGGAGTGAAGGCGTGACAGTGTCAGTAAAGCGAGCATAGAGGCCATGAGACGAACGCGCAGGGACGCGTAGCCGCAAGCAGTACAGGTACCGCAGCGGTACTTGGTACAGTACCCGCAGCTGGCCTGCAGCGCAGCACCCAGCAGCGCTGATGGCGCCGATGCTCAGCGGAGGGCTGGGGCCAAGAGAATCGCCATTCCACTGCGCTAAGCTTCAGGTCGCCACAGTGCTAGCGGTGACAGGTGCGGAGAAGGCTGGGGCGCGCGAGGCACCAGAAACAACAGTGCACCACGCACCATCGTCTACTGTCTGGCCAAAGTAACGAAACAAATCCCTGCCTGCTGGGCTGCAGCACAGGCAAAACTGGCTGCTGGGGGTGGGTCGTGAGCGGCCAATGGCGCCACTAGCCCCAGGTATTTCCGGCACCAAGACGGCCAAGTGCATGACTGCAAGACGCCCCCGGGAAACGGCCAAAGGCAAATCTGAATAGAGTCGAGCAGCAGTACCTAATACTAGCAGTCAGCATGTACGGTGTACACGGGCAGCAGAAGCCTCGAAGCTACTCAGAACACGACTGAAGCTGGCAGTGAACACTGCTGTCTCAGGACCAGCACCACAACACGGGATGCAGCGCCCGCTGATTCGCCGCCGTGTAGCATCTGCCTCCATGGGGCAGTCCCATAGGCGATCAGAAGGGCCAAGCTTGACTGACGACAGCGTACCGAGTACACGCCACTACCTGGAGGCTGCTCTCACCTGGCGACCCGTGCGTCTTCCGGCCAAGCCCAGGTCTGCGGTATCCTCGGCCATTCCATTCACAAGCTATCACCACCGGTACTAGTGACGCCTGGTAGGCAACTCTAATAGCCATCAAGAAGCTTCTGCGTCGCCGCCAGAGCCAATTGCGGCCAGCTTCGTTGGCGACGGATGCCTGGACGCTGATGGCGGTGCGCACGAGGCGAACAGGTGAGTGGCCAGCAGCGAAACACCCCAAACAGCTCTGCCAGGCTGCAGAGGAGCCACGCCAGCTGCTTCTGTCTCTCGCTGGTCCCTCTCCCGCCCTATCATTCACCCGTCCATGCATCCCCCCATCCTCTTCGCGCCACGACTTGTGCGTCTCGCCTGTCAATGCGGCTGCTTGTTTTAGGGATACATGTTGCCTCCCTTGCGTTAGGTACTTTGTGGCGGATAAGGTTAGCGATTAATGACTGTCCCAGCTGCTGGGCCGGCTCGATCGGCCGCCACGGCAGTATCAGGTATGCGGTGCAAGCAATGTGAGCAGTGCAGTCTGCGTGTAAGTAGCTTTACAACGTAGCTTTGCAAAAGCCGATTACGAAAGTCTGAGCTCTAGGCTGGCCTGCTCGTTTACCCAAAGGCCACCCGCCGAACAGCAGTGAAGATTCCACAAACATCATGCTGTGCTTGTAACATCATACTGTACTTGTAACTGCTGTCTGTGGCGGCGGAGCTGCTCATCATCAAATGGGCTCTCCAAATACCGACATACATGGATGAAGTAATGCACACGAGTCAGATCGAGCAGATTCTTCACAGGTGGCCTCAAACAAGGCAAAGATAATCCCGACCCCCGATGTTACTATGTATGTTATCCAGTTCTCCGTAGCATATCCAGGGCTCTATTTCCATTTCCCATATCAGCATGCCTGGCTGTATTCGGTACATGCTACTCTTTGGAGCCAAGCGCAAAATGCCTTGTATCTGTCGCAAACCACACACCGTACTCGTACGAGCTCGCGAAGCAGCCAGGCTCCGCTCGGTGCGCGTGATGGCCCGAATGCGGCAAGATATCGTGACACCACGCCTGGGATCTCGGAGAATCCTTACGGCATCCCGCTGGTGATTGGTGAAGACTGGAAGGACAAAAGCCAAACTGTGATGCGTTTGATTTGCACACAAAGGATGGTTGGTAGAGCCCTGATTCTTCGCAGAAGGGTTGGTATGATGTGCAAACCGGCTCCTTATTTGCGGCGCTATAACCCTTGCCATATCCCTTTGAGCTGTTACATCCCGGTGAACCTAGACCCCCCCCCTTCCGTCAATTACTCAAAAGAGCAAACAAGCAAAGCAAGGGAGAGATAGAGATACTAGAGACAGAGGTCTGCTGGACGCCCTGGCTGCGACTTTTCTTGTTTGGGTGGGAGAGGATGCACTCAAATGCTTGATATCGGGCTATAAGTGGGATACAGAGGTATGTATGTACCTTCAACCACAAACATTACACTGTTTATACTGCATTCCAAGTAGTCCTCATCTAAAGTCTTGGTCTTCTTTTAAAACACTTTGCTGCTATTCTTCGTGGTCTGATATACTATATTTCATGGCCGCACCAACATGCGGCGCCCCTTGCATGATTATTGTCCACTATGGAAATCTAGACGCGCCTAGCCGGTTTCTTCAACGTGAGCTCTGTCTCAGCGTCAGCAGCCACTTTAACTTAGCAAGCCGGTATAACATGACATGGCCAGCACCTGTGCGGTCCTAATAGTCATACGTCGCCATAGCATACAGTGTAAGCCAACCTCAAGCCTTTCCGAGCTACCATCATCTATCCGAGTCTACTACACGTACTTCATATCATCTATGACAGGCGCTATTTGTCTCAATGGGCGTGATCAAGTTGATCAATATAAAAAAGAAGAGAAATGGCAAATGCAAAATAACCTTAAATTTATGTAAACTAATATCAACACAGTCAGGTACAATGGTAGCCAAACCGAGTGTCTGCAATTTCTACCTGATAAGAGCTTTGCATGCATGATGATATGCCCAGATTATGCCACCAAACCATTGCTACTATCACTATGCCAGTGTTCAGCGTGTCAAGGATCATCGTCGTACTCATCTTCAGACTCAAACTCAGAGGCAAACTCGTCCGAGTCTCCGTCCTCACTAGGATCTGGTCGCTGTTTCCAAAGCCAGGCTTCGAACTTGGATTCACTCATCTCTCGAGGCAGCCTCGCCTCTGTCGCATCAGCGCTCGGCTGGTAAAGCGGGTGGAGCGTAGGTCGTTGGACAAACTGAGCCAATCTCACAGCCTCTGGGCTGTCGTCGCCTTCCACCAAAACTCTGGCCGCATAGGCTCTCTCAGCGAAAATCTTGGCCCTCGTCGTATCCCCGTTCTTGACTGCCATCTTGAATGCGGTGTGATACACACCCGGGAAGCGAGCATCACAGGCGCCCTCCGCCTTAAGCTTCTTGAACATGGTAAAAGCGAAAATGAGCCCACCTGCGTAATCAGTTGTATTGAAATCGCTAAAGTAGAATACCAGACAGCGTTCGAGCTGTGCAACAGTTTGAATTCTATGATCGCTCTTCAAGCGTTGGGGATACGGCGCTGAGCAGAGGCTACATCCACAATCAAAACCGAAATGTCTTTTCATGAATGTTTGGCGCTCGGCATACTCCATCGCTATGTCCAAGTATGAAATGGTGATCTCTTCTCATTGCTCGATGTCACGAACTGCGTGGACTGTGGGGCGCCCAATGTTTGCATTCCATGTTTTTTGCCCATTCGGCCGGCAAGAGTGATTGAAGCGAGCTGCGTCAAGGAAAAGACCACCTTCAGGAGCTTCAGGGCCCAGAGGCATCACATTAGACCTAGCAATACCCAGGAAAGGGCCATCGCCTATGCCGTATACATTCTGAAGATCCAGTAATGCCCGTTGTTTAGTATCGTCAGGCCCTTCAGCGCCTGGGCGATGTGATCAGTAAGAACCTGACGGTTAGATTCTGTAGGCGAGATCCTGAAAAGGGGTAGCTCAGAAAGTATACGAGTGCCCTTGGGGATGTTTGAGATGGCAATTAGGTCGCGTCCCTTGCCAGGGATGGGTTGAATAGTGTATAGACTTCCGTTTCCAGCTTCATCGTTGATAGGTGCTTCCTGCATTCTTGTCTTTGTTTGGAGTCGAGTGGGTGATATTTCGAAAATGTGGTGACAGGTCTAACAGAGTAACTGACTGGCAGCTATTAGATAGGGGCTTGTGATGAACTTGTTGAGTTGAGTCCAATTGCTGAAGCCTGGTTCATGACAGAGGAACTTCATTTTATATTGATAAATTGAAAGAATTCACCCTATAGACCAAGTACAGGTGAATGTAAGTGACTGGAGCTATTGAATTCGACAGATTGACTCTATAGCCCATGTGCAGGTGAATGCAGTCGACTGGGGCTGTCAAAGTCAATAGATTCACTCTATCGATTAAGCACAGGTGAATGCAGCTGGCTGGTGCCATTCAATTGGATGCCATTCAATCGGGTGTCACAGTTTTCCTGTTGTGTTACCTACTATCTCAATCAAACAAGGCACCTAGGATATTGGAATTTAAAGATAATGATAGTATCAATTTCCCCTTTACCTGCCGAGTATAGTGGAAAGGAGAGCAGCACAGCCTGTCCGTTCTATCCAAAATATACTCTTCTCAGGTCTTTGTCAATGTGGTTTGGATGGAGATGTGCCTTGATTGCAAAGTTGAATGTGATGATCACTAGTGTTACATTCCGCCTGTCATAATCCCAATCATAATAATACTGCATCATCACTTTGTCTGTGACGTAGCTTTTCGGGGCACACATTGATCAATTAAGGGTCGCATCAGCTCCATGTAGGTACTTTATGACAGGCCAGATCAAGTAGTATATGTACTTTCGGTGCGTACCACTTGGTTATTTGTACACAGGCACCTAAGCCGTCATATACGTTATCTGCCGAGGGAGCCAGCAAGCGTTATTGTATCACTGCCATTGGGAGTACACTCAGTACCTGATGTTATAAACCAGAACGTCCCGCTTATAGGACATGCTAAAGTGAAATTCATAAAATTGTTGATACATTTTATAATATAAGGATAGTAATAAACTATATAAAGTTATATATTTTTTTTAACTATTCTAATTTAAATTATAATTGTTCGCTATTTTTTTTTTATTTATATTGTTACTTTGTAATTCACTTGTATTCAAGAGTGACAGATTTAGATACAAATTTCGGCTTCCTCTATAGTAAATTATTTACAAATATAAACTATATAATAATAGGTTGAATTTGCCTAAGCCGAGAGGTCAAGCCAGAGATCCTCACTCATCCAGTTCACCAAGGGCAGAAAACACCATGTCACGAGAGATATTATGACTGTCCAGCCTCAGCTCTGATAGTAAAGAATTTTTACGCCGAATACAACTTGTTATAAGAGGTGAATTTGTCCCTACAATACAGGAAGCATAACTTTTCGCAAACGCAATTCCCTTTTTTTGTGTGTGGTTTCGCCAATGCACTGGCCTGTCATGATAAATGCAGAAGCAAGTTACTCGCTTGATGAAAGAAAAATATATATGCAAATGAAGCTTAAGGAGAGAAGAAAAAGAGTAGACACGCCAATGAATCCACATAATTCAACTCCATTTTCCCAGCACATTTAATGAGGAAAGTAATAAGTTACTACATAATGCCTCCAAAACACCACTTGAAACGCCGCTGCCATGGAAACAGCACAATGAACACACGGGCACACATACTGACGCACGTAGCCGAACAAGACATCCCAAACTATCAGGAACAAAAAAATGAGCAAAGAGAAGCCGCTGCAGAATCGCTTTCATGATCCACTCCCAGCTACTGATGCGTTTCTCTCCCCTTCGCCCAAGACCATAAAAAAAAAAAGCAAAGACGAAAAAGAAGCAACCATCAAAGATACTTTCCCATCTTCCCATCTTCCATATAATCTGGTCACCGACTGCGCACGGCACAGCTAACAATGATTGTAATAGCCACAACAGTCGACAACATGAGGAACCCTCCAACCTTCGATATTTATTTTTCAATGGAAAAGTCCGGAACCCACAAGAAAAAGCACACACCAGATATTCTTGGAGTTCCCAACTGGCCAATCCAGAATCCATAATTCGAAAATGATCAATAACAATACGTTGAAAAAATGAACTGCGAAAAAAAGAGGCAAAAACCATGATTTTGAGCACTCGAACCACCCAGCCACGAAAAGGGGATATGAATGATACGTGGAGACCCAACCCATGACACCAGAAAGGAAAAAGAGAAGAAGAAGAGCGAGAAGAATCAGGATAAATTGCATGAGAATGAGTGAGACGTGTAGAGGGCCGTGACGAAGATATTAAAGTTGATATGCAATATGCGATGAGATTTTGATTACCATGCAGGCATGAAGCGCTGCGCGCCACAATATCCACCGCAAAATCCACCACAGAACCCACAAACCTATTGTGAGTAGTAAACCATGCCCGGTGCGGGCTGGGGGTAGTAGAAGCCGTCGGGACTGGGCGTCACCATGCCACCCATGCCCATTACGCTGGGCTGATACGGTTGCGAGGCAGGATATGGTTGGTAAGGGTTCACCGAGGGCAGCTGAGAAGCATCATAATAGTAAACCATACCATTGACTTCCTGGGCCACGAGATTTGTGTTGGGAGGTGCTGGTGGCCCTGCCATGCCGACAGCAGGCTGTTCAACCTGATTCTGGGGCGTAAAGCTTCCTGCCATGCCCGTCTGCCCCTGAGGGACAAACGGAGGCGCTGTGACCGCAGAGGCGGGCATGCTAGGACCAGAGTATCCGTGAGGATAGTAGTATCCCTGTTGCGGATGCGGTTGATACGGCTGCTGGCCATAGAAGGCTGGCTGGCCATAAGCATTGGGCTGGAAGGGTGCCGCATGTATGGCTCGCTCCGGAATTTGGGACAGCGGGGTACCCGTGGAGACATGAGTCGGATACGAAGGTCGACGTGCGTGCGAATCCTGGTATCCGTTCGCCATCTGCGGGGGAACTTGCTGATGGAACGCCTGCTGGAAGGCCGAGGTATTCTGCGTCAGAGTGGGAGATTCTATATCCGCGACGGAGATGTTCTTCTGCGGGCGAGGCTGATGCATTGGAATTGAAGACGGGAAATTCTCCTGGAAGCTGGGCTTCTGCGGAAGAGGATACGATTGCGGCTGGGGGATATCACCAATGGATGTTTCCTGCCCAGCTACCACGAACTCAGACGGGCCTGCCGCTTCCTCCACTCCCATAGCGGGTATGAACGTTTGTGGAGCCGGAGGAAGACGGACTACGGGTCTGTTATCAGTCGGAAGTGCAGGGCGAGAGATGATAGACCCGGTAGGCGAAAAGATGCCCTCCCTATCGTGCAATACGATGGATGAACGCCTGCTAACGGCAACACTAGGGGAATAGATACTTCCGCCATAATAGCTGCCAAACAAGCTTGTCCTCCGAGAAAAGCCGCCGACGGAGCCCCAAGCGGAACGGGGCCTGCCTCGGAGTCGCTGCTGGTTGGGTCGTAGCGCGCGAGGAATGAATGTGAATGATCGATCCGAGGCAGGGAATATGTATCGCGGCGGGTGGTTTGGCAGCGAGATGCGCACCGGCTTGTCTCGGCGCAGAGGCGGGCGGTGGTCAGGGAGCTTGGTGTATTGCTTGACAGGAATGCCAGGAAAGACCTTGGGGGTCGTCGTCTGTGGCAGGATGACCCGAACTTGGGCATTGCCAATATGTTTCTCAGTCGACAGGGTCCTGTTAATCGGAGTAGCACTGGGCTCGCACGTCGGGATGAAACCAGTGCCGTTGGGCGGTCCCTCTTCTTGAGGGGGCTGCCGGAGACGACGTGGAATCACGTCTGCGACAGTCTCGTGCATGTCGTGCGTCCATTGGGAGTTTGTAGTAGGATCGGTGGAGTGCTGTAGCTGGCTATCGAAGACGTCAGGAGAAGAGCTCACATGGAGAAAGGGAGAGGGGTCAAGAGATGAGAATAAGGAAGCAACAACAAGACAGAGATGGGACAGAGATGGGAACCACTTACTTGGCTGGGGAATACGGGCCCCCCACACCACCACGGCCGCCACCTCTGCCTCGGCCTCTCCCAAACGGCCTGAACCCATTCGCAGCCGGTCCCGGATGCCGATGATCATGCATGAAGAACGACCCCCGGTTGGGCACAAACGCCGGGTCCTCATCCCTCCGACGCTTGTAATCTTCGTGTTCCTGTCGACGTCGATTGCCCGGCTGAGGCCGCGTGGTAGACGAGGAGCTAACAATGACGGGAGCAGAGGGCGACTTGGGTGACGAGACCGTGACCTCGTCCAGCGGCGCCTCTTGTGCAGAGTCAGAGTCCGGTCGATCCGCAATGGACAGCCCGTGAAGCGTCAGCTCTGTATCCGACGCAGACTTCTTCCCATCCCCCTGAGCGGCAGCCTTGGCGGCCCTGTGGCCAGCCCCCTTTGCGGACCCGTTGGCGGACTTGCGTGCGTTGGGCGAGGTAGGTGACACCTCATCGATGTTGCTGGTGTCGCTATCGTCAGCGCCATCGTGGTCATCCGAGATGACGGAGCCTTCAGTCAGGGAGTCGTCATCCAGGTCCAACGCCTCCGGACGGCCCTCATCGTCGCCCTCGTCCTCGACTCGGCGTCGTTGGCCGATGAGCTTTCTACGCCGGGGGGCAGCGGCCATGGTGGATCTTGGTTCTGGCGGCTTAAGCAGAGACGAATAGGACGGCAGACGAATGGGGGTCGTCGGGGGCGGAGGAGGGCGAGCGGCAGATCAGAGAGACCATGCAGCAGCAGAGACGCAGGATGATGGATGGAAGTGAGGAGAAAATCCAACGGGGAAGGTAAAATAAAGGGTCCAGACGTGGACGAGTGAGGAGCCCAACCCGTCCTGCGGTGCTAGACACGAAGAGAAAGGCAAAGAAACAGGCTTGTCGACGAGCCAGCAACCCGGGCCGTGCAGCCAGATGGGGGGAATCAAAAGGGGGGCAAAGAAGAGACAGAGAAGAGAAGAAAGCGGGAGGCGGTCCTCTCGCACCTCGTTGATGATCCAGAGGGTCGGGTTGGCGAGCGATGAGAGGCTGTGGCGGTGGTTTCCAAGGACAGAAAGCACAAGATTTGACGCCGGGCCCTAGAAAAAGTGTTTGGTGCCGGCCCGTGAAGAGGTGAGGTGAGGTGGTGGCCGCTTAGCCCAATCCAGGCCCGCCGCCCCCTCCCAGCACAGGTGCTCGGCGCTAGGTAGCTTTGCGCACAGCGCTGCGTGCGCAGTGACTTGCGCGGGCTGCAGGGCCCCTTTCAAATCGTCATTCCAGGCTAAGCAAAGCTCCGTCCAGCTGTCGTCCCATGTACCGGCCACGTACCGCGGGATAAGGCTGCATCGTGCTCGTGTTGGTGGCGCATCCGCCAATCTGAGTCACTGATCGCACCCCAAGCGTTGCTGCGCGCTACCAAAGAGTACCTGGCCCTGTACGCGGCCGAACCTTGGGTTGCAGCCCCCCCATGCAGCTCTTCACAGCGCGCCTCCGTCACGAAAGCTGCTCCATGCCAGCAACCACAAGCCACTACCCAAGCCGATCTGTCAAATGGGCGATCGCAGCTCAAGCTGCAGCCATCCCCCATGTCGCCCTATTAGAGCCTCTTCCTCCTCCGTCCATGGTCCTGTCTGCTAGGCAAGGGCCAAAGCACGGCAGAAACCACGTCGACCACCATCGATCACGCCGGCCACCGGCCCTGTTTACCATGCCCACAGGCGTGTTACGGCCAGGCACGGATGCATGCGGGTGAATCAGCATTGCGTGGGCGATTCCAGTCGGATCATGTCGTCTCGCGACCCCTCACTGGCCTGCTTATGCAATTGACGACGTGCAATCTGCAGATGATGCTGGGCAGATGCTCCACAGGTGGCATCAACCACGTCTGTCTAGTTGGCCAGCAGCGCCGCAAATGCCGACTGCGTCCGACTCCTTCTGGAGATGCATTGCTGCCTGTCTGCCGATGGAGGTAAATGGCTGCTTTGGTCTCGTACCTCGCCAGCTGATTTGAGCTACACTTTGTATCCCACGAGGGTATCTGCATCGATTGATCCAGGGAGTCTCGACGATATTGTTCGCTTGTTGCCTTGGGGCATATCCGCGTGGGCCTGTGGCTATTGACCAACCATTGCCTCAATTGATGCGCACCGTATCCTCGCCCTTGTACGAAGTACTAAGATGACGCCTGTTGTTGCCGCGCAGACTAGAGTATAGCTTGACGTGTGGTTTGTGCAGATGGCCACCAATTGGGATGATTTCCACCTACCCTAAGTCATCCGCGGAGTGATATGTGATATCAAATTGTCTGTCCAAATAGGTATATGGCATCATTAATGCAGCTCCAGGGTAACTAGCACATTGCCGTGAAAGCTCAGTCAATACCACGTTGGAAGTCAATTATTGAAAGACGAGGCGTCTTATAGAGGGGTGGCTTTAATGTAACGTGGATAAAGGAGCTGAATTGCCGTGAGACCCTTGGATACCATAGGTAGTGTTTGGCTTTGTTAGCACAGCGCCAAAAAAAAAGAAGCTTTGTGGCCGCCTAGACCATGGGGAGCAATCAACGGCTGTCAACGCCCTTGTCCTCTATTACCGGCGGAAATACGGAGTAGTAGCTGTGTACTTCGTATCATGGCCTAGAGTCCAATATCGACTGGGTACTAATACACACTACCTCGCCTGTCAAGCCCGTCTACTGTATATGGGGACCAGACCCTCCATCCTCCATTGTTCACCCAGCCCGTAGCTAGATGGCGCATCCACGTTGCTCACTACCAGCACTAGGCCATCAGGGGTGACCGCTAATGTATGTAATTGATGACGTTGAAGCCGCCCCTGGTGCAGGCGCATTACACTTCCATTCAACACCAGCCACTCCTTGAGTATAATTCGATTTCGCCTTGATTCAACATCACCCTCTTAATGGCCGCCTCAATGTCGCTGTAGTCACGAGCCGCGGCTCACGACATTGTCCTGATTTCTGTCTTTTGCAGCAATTCTCGCCATCTCTTGCGCCGGTAAGACGGGACCGCAGACCCCGCACAGCACCATGCCCGGCCTCGCGCGCAAAGTCTTAATCTTCGCCGCTGTCGACGGCCTCATCATCCAGCCATTGTCTTCCAAAGGGCAAAAGCCCTTCCAGCCTGCGAGAATCAAGTACGGGGACGCATCCATATCTTCTGCGGCGCGCGACCAGGTTCCGGATTCCGCAAAATCCGACTCGTGGTTTGAAGCGCTCGGCGTTGTTGGTGAGCTTGGGGAAAGGCCCTGTTACTGTAATATCATGTTAAATAGTTCTCAGGCTTGATTACGGTGTCGAGGTTGACGTATTTGGTGACGATTACGCGCCGAGAGCAAGTTGCCCAGGTGTTTGGATTGCCCATTTATGTCGTCACCCAAGTAGCTGTGACCCCATGCTCGTCGCAGGGCGATGCGGAAGAGTCTGTGCGGAAGACGGCAAGCCTTCTGCGAACAGAAGTGCCTAGTAACGTGAATGATGACGATGAGGGCAGTAGTGATGAAGAGAGCGAGATCCCAATTGCAACTCCAGACGAAGAGGCGGACGATGAAATTCTCGGCAAAAAAGATATCCCCGCGGATCCCAGGAGCAGCGTGAGCAGCGTTGCCGAAGACGTGATCCGGAGGCGAGGCAGCTATGGGAGATTTGCACAGCGCTGGTTTAGCCGGAGTGGATGGACTACTGACCAGAGAAGGACTATGGGAATGAGCAACTCGCCGACGTCCACGCCACCCCTTGCGCAATCAGCATCCCCAACTCCAGTGGTTAATCTTGCCGCCCTGCAAGAGGCAGATGAGAATCATTTGATTCCAGCTTCCGCACTCCTACCAAAGCTGCTTCGAACCATCCAAGTCTGGTTCGGATCATCGCGTAGCTTCTACTTTTCGTACGACCTAGATATAACGCGCAGCCCAAGTGATACGGCAGCGATTGCCAATTCTAACGATTCTCTCTATACGCAAGTCAAGAACACATTCTTTTGGAATCGGCATATTGTTCAGCCCTTCATCGAAGCCGGTCAGGATGCCTTGGCCCTGCCCTTGATGCAGGGGTTTGTCGGCCAGAGGACGTTTGTGGCAGATTCTCAGCCTCCCCAAGTAGACGACCCAGGAGCGGAATCTATGGAGCTTGCTGATCTCTCGCCAACACCGTCTGCGCCATCATCGCCACCCTCAGGGACAGCAAGACATTCTTTAGAGCTGCGCCCTTCTGAGAGGAGCTATCTCATTACCCTTATATCGCGACGGTCAACTAAGAGGGCTGGCCTTCGATATCTTAGACGTGGCATAGATGAAGATGGATACACAGCGAATTTTGTCGAAACGGAGCAAATTCTGTCATCCACTGCTTGGGACAATTCTTCACCATTGTACTCGTTTACTCAGATTAGAGGCAGCATCCCGCTATTCTTTACCCAGACTGCATACGCATTGAAGCCGGTGCCAGTCTTACAACACTCCGAGGAGGCAAACTACAACGCCGCTAAGCAGCATTTTGAAAGGTTATCAAAGTCTTACGGTACGTTACAGATTGTTAATCTGGTAGAAAAACATGGAATCGAAGAGCCGATTGGAACGCAATACCAAAACACGGTTGGCCGCATCAATGATGGGCTCGGCGAAAAAGCAAAGATACCCTTTGAGTGGTTTGACTTCCACCAGGTTTGCCGTGGTATGAAGTTTGAGAACGTGAGCCACCTGCTCTCGCGCTTGAAGGACCAGCTAGAGACTCTTGGCAGTACGGTGCGGAGCAATGGCGAGCTGGTCCGCAAACAACAAGGGGTTCTTCGAACGAATTGTATGGACTGCTTGGACCGAACAAATGTTTGCCAGAGTTCTTTTGCAAAGCATATGCTAGAAATACAGCTCAAAGAAGAAGGCATAGATATGAGCGCTCAGCTAGACCAAGAGACGGCCTGGTTCAATACCCTCTGGGCTGATAACGGCGATGCCGTTTCGAAACAGTACGCCTCTACTTCCGCTATGAAGGGTGATTACACGAGGACAAGAAAGAGGGATTACAGAGGGGCACTCAATGATTTAGGAATATCTCTAACACGTCTTTATTCTGGGTAAGATTTCCTCCTCTTCCCCGTCTCTTTCTCAACCTTGTTCAGACTACGATGGTTCAAAAGCAAAAACTAATGCTACTTTACGTTTTTTTTTTCTTCTTTAGCATGGTCAATGATTACTTTAGTCAGGCTGCCATAGACTTCCTACTCGGCAACGTAACAGCTCAAGTGTTTGAAGAGTTTGAAATTGACATGATGACAAAAGACCCAGCTGTTTCCGTGGAAAGGATGCGCGAGCGAGCCGTGGAATTGTGCCAAAAGCGAGTGGTGGCAGATGTCAGTGAGGAGTTCCACGGCGGCTGGGTGCTGATAACCCCCAATACTGCCAACGCTCTCAAATCGTGGCCAATGGAAGAAGCTGTCCTTCTTCTGACAGATGCTGCGATCTATCTCTGCCGCTTTGACTGGGACCTGGACAAGGTGTCTTCTTTTGAAAGAGTTGCCCTGGCGAGCATTACGAACATCAAAACGGGAGTTTATATCACCTCCACAATTTCGCAGGCTCACATGAATGAGACAAGGAACGTGGGTTTCGTGGTGTCATACCAGCCGGGCAAAAGTGATGTCCGGAGGAGAAACACCCGTACAATGTCCACCAGAGACGCACCAAAGCTGACAGCTACCGGCGAGATCCAAGCGGTACCGACTGGCTTTGCGGGGCTTTTCTCGGGAGCCAACGGCCCAAAGGAGCCTGCAGTCCGAAAACTTGCATTCAAGGCGCCGTACACAGATTCTTCATTGCCAGTAAGCGAAGCTGGGCCACGGCAGACAGAGCTGCAGAAAATCGACACGATATGTTCAGAAATTGAACGCCTGGCGGCTGAGCGGCAACTGGTCAAGGAGGGAGAGGAGCGGAGGAAGCTGGTGGAAAAGGGCGATATAATATCGCTAGACGCCGCGAAGCGCAGCACCGGGTTGTTAGAGCAGCTGGGCCATTCGCTGAAGAAGTTGGTGTGGGCATAGACGAATATCCCTAGAGAAGCCTGTATGGGTTTCAGACGTACATAGCAGCATCTCCAAAGTAGCTTTTATCAATAACACCCTTATAAAAGTACCCTTATAAAATTACCCGGAGTTCATGCAGCCGTTGACGTGCTCTTCCTTTGATACAGATGCATCTGGTAGCGCATATTCTCCAACTGGATCGGGTAAGAGAGCTCTTCCGGAAGCCGGAACCATATTGAATCATGGGACTCCAGCTTTTCCCACTCATATTCTTTGGACGCAGTCCGGACGTCCATAAGAGTGTGGTCCAAGAGCCATTGCATGGGGTACCGCTTGTTCTCTTTGCCCACGGCGGCTTCCGAGTAGCTACCCGGACTGTCCACAACGAGAAGCAGGCTTCTATCCGGGAGTATCTCACCCAGCAGTTTTAAAAACTTTGTCGTCTTGCCGATGCCTCCATTGGTGTAAAGCTCGTTAAGCGTAAACATTAGGGTCACGGTAAGGGGTTCTGGGCCAAGCAGCTCCACCAGGGCCTCTTTATTCATGGCCAAGATGTCATTTTGGCAGAAGGTGGTGGAGAGCTGTCCGTCTTCAAGAAGAGGTGTGTTTGCGGCTTTAATGGCCGCAGAGGCGTATTTGGACAGAACAGGTGGCGAAGTGACTTGTTTTTGGAGGAGGTCGACGACTTGAGCCCAGGGGCCGGCGTCGAGGAGTGTGATGGTGCCTGAAGAAGCGGTTTGTTGGAGGTGAGATGCGAAGGCGACATGTTCCGCCGCGCAGCCGCCTATGCAGATAAATTTTTTGATTACTTTGCTATGAGATGGTTCCTCATCGGAGCCGCCTTCAGGAGTTGAAACAGAGTCTGGGAGAATGGCGATGTCGTCAACGTGTGAAGCGATGGCTTCAAAGATGGATGAGTAGCACAGCGCCCTGGTGGGACTCCATCTTGCGGCGTAGGCCTGGAGGTTCTCCTCGGAGCCGAAAGCAGCGTCAAAGTCTCTGTTGAAGAGGGACTGCTTGATGGACTGGAGGGTGGCTGTGAAGGACTCTGACGAGAGAACGGGGTTGAAGGCGTCCGAGAAGAGAGTGAGGATTCGCTGTTGGTGTTTGAGAGCTTCGGGGTCGATGGGCGGGAGAGGGGCGCCGGATGCTGGCGATGCTGTTGCTGCTGGCGGCTTTTTAGAGGCTGTTTTCTTGGGTTGTTGTTTTTTCACCATTTTTCATGAGATTTTATGTGACGTTTTGTGCTGGTTTTTATTTGATATACTTTTGAAGCTTACGATGGTGTTTTCTATGAGCAGTGAAAAATTGAGCGGCATTCTTGAAAGTGGGTATAGATACATAGCGCTGTTAAGCTTCATTGGAAAGCTTTCAGCGCCTCGAAACGTTTACTTTGCGTTTTAATCAATCATGCATGTTAAAAGTTTTTACCTTTGACAGTTGTACGGACCAAACCCTGAATATATGTTGCGAGGCATATCTGATGGTTTTGTTTCTCATTGCAAAACACTCGACTCAATGCTTCTCTTTCCTGCTGGCGGTCGTGCTTGCTCATTGCGCCATGATTGGTCCGGCAGCGATAATAGCCTAAATGTTTTTTTTTTCTCTTCTTCTTTTAACTTCAGCCCACCATCCGGCCGGCGCCGTCTCTCGCGCGCAGCAACTTTCGGGGCACCTTTCCCGGCCATCCAGGCGATTGATTCTCGACCCGCTTGATTGGTGGGATTTGCCATGATTGCTTAGAAAACTTCTGGGGCCTGCTTATGAAATCGTACAAGTAGGGTGAGCAGCGGGTAGGCAGGCATTGAGTGAGGTGAGTGGGAGCCTGTCAACCTGCCGTTAACGAGCTGCGGCATGCTCGGGATTCTCCAACCTGTGCCTATGCAGTAGTATATGGGTAGGTGTTGTATCGTATTTTGATGCTTGCCCTGTTTCAATTGGGCTGCCTGCCACCCATTGGCGAGATGTGCCAGCCATATGAAACGATAATGAAAGCAACACTTCAGTAGCTACGTCACAGGCCGGGCCGAAACGGAGTATCCGAATGCAGGAAGCCGTACAGTACATAGCAGTAGAGAAGGACCAGCCAGACTGGGTTTTAGAGTCTCCGCTTTGCACAGAGCAACGGGGTGGATAGCATTGCGTCAAGTAGCAGCAGATCGATCTGTTGCTGGCAAACTGGAAGTGAAAGGCAATTGGCAACATACGAGATCGCCAGTGTCAAGGCGAAGAAAAAGAAAAAGAAGAGGAGGAGACCCGGTTTTTAGAATCTGAACGAAGGATGTCAATGAGGTGACAAGCCGCAGTACGTACCTAAGTACTAGGCACATCAATATAGAGAAGGTATACATTAAGGGATGCAGAGAGGCCTCGGCCTTGCTCATTCCATTTATCGGAGGGTTTAATCGAACGTTAGTAATGCCTGCGGATTGAGCCGCCCTGCTATTCGTAATCGGCCTCAAATGCAAAATAAACACGCAGACGCGCGATGCCGAGTCGAGCTTGCATTCGATGTCTGCACACACCACACACAGCAGGGGCGAAACTCGGCTCCAGCAGCAGGGCTGCGGGCTCACAGTAGCGGAAACTGGCCCCGCTGGAACTTGCGCTCCGATTGCCATTTGCCGCAGCCTGGCCGCGAACCCCCGGGGCTCCAGTAGCCGCTTCAGAGTGGCTGATGGAGGGGCCACGGGTGGACGGGCGAAGCTTTAGAGGGGCCGATAGAGGCGACACAGGGGGAACTTGGATGAGGGTTGGGGGGCTTCGCAGCGGTCATTGAGATCCTAGAGGCGCCAGAGCCAGCGGTAAAGTGGGCGGCCGGTGGGTTTGTTGGCTACTAGGTAATGATCCCCTAATACGTGACATAACGTTAACCCCTCAACAGAAAAAAAAAAAAGGTTCCTGCGTTCAGCAACACCAGGTGCTTTATATTGCTCCCTCCCCCTCCACCCGGCCTCCATTTCTCTTCTCTATTCATCTCAGCTATCTTGATACCCCCTATTCCTTCTTATAGCGCACGCAATTCGCAATCATGGGCTACACAGAGGTTGACCAGAAGGCCATCAACACCATCCGCCTGCTCGCGGTATGTTTTCTCCCACATTGTCTACCCCGCCATTGCCCCTCCATAGCAGCAGCAGCTCTAGCTACGCGACACTGAGCGAGCAGCCAGCGACAGTTGGACCGTGAAGAGCGGGCAATGAGCAGACAGCGGCAGCAGCTAGAAGAAGAAGCTAGAAGTGAGAGCAATTGACTGACGGGAATCGCCATTCCAGGTTGATGCGACCTTTAAGAGCAACTCGGGACATCCCGGTGCTCCCATGTAAGTTTGTCCAAGGCGCCCAGCGATGCGCATTCCCGCCGCACCCGCCATCCCCGCCCGAGCTTGCTGCTGACGCTGGATTCTGCGCAGGGGCATGGCTCCCATTGCTCACGTTCTCTGGGACAAGTTCATGAAGTTCAACCCCAAGAACCCCAACTGGCTGAACCGCGACCGATTCGTCCTCTCGTAAGTGCTGTCGCCCAACACCGTGGGGAGAAAAACCCCGCGCAAAATCGTGAGACTGACACGCGTTTCTGCCCAACCCAGCAACGGCCACGGCTGCATGCTCCAGTATGCGCTCCTCCACCTGTTCGGCTACGCCCTGACCATCGATGACATCAAGGCTTTCCGAGTAAGTTTCCAGACTGCGCTGAAGAAATCGAGGAAGAAAGAGGAGACGAAGCCCATTAGCCCTGAGCACAAGAAGGGGCTGAAACTGATGCAGCGGCGCTAACCCAATTACCCATTTCTAGACTGTTGATAGCATCACTCCTGGCCACCCCGAGGCTCACGATACCCCCGGTATCGAGGTCACCACCGGCCCTCTGGGTCAGGGTATCTGCAATGCCGTCGGTCTGGCCATGGCCCAGGCTCACACCGCCGCCGTCTTCAACAAGCCCGGCTTCACCCTCTCTGACAACTACACCTACTGCTTCCTCGGCGATGGCTGCTTGATGGAGGGCGTTTCCGGTGAGGCCTGCTCCCTGGCTGGCCACCTCCAGCTCGGCAACCTCATTGCTATCTACGACGACAACCACATTTCCATTGACGGCAACACCAACGTTGCCTTCACTGAGGATGTTGCCAAGCGCTACGAGGCTTACGGCTGGCACGTCGTCGTCGTCGAGAACGGCGACCACGATCTCCAGGCCATGGAGGACGCTATCAAGCAGTGCCAGGCTGTCAAGGACAAGCCCTCAATCATCAAGCTGCGAACCACCATTGGTTTCGGCTCCCTCCAGGAGGGCACCCACGGTGTTCACGGCTCTCCCCTCAAGGCCGACGACATCAAGCAGCTCAAGACCAAGTTCGGCTTCAACCCCGAGGAGAGCTTTGTCGTCCCCAAGGAGGTCTCCGACCTGTACGCCAGGCACTCTGCCGAGGGTGCTGCCCGCGAGGAGGAGTGGAACAAGCTGTTTGCCAAGTACGCTGAGCAGTACCCCTCAGAGGCCGCTGACCTTGAGCGCCGCCTGAAGGGTGAGCTGCCTGAGGGCTGGGAGAAGCACCTGCCCGTCTACACCCCCGCCGACGCTGCCATCGCCAGCCGAAAGCTGTCCGAGACTGTTCTCAGCAAGGTCGAGGCTATCCTGCCCGAGCTTGTCGGTGGATCTGCTGATCTGACTGGCTCCAACCTTACCCGCTGGAAGGAGGCTGTTGACTTCCAGCCCAAGGCTACCGGCCTCGGAGACTACTCCGGACGATACATCCGATATGGTGTCCGTGAGCACGGTATGGGTGCCATCATGAACGGTCTGGCCGCCTACGGAACCATCATCCCCTACGGTGGTACTTTCCTCAACTTCGTCTCCTACGCTGCCGGTGCCGTCCGTCTGTCTGCCCTGTCTCGCGTCCGCGCCATCTGGGTCGCCACCCACGACTCCATTGGTCTGGGCGAGGACGGTCCTACTCACCAGCCTATCGAGACTCTGGCTCACTTCCGTGCTCTCCCCAACTGCATGGTCTGGCGCCCTGCTGACGGCAACGAGACTAGCGCTGCCTACTACATTGCCCTGACCTCCAAGCACACCCCCAGCATCATTGCCCTCTCCCGACAGAACCTGCCCCAGCTCGAGGGCTCCGTCATCGAGAAGTCCATCAAGGGTGGTTACGTCCTGCAGGAGGTCGAGGGTGCCCAGGTCACCCTGGTCTCCACCGGTTCCGAGGTTGGTATCGCCGTGGATGCCGCCAAGCTCCTCCTGGAGAAGCACAACGTCAAGGCCCGAATTGTCTCCATGCCTTGCTTCGAGGTCTTCGACACCCAGTCCAAGGAGTACAGACTCTCTGTTCTGCCCGACGGTATCCCCTCACTGTCCATTGAGGTCATGAGCACCATGGGCTGGGAGAGATATACTCACGAGCAGTTCGGTCTCAACCGATTCGGTGCCTCTGGTGCCTACAAGGATGTCTACAAGGTACGTTTCAATAATTACTATATACGAAAAAAAAAAAATGAAGAGAAAAAAGGAAATTTACTAATCCATTCACTATAGAAGTTCGAGTTCACCCCCGAGGGCATCGCTAAGCGCGCTCTCCTCACCATCGACTTCTGGAAGGACGTCCCCAACATCCGATCCCCCATCAACCGTGCTTTCCAGCAGCTCATTTAAATAAATATCTGAGGAGAAAGACCGAATTAAACGTTAAATCTTCCAGAATATAAATGATACACGAAACAGGACAAACAAAAACCCTGAAAAGAAGTGATGCCTGCTAAAGAAGGGAGCACATGATTTCACGTAGTGACGACTCTGGGTATGGGAGCACAGGAAATGTTGAAGTTTCTTTTTTTCTTTCTTCTTCTTAATACAGTAAAAAAAAAGCAATAGATGAAATATAAAAAAAAGGAAAATCGAGATTAAGATAAAACAAAAACTTGTGAGGTCTTGAGAACTAAAAAAAGACTTTGTCCATTAAATTACAAAACCCTTTCTTTTAAACGCCATTAGAGCCAACATGCTAGCTTCTTTTGTATACCCCCAACGTGATTCTGTGCGACGATGAAAAGATGTAAGAACAAAAAGAAAACAGGACACCAGTTCTTCTCATTAGCTTGTGTATACTCTCATCTTTATGTGCCTCGCTCCGAAATGCTGCTATCTTATAGGAATTATATCGCTCGAGTGCGTCTGTTTCGTTCCATTCATATCTTTCTTTCTGGGGTGATTTGGTGCTATGTCTAAGCTGCGACGCCGCCTGGTTCGGTTGTCGAGCTTTGAATAATAGTTCAATACTCGGAATGGACGCGGCATTCTAGGGGGGCCGCAATATGTCCACTCTATAATGCTTTTGTTTTCGATCATCATTCCCAAGTAATGACCGTTTGGTTATTTCTTTGGTTATTTCTTTGGTTTTCTTTGGTTTTCTTTTCTTTTCTTTTCTTTTCCTTTCTTTTGCTTTCCTTTTCTTTTTTTAATTTTTTTTTCTTTCTTTTTCTTTTTCATTTTTTTTTTTTTTTTTTTTTTTTTCATAAACTTTCAGTCGGCGTTGCTGCTGCTCCTCCCGTCATTGTCCTGCTCCAGCCCCTGTGCCGTCCACTCCCGCTGAAACTCTCGGCCGATGCGCTCCAGCCTCGCAGCAGCGCGCCGGGCCTCTCTCGCATCGTCCGATGTAGCAGCGACGACGACGCTGATCAGAGCGGGCGCCACGGTGTCGTCGATGGCGGGCCTTGCCGTGTCCGGGGTGCGGGTGCTGCTGCTGTCATCGTCGCCGACATGGTGGTCATGGTCGTGCTCGTGCTCGTCTCTGTACTTGTATTTTGAAAACGAGTCCGACTCCTCGGAGAGATCGCCGCCGCCGCCGGATTCTCTGGGGTCGAGGTAGGACTGTAAGACGACGGCGCCGGAGTCTGGGTACTCGACCATGATGCGCTGCGGGCGGCCGAGGTTGGCGCGCTGGGCGGTGGTCTGAGAGGTTATGGCGCTGGAGGTGAGTTTGGTGAGGGACTCGAGGTGGCTTTCCGACGAGGACGACGTGATGAGCGGGGTGAGAGTGAGGTCGGTGAGGTGGAGGGAGAGGGTGGGATGTTGCGAGGGGAGGTTCGACATGGTGAGAGAGTGAGGATGGCGAGCTCTTTTGTTGCGTCTTGATGTGGCTTTTGCCTGTAGTCTCTCTTTCTACTCCTCCTCTCTCTTATCTTTTATGCGCGCAGATATTAAGCCGAGATATTTCTAGTTGTGATATTTGTTTTGCAGTTTTTTCTTCTAGACGCCAGAATCCAGCTTCAGGGATGGTAAACAGCGCGGCCTGATTTGGCAAGTTTTGTCCTGGGCGCCTGATCTGTTTCTGGCTCTCTCTCCCCCCCCCGTATCGTATGGAGTGGGCGCTGATGACGTCGGTGTAGCGGGTGTTTTTTCTATCGTGGTGTCATGACTTATAGCTCAGCGCGCGCTCTGATCGTTCTAATCTAGCAGCGAATAGAAAAGGAATAACAACAAGGCTACAAGAAAAAAAATTGGGAAGAAAGAAAGAAAAGTAAAAAGAACACGCGAGAGAAAGAAGGGAAAAGGGAAAAAAAAAGACAAAAAGCAACGAGTCAACTGCGCTGAGGTATATTAAGAGGGGGGGGTTCCATTCTCTCTCACTGTCTCTTAGCATCTCATCCCAGGTATCCTCCTCCGTTGATAAAGAAGGGGGAGGCTGTCGCAGCAGGCGGGCCCTATCTTAGGTAAAGCGGCACTCGGCAGGCTAAGAGCAGCCACAGGCGCTCGCTGCCTCTTAGTTTCGGCGGGCTTTTGGGGCCAGCCTACAGCCTCCCAGGTCGTTTTGCTGCATTTCCAGCGGCCCCCCCCTTCTCCCCTCTTTCTGGCCCCCGTAGCGGGGACACCCCGCGCTTTGGTGCTGTTTTTAGTGCAGAGTAGGATTGGGGGATGTTTCTTCGCTGCTTGTTATACTTGTTATATACCTGCCTGTGCATGGGCACTATGCTCCATTGCTGGTCGCAGTACTTTGCTTTGTGCGTTCTGCACGCTGTGGGGAAGAGGAGAGAGAAGATGCGAGAGGAGCTGCTGTGGAGGAGACAAAAGGTCACACCCTCGGAGCAGCATCTGGCGGGAGATGCAGATGACAGAGATGCAGAGCACGCCGGACCAGACCGCAAGTCACCGGCGCTGCAATCGGCATCGTCCTCAGGGGCGAATTGACCACCCCCTGGCGCTGCGCAACACGTGCGTTCACATGGAAACGGGGAATCGACTGCAATCAATGGCATCTCGGCGGATTGAAGGAGTGAGAGCGCAGACTGCCATCTACCAATGCACGTATGTACCTTGGTGGCTTGTACATGCATCGTCTGTAGGCTACTGCTGTAAATGGATCGTCGTCGTCGAGGTTTACCGCCTAATACCTACTGCGCTAAAACACAAGCAGCTACAGGTGCTAATTTCCCACAACACCCGGCCAGCATAGACTTTCGGTGCCTCCCTTCGTGCGTCACCGGGTGGCCGATCTTGGCGGCGCCTCATACCTTAATTCACCACCTCGCCAAACCCAAAGCGCAGTCCAAGAGCATAGGCACAATCGTGCTATTTTGTTGGACAAATGGCTACAGTGGTATATACAGTACAATCAATGAAAATCACCTTGGCTGCCGTCATAGCCTTCCCAACAAAGAAGGTGGTTCTTTTGCGAGAGAGAGGCGGGGAGGGGAGCGTTCATGGCAGAGCCGAAATGCACGCGAGCAGCACCATCTGACGACAATCGGCGGGCGAGAGAGACGGGAATAACAGAGTCGAGGAGAGATGGCAGTTGGGAATAATGGAACAGTATCACAAATCCACATTTTATGGGGATCTCGTCTGTTACTGCCTCTTTTCCGCTGCGTGCAGCTACTGCGCCAGTACGAGTACGAGGTTATCATGAGCCAGATACTGCACTATTCAGTCTGTATAAGTAAAATAAGCGCCCTTGTCGCCGCTGCATACATTATTAGTAGGTCCTATCACGACTTATCCACTGCGCTGGACAATTCGCCAATGGCGGATGATAGCGAACAGCAAGGGGTCCCCCCCATTCTGGCTAACAGCTGCTTGGTCTGAACAATGAACGACTGCTGCTGCCAGGGTCATGGTGCTACCTAGTATTGGTTAGCTATTCTCAGTGGTGCCAGGACTCTAGCTAAGAGGATTGAAGCGGGGGAAACGCTCTTGGGGGGGGGCAAGTTGGAGCTCTTTTTGCGGGCTGCGAATAGCTGCACGGGAACAACAACGGGCGGGAGAAACGGCGGAGCAAGGATTCTTTGTTTGCCGTCACTTTTCTGTTCTACTGTAATAGGCGCAACGTACGGGTCACTCCGATTTACGTATGCCTGTCAATGGCTCGTGACCGCTTACTTGGATCTGCTTCTGCTTATAGGCGAGAACTGACAGAAATGTTACGCTTCAGACAATCGGGGGAAAACATCAGACGGCTTCGCTCGCATCTTTTCGATTCGTTTCGCTCCGCTTCGGCCATCTTCCTCCCACCGAAATCGTGTTAGCCGATGGCAATGACCATTAGTAGTGCCCATTGCATCAGCAGCCTGGACTTGTGAGTGCTACAGAAGCTTAGCTTCTCAACAAGAACCGCTAGGCATGACTCGTGAAGGTGATGAAGAAGTTCATGATAAGCTCGTTCTGGAATGTGTACGAGCATAGTTTACCAGACATGCTCAGAACTACGGCGGCGTAGAATTCTGGGGCAGTTACACCGAAAAGAAGCCATTGGAGACAGAGTCGAAGAAGAAAAAAAAGGCCGGCAATTGGATCGCCATTGGATCTCCGGAATCGTCGCCATTTGCTGGTCAATTGGGTAGTCCTTATTCTCCTTCAATGCCTCACAATGAGTATTTGGAGTGCTTATACCGAGGATATAATATCATAACCAAGACAAACGCTGCTGCTGGTGCTGCTTGTACATTCTAGTAAACAATTGGCATTCCAAGCTACTCCAATTCAGGAAAAGTCTCCAATCACAATCAAGCTCATCCTTCTGCCAGCGCCCAAAGCTCCCTTATCTTATCACGTACCCTCTCGCACGTGACCCACAAACTCCGCTTCGGAAAAATCCAATTCCCACAGCAGGGACCCTCCCACCGCACGAAATTTCCTATTAGCGCTGGGTCGAAATTTCGAAATCCTCTCTTTTTTTTTCCTTTCCCTTTTACGACAACGAAATTTCCGATCAAAAGTCGACAAATTCATTCGCAATGGCTAAGGAAGCGCCTGCAAAGACCGGTCTGGCCGTTGGCCTGAACAAGGGCCACGTACGTCAACTCGCGATCTCACCTCGTGGAGGATCTCTGCCCTCTACCTCTCTGGCAGACGATGGACGCTGAAACTGACGTTTTTTGGTTTGTTACCCAAATATAGAAGACTACCGCTCGTGTCGTCAAGCCCCGTGTTTCCCGCACCAAGGGACACCTGAGCAAGCGAACCGCCTTTGTGCGTGAGGTCGTCAAGGAGGTTGCTGGGTGAGTTTCTATAATACCATGTTGCTGTCTTTCCAATTTTGATATTGGAACTTTTTTTTTTTTTTTTTCAAGAATTAGTTGCTAATACATGCATCTTTTAACAGCCTCGCTCCCTATGAGCGTCGTGTCATCGAACTTCTCCGCAACAGCAAGGACAAGCGTGCCCGTAAGCTGGCCAAGAAGAGGGTACGTTGCGCCATGGAACATTGCACACAAAGAAAATAGTTTTGGGGGGGAATATCATGACTAACTTTCAATCTCCTATAGCTCGGTACCTTCGGCCGTGCCAAGAGAAAGGTCGATGAGCTCCAGCGCGTCATCGCCGAGTCCCGTCGTGCTCACTAAACGATTTACATAAAAAAAATCGAGGCAATGGGAGGGATATTTCGGTAATGGCAAATAAAAAAAGAATTGAAATAAAAAGGAAACAACTTCTTTTTTCTTAAAATCAAGCACGGGTTTTTCGCATGGATTCGGCGCGGGTCATGATTTTCGATTGATTCAATTTGGGCTTTAATGCGACGGCGCAGCAACGGTATATAGCTGCGGGTTTTCATTCCGTCAGAATTTTACATTCTCCAAGATATGCCGTCTTTTTGACCCAACTGAGATACCTTTTTTTTTCTCTTCTGACGTCCAATTTCTCACCCAATATCACTCACTGTAGTTGTAAAAACCAAAACAAAATTGCCTGAATTATGTCTAAATCCGTACTATTTGTGTTCAATATTCAACATAGTTTTCGCCTCCTCGATATTGGTCAAACAAAGCGGAGAAAACGCCTTTAGCATGTACATGATGCCAATCCATCCCAATCCCAGTAGGATACAAATGAGAACACAACAAAATTTAAGCCCGCTCGCTCACTCACTCGCTCTTGTAGTCTATTTCTTCCCAAGTTTCAGCCATTTGGGCATCTTCTTTCCAGAGCCATCGCCGCCCTCCTTCGCCGGAGCTTTTTGAACCTGCGGTACCGCTGATGGCCCAGCTTTATCGTCCTCAATGGTAGGTATCTCGGGCACCTTGATGGCCTGTCCCTGCTGGGCAAAGTTGGCCTTGAGGAAGGGCTGTTTCCGGGCTTCTTTCGGCACGTCATCATTCCACACTAAGCTTACAAGGACTCTGCCTGAGAGCTTATACGCCCGGATGAGGTTGTGCTTAGGGGTGTCATCATCCTTGATTACGGTCTTGCTTCCGGGGATGACAAGGTGGAACGACTGGCCATTGTTGGCCATGACATGCCGAACGGCCTGGTACAAGAACGCGCCGGTATCTGACGGGCCAACTTGCCAATCGCTGCTGGTATTGTCTGGGAACCGCACCTTGATGAGCACAGACTTGACGGCATCAATCTTGGCCCGCTCAGCCGCCTCCTTTTCTTCAATTTCTCTGTCAGACAACAGTCTTTTGTTCCTGGAGCTTTCTAGTAGGCGGGCCTGATGTAGTTGAGCCTGGGCGATAGTGGGTGTGAAATCACTTTCGTCGACTGGGGCAAGAGCGGCAGCAGGTGTTGAGTTTGTAGGAGCGAGGAAGACATTGACAGGTTCCAAGCGTAACTGGGGATCCGAGTTATTCGTTTCGGATTGTATTGATGCTGTTGAGTCTTGTGTAGCTTCGGGAGCTGCCTCTTGCTGCGCTTCGGCCGTGTTATTGATAGTCTCGGTTAGAGCTTCAGTCATGGGTACATCTCCATCTGTGGGTAGATCTTGAGGCTTGTCCTCAGAGACGCTTGGAGCCGCATTTTCCTTCTCCTCCCGCTTCTCCTTCTCTTCTTCTTTGAAAAAGGTTCCTATTTGTTCCATCGCCTCATATAGCGTTTGGTCAGTCCTTCTGAACGATAGCCGTATTAGGACATTTCCAGAGTTGTGTCCCAGCTGCGACAAGGATTTCTGAAAGTCAGCAAACGACCCAAGCTCCCGGCCCATGATATTCAAGACTGGCGTCTCATAATATAGCTGACCGGCGCCAGAGTTCTCGCTGTTGACCGTCTGGGCCACGCCTCTGGCCGTAATATTGATGTTCTTCCCCGCGCTCGCCTCGCCGCTCTCAAACTGTCGCAGCACCTGCCATATTGACAAGTCGGAGGGAAACTTCTTGATCAGTCGGCCACCAGGGATTTCTTTGGCCTCTGGTTGGGGGACCTGCAGGGCGATTTGAACGGCTGATGGGGATTTGGACTTTTGCACAAGCTCCAGCTTGGCGCCGGCGAGGAGGCCAGAGGTGCGGAACGGTATGGAGAGATCGACTTGCTTCTGCTTGTGTCTAGACAGATGAGTGTTAGCTAGATATGCGCAGCACAGAGCGACGAGCGCGGTAGAGCTGAGGCGTGTTATACGCACTTAATCAGATACTTGTCCCCGTCTAGGCCAAGCTTCTTGCAAGCTTCAGCGAGGACATCCGACAAGTAGGTGCCGGGGCTGACTTTGATCGTGGTGCGCCTCAGATCCGTGGCGATGACCACGACGTGCGACGACATGATGTCGACTAGGCTGGGAAGCTCTAGTGAAGCTGCAATAGCCTCTGGGATCTGTGGTCGCTGTTTACTGAACTGTCAAGTATGAGGACGGGTGATTTTGAAGCTCTGTACTCCGTACGATAGTGGTAGGATACGATGGTGGGGTTGCGACCGTCTTCGCTGCCGGTATAGAAAAAGAATAAGCCCACCCACTGCAAGTGACTGCAAGCAAAGAGGAGCGAATCAACCAGAAGAAATCAAATAAGCAGGAGAAAAAGCCAAGCCTCGTTGTCTCTCAACTATCTCTTCTCCGCAGCCGAAACAATCTTCTTTGCAAACGCCCCAACGGCCAGCCAAGCTGTCCAAAGCCGATTAGATATCCAAGCAAACGACCCACCCGCCTTCTCGAACAATCCGCAGGCAGCCTCGCCCAAGGCGGTCGCACATACGTAAGAGCGCGGCACTAGCCACAGCGGCAGAAGCTCGGCTGCTGCCCGCCCGCGCAGGTTGCGCCACACAGCGGCCACGCCAGACCATGTTTGCCTGCGCTTTTGGCGTGCCGGCCAAGCGTGGGGAGAGACACAGAGAGAGCTGGGCAGCTTAGAGAGACGGCCAGCGAGAGCTTCCTCATCACCGACCAGACTGCGCTGCAACACCCTGCGATACCACGACTGCATTGATTCGAGCGACGGGTCCTCTAGGGGGAGCACGGCTTATACATCCACCTGCACTGCTGCTGTGAATTCTGAACCTCGTTCTACACAACAACAGCAAGCATCATGGTACGTGCCGTATTGTCATTGTCGTTATCATGATAGCCATCCATTGAATTCAAGCTAACGCCGTGCCCTTCTCGCCATGCAGTCTTCTCCCTTTTCGATCAGTTAGTTGTCCTCCGGTCCATCCTGCATCCAATCTCTCTGCTGACTCTTCTCCTCTCCCCCCAGACGGCGGTGCCTGTGTCGCCATGGTCGGCAAGGACTGCGTCGCCATCGCCTGCGACCTCCGCCTCGGCCTCCAGGCCCTGACCATCTCCAACAACTTCCCCAAGATCTTCCAGTACGGCGACGTCTTCCTGGGCCTGACCGGCCTGGCCACCGACGTCAGCACCGTCAGCGACCTCTTCCGCTACAAGGTCAACATGTACCGCCTGCGCGAGGAGCGCGCCATCGCCCCGCGCACCTTTGCCAACCTCGTCTCCTCCTCCCTCTACGAGCGCCGCTTCGGCCCATACTTTGTCTCGCCCGTCGTCGCCGGGCTGGATCCCAAGACCGGCCAGCCGTTCATCTGCGGCTTCGACAGCATCGGCTGCATCGACTTTGCAAAGGACTTTATCGTGTCGGGCACGGCGTCGGAGCAGCTGTTTGGCATGTGCGAGGGTCTGTGGGAGCCTGATCTGGTACGTTTTTACCTATGCTCTTCCCTCCCAGAGGACATAAACATCATCTTTTTACTTACATCTAAAACCTCATAGGAACCTGATGCGTTGTTCGAGACCATTTCACAAGCCCTCCTGACCGCCGTCGACCGTGACGCCCTATCCGGCTGGGGAGCCCACGTATACATCATCGAGAAGGACAAGGTCACCAAGAGGTTACTAAAGGGTAGACAGGACTAAACTTGCTTTTTTTCTCATATAAATACATGTTACTAGAAGAAGAAGAAGAAGAAGAAGAAAAAAACGGGATATCACATATAATTCGGGGCCTGCAAGTGACCGAAGCTGTGTATGCTGTATGAATAGCAGGGAAGAGCTGACTCGAACACGCCAATCGAGATTACGAATGCATGCAAAGACACAATGAAATAAATAATTAAAAAAAGACTCCCAAAAACATTACTTTCTGAGAATCATCCCATAGTCTATTTTGCGTCACAGTTACGTTCTATATCATGTTATCCTTACTTTGGTTTTAGACTTCTTATGCCAAAATTGGTCGTAAGAGCTCATCTTATACTGCCAGACCTTTATACGGAACGCCGATTTACAGCTTGTTTACCCGTCCAATGCCAGTCAACTAGTGAGTAATGTCTCTCTTCCTTCTATATACCTGTATGCATTGTGTATGTGTATATAATGTAAATATACCCTCTATTCTTTTTTTTTTCTCTCTCGTTTACTCCTCCTTCTTTGCCTTAATGGCCTTGGCGGCCGGCTTCTGCTGCATGAAAAATTGCCTCTCAATAACCTTGAGGATTTCGTCAAGAATACTAAATGAGTCTTGTTAGTTTTCTCTTCTAAAGTCAAAGACGAATAGAATCGAGAGCAAAAACTTACACTACAGGCGCGCTGATAATAGTGACAGCTTGCCATTCCAGCATATTCAGCGGCAAGATAGCAAACAGATTCTGCAGAATAGGCGTGTAGAGGAGAGCAAAGTGAAGGGCCATGGACAGAGCAATGGCGTATACGAGCATCATGTTGTTCCACAGTGGCAGAGTGAGGAGTGACTCGCTGGATGACAGAGCATTCATGGCGTTGAACATCTCAATCACAACGAGAATCGACAGAGATACGGTAGAGGCCGACTTAGCCATATCGTTAGAAAACATCTCGCATCCGATCTCGGGGAACTCGGCTGAGCAACGGTGGAAGCTAGAAAGCTGTCGGAAGGTGATCTGAGGACCCTCAGGGTTGTACATGAACCACCAAGCGTAACCAGCCACGGTTGCAAGACCGACATAAGTACCAATGATCAGGTAGCGCATAAACAACCAGCCACCAATGAGAGGCTCATCTCTTCTACGAGGCTGGCGCTTCATGATGCCGTGGTCGGGCGGGTTAAAGGACAGGGCGGTGGCGGGGAGACCATCAGTGACGAGGTTAACCCAGAGCAGTTGAACGGGGATCAGCGCCTCGGGCATTCCGAGAGCTGCCGTCAAAAAGATGGAAACCACCTCACCAATGTTGGAGGAGATCAGGTAGCGAATAAACTGTTGAGTGTTGTTGTAGATGGAACGGCCTTCCTCGATGGCCACCTCGATGGTTGCAAAGTTGCTATCAGCCAGAACCATGTCCGCAGCCAGCTTGGAGACGTCAGTTCCAGAGCCCATAGCCACACCGATATCAGCCTTCTTCAGAGCAGGAGCATCGTTGACACCGTCACCAGTCATGGCAACGACCTCGCCAAGGGACTGGAGAAGGTCAACCAACTTGGACTTGTGACCGGGCTCAACACGAGAGAACAGAGAAGCCTTCTTAGCCGCCTCCAGCTGCTCGTTGGGGCTGAGGTTGTCGAATTCGCGTCCAGTGTAGCTCTTGCCTTGAAGATCTTCATGCTGGCCAAAGACACCAATCTGTCTGCAGATGCTCTCAGCAGTGTTGCGGTTGTCACCAGTGATGACAATGACACGGATACCAGCATCTTTACACTTCTTGATAGAGGCGGGGACTTCGGGACGAGGAGGATCCAGCATGCCAACCAATCCAAGGAAGGTCATGTTTTGTTCCAGCTGGGCATATTGTTCGGTGGACTTGGCAGACCTGACCAGCGGGTTCTTGGAAACATCCTCAATGCTGGCAAGGGCAATGACACGAAGTCCTCGGTTACCATATTCCACAACTTCCTTGAGCAGAGTGCTCTGGAGCTTTTCGCTAAGGGGAACTCTGTTGCCGTTGGCACCAACAATGGTGCTTGTGCAGCGCTCAATGACGGATTCGGGGGCTCCCTTGACAAGCAGTTTCTTGGCTTTGCCGTTCTGGACGAGGACTGACATGCTCTTTCTGTCGCGGGAGAACTCGTAGGTCGCAAGTCGTGGCAGCCTCTGTTCGTGCGCAGTGCTGGCAAAGTGTCCGCAGTCTTCAAGGGCAGTTCCAGCAGGGGCACAGGGGCCGACCTTTTCAACGAGAACTCGGAGAGCGCCTTCGGTGGGCTCGCCAACGCTGGAGAAAGTAGCTGTGCGTGAATCATAGGCCAATTGGGCATCGTTGCAGAGAGCAGCGACCTCGGCCATCTGAAGAACAGTAGAAGAGGTGGCAGCAAGATTCTCGACAACCTGACCGTTCAAAGTAATATTGCCCTTGGGAGCAAAAGTAGTGCCCTCAACAGTGAGTTCAGTCAGATCGGTTCCGGCTTCGTTGAGATAGACCATCTTGTTGACGCTCATCTGGTTGGTAGTGAGTGTGCCAGTCTTGTCAGAGCAGATGACACTGCAGCTGCCCAGAGTCTCGACGGAGGGCAGGCTACGCACAACGGCGTTCTTAGCCGCCATTTTGCGAGTGCCAAGAGCAAGGCAAGTAGTGATGACGACCGCAAGACCTTCGGGGATCGCAGCGACGCCCAAGGAGACGGCAATCTTGAGATAGTAGATGGCTCCCTTGGCCCAGGTACCGTGGCTAGGGTCGTTGAAGTTTGGAATATTGATCAACCAGACGAGGATGCAAATGACGGTAATGACCTTGGCCAGATTATCGCCAAAATCGTTGAGTTTCTGCTTCAGGGGAGTAGGTTCGGAGATTTGGGCAGTGATGCTTTCGTGGATATCTCCAATGGCGGTGTTGGAGCCTGTCAAGACGACAATGGCCTTGGCGCGTCCAGTAACAACCGTAGTTCCCGAGAAGAGCATGTTGACCTGGTCCTGCAAGACAGCCTTATCATCTTTTACTACAGCAGTGGAATCCTTGCCAACGCTCTCGCTCTCTCCGGTCAAGATGGCCTGGTCCACAGAAAAGCTGTTGCTCTCGATGGAAACGATACGGCAGTCGGCGGGAATTCGGTCTCCAACAGCAACCGAGACGATGTCACCAGGAACAAGATCATCGGCCTTGACTCGGGATACATGGCCACCGTTTCGGACGACATTGGCTTCGTTGGCCGAGTATTCTTGCAGAGCGGCGATGGCCTTCTCGGCACTGCTTTCTTGGGACACACCGACGACGGCATTGAGGATCAGAATGGTGAGAATCTACGCGTACAAGAACATGCGGTTAGACACCAGACAACCAGTTATACCAGCCAGAAGAGAGGTTGCGAGAAGCACTTACAACGGCGGGATCGACAAATGCACTCCAGCCGCCTTCGTCCTCGAGCAAGGCGAGGACAAAGGAAACGGCGGCGGAGCCAAGCAGGATGATGACGAGTTGATCTTTGAATTGTTCTAGAATGAGCTCCCAGAGGGGAGTGGGAGGCTCTTCGGGAATCGCTACGCTAGAGTTAGCATCATGGGCATCAAGTCAGGGCTGCATCTGATATGGTGGGGGCGAGCAGGTCGGCGAAAGAGACCGCACAAGAGCTTGGAGGCTCTGGGATTCGGGGATGCGCACCATTGCGGCCGTGTTTCTTTCGAAGCTCAGAGACTTGGTTGTCAGTCAAGCCGGTCTGTTCCTTGACGCTGAAGTTGGCCAGCACCGCGGCGATGGGAAGAGCATAGGCGTTGTCCATGGTGGCGGGTTGCGCCGAGAGCGGCGGGGGCGCAACGAGATCTGGATCCGGGTCGAGGCTCTCGCTATGGAAATCGAGAGGCTCTGCTGTAGACTCTAGACTTGGGACCGAAGATGCCAAACGCAGAATCCAGGAGTGGAAGACAAACGAGAGAAGTGGACAGCAGGGCACTAGCAGGTAGTAATAGGTAATCTACGGGACAAGGCAGCGGGTTGCCAACATGGCAGATTTGTCAAGACTTTGTCCCCGAGAAAAAAAGGCTCCACGTGGTGGGCGGCAAAAGGAAGCCAGGCTGACCCGCGCAGTAACAGTTGCAAAAAAGTTCGGGGGGGCCCGCCGCTGAGTCTCACGGCCGTCGCCAGGAAAACTTCAACGTGTTCTGTTCGAGTTCTCAAGCCAAGGGGTGGAGGGCCTTTGCATCACTGCCTCGCGCGAATGGCTTGGGCTTGTCCGCCTGCGGTTAGCTTCAGGGCCGTCTCGGCAGCGCCTTGCTGGGCGGTTCGGGCGAAGCATGCCAGGGCCGAACTAGGCTCCATGCCAGGCCGGACTGTGCTGTGCACTGTCGATGCGGCGGCCGACGGGCCATCGGCAGTGTGCTTTAGCGGGTGGTATGTGCGAGACGTGGCGGCGACACAGTGCGATCTCGGATCCCGCTGGAGTGGCGGGCTTTTGCCTCTTGTCTGCCGGCCAGGATGGGATGAATAAAGGTCCCTGCATACGGTTGGTTGATGAGAGTGCCTGGCAGCATTTCATTTCGCGTCGAATGCTTGCCCAAAGTCGCGTATTAGCTCTCATCCCCAGACCATGCACAGATATATTCAGCAGGTATATATAGGGCATTGTATAGGTATGTATGTGTCACTGGTGCTTCTTGTGTCCCCTTGCCAGGCTTTTCCCTTTTTTTTTCTTCTACTGTATGCCCCTGCATCGCCAATAAGCGGTGGCAGCCTGGCATGCAGGAATGGGGATGACCAAGACGCGGCTTTCAGATTGCGGCTAGTATTTGTAAGACTGAAACCTGCTGCATGTCTTGAGCCTTGTGCTCCGTATCACTCCAGCTGAAGCCGCCGAATCCCACAATTATGCTCCATATCGGTCCGCACAACTTGGCTCCGATGCAATGTGGCAAACAACAGAACGCCCCGTAAGAAGTCGGCAGCCGGACGGCATCGGTTCGGCGGCGTCTGCCATCATGGAACTGCATCCCAGTGTGGTCATCTACATAGAACTACAACTTGGCAAGGCTGAGTCGTTCGCTACGTACTGCTCTACGGCCCTACTATAGATTACCGCTATATTGGAAAATCACAAGGAACATGGGTTTGCTTCTGGGCGCGCTGGTCAACGTGCAGCCTATCGCAACCTACATTCGTCAACATTTCCTATTTCCCCCTTAATGATGTTAATATACGTAATGGAAGATGTGAATTTCCAGATATAAGCATTCAAAGATCTTACTAGGTTGCCATTTTATACCGAACTGTGGCATTCGGAACTCTGTTTATAACACCTTCAGAGCGCCGCTGTCCACTCCCTTCCTTATTAGTATGGGAAAGAGACAATGCCCTGCCAACGGTCAACATCGCTCTTACGGCTCTCGTCAATACAACTTCTGTGTTATTATGCTATTCTCCCCGCTACAATGCCAACGACTTCTCTGCCCATATTATCATATTCCCAACTTGTACACTTTGCTATGTTTGGATCGTAAATCTCCAGCTCCTTTTGGTCTTTGGCGTGTTGGAGCCACTTTTACATGTCATTTTCAGCTTTCCTTTCTTCCAGTTCAGTTTTGACTACCATTCGACATCATGGCGCCGGCCGACTCTCCTTGTTGCCCCAGTGGTTCCAACTCGAGCTCGAGCTCTCGACGCTCGAGCTGGGCGGCTTTACTGCAAAAATATGAAGACGCAATGGAATATCGCGATGACGACGCCATGTCTGATGTTGATCACGATCAAGTTGCCGCACAAATGTCCCAGCTTGGTATTGAGGAAACCAGTGTTCCCGCGTCTGGAGGGAGAGTCAACAACCCTCAGCTTCAGACTATTGTCGAAACCATGTCTCTGAATACTGCCATCCAGGTGCCTCAGGTTACCATTGATGGCAGCAGTGTCCAGGTAACAGATTCGGAGAGCCATGAACAGCTCAAACCTCATGGCCCATTCTATAAATGGATGCGAACGATACATCGCCGAGCTCGGCATCGATCCACGCTGTCGGACGGAAGCATCAACTCTCTGCGACCGCGACTTGAGCCGGAAATTCGTAGCCGCACATCTGCTTGGAAGAGATCACACCATAGACAGTCGTCCTCTGGGTCTTCGTTTGCCTTTGTTTCGGCGGTTCGGAGTGCTAGTGCCAGTCTCGCCAGTGTCAGCGCTGTGGCACGATCACGAAAGACTATCACACGCTCGCAAGGCTTCTCTGTAACGGAACGTAGCAGCAGAGCCTCCATGACAGGGCCTCGTGCATCGGAAGACAGTAGCTTCTTAGAGAGCCACTCTTTGGCCGACCTGGCCGCTATAGAAAGATCATTGCAACGACGAAAAGTACTAGAAGAGCTTATCAGTACAGAGGAAGGTTACATTGGTGATATACGATTTCTCATGAATGTAATTGGAAAACGCTTGGATTGCTGTCATGGTCTATCTGCTGCTTACGCATTTTATAGGTATATGTCACAATCTTAGCGGCGTTGCCTTCCATTTGCGTTGGGCTACGGTCATCCATCAACCAAAACTTGACCGAGATTGTTAAATTACACGAGCAACTACTTGGCGAACTTCACAGGGCAGTTCCACACTCTGAATACACACAAATCAACATATCTCCTACGCTATCCCCATTTGCAAATCCCAAGTATCTCCATGCCAATAGTCACAGACGCTGGTCCAGTCTCGGCGCCGTACCCGAGCAGAATATGAAAGCAAAGTGGCTCTTGAAGGCCCCGGGTATGCTGGCCGATCCGCAGGTGGCAGCAGAGGTCGCCAAAGTCTTTGCGAAGAAGGTATTTGCTCGTCACAAATTCAAATTCTCCGTTTAACTAGATCTGACTCCTTCTCTCCACCCTTTTCTCTCTAGATAAACATGCTCTTCATATATGAAGAATATGGGGCAACATATGAAATGATGATCAAAGACATCGGTGCAGCCCAGCAAGCCATGCCCAATTGGGAAACGTATCAGAAAGGCCTCGAGGCCTTGGCTATGGCGCTGGGATCCTCCAAGGATAGCGAAGAAGGGGTGAAAAAGGCTCTTACAATCAACGATCTCCTTGTCAAGGTGCTTTCCTTTCTAGGTAGCCCCATCCTTCGTGAAGAGCACTAATACTCGCTATAGCCTATACAAAGAATCTGCAAATACCCTCTACTGTTCTCTGAACTCCTTAAGTGCACCCCAATATCAGACTGTCCGAATTCACACATGGAAATTGACAACACTCTGACACGGCTTCGCGAAGCAACGTCGGAAATCAACCGGGCATCGAACAATGAAGGGATAAAGTCTACTCTCGAAAAAACATGGATTCTTCAAGATAGATTAGCCTTTCCGGACAGGGTAACACGCCGCCCATATGAAAGATTGATATGCTCGACGAGGCTGACATTTGACGTAGAAACTTGACGCCGTTTCAAAAAAGCAGATACGGTCATTCGGTCACATTCATCTTTGTGGAGTGCTTCACGTCTGTTGGCAAACCAATGATGGAGTGGACGGGCAGTATTTTATATGTCTGCTTTACCGTCATGTTCTTTGCCTTGCTTCTGCAGGCAAGGTCGATCCGATATACACCATCATGGCCTGTATCAACATTGATGATATCAGAATCGAGGAGGTGGACAATGGGAGAGGTAAGACTGGCTAACCTCCACTGACTACTAAAATAACAGAGATTAAGGATAAAGCAGAAGAGGCAAACGCAGTGGCAATACTAACGGCCACCAGGAATACAATGCCACACTGCGCCATTTTCTTGGAAACTGGTATTTGAGTGCGATCATCAGTTGTGCGAGCTAATCATGACAGCTTGCACGCCTAAAGAAGAAATGGAGTGGAAATCAAGACTGGCTCGTCCAGCAAGAGAAGATCAAGAGTTGAGGTCGCCGGATATTTTTAGTTCGTTGCATATCAACGTAAAAAGCTTGGGGACCGTTTTTGGGAAGCCAGGTACGTAATGGACTTGTAAAAACGTCGCCTTCTAACTGAAGTTCAAGGAACGCTCGCCCGACGGATATCGATACAAAGGGCTACTACTGTTGGAGCAGCCAGGCCGCCGCTATGCCAAGTCATTTTGAAAAATACAAATGTGCTGCGGGATCATAGCAGCAACTCGTCTACTGCCTTGGCTGTCAATCGATCTCATTCTTTGTTAGCAACTACTATCAGAATACCGGTGCTTGCACCGCCAAGAGGCGAGAGGGCCCGGCTAGAGGCGCTCCTATCAGACGTATGGAGCAGAGAGGTCCTCCCGTTTCCTAGAATGACGGTGAAGTCTCGAGGTGAAAACCTAGTTCGAAGCTCGGCATCTACGGTCATCAGAAAGCTCAGCGTGGCCAGCTTTGCAAGCTCCTTTACAAAGAGGTCAGCCTCTTCAACACAGAAAAACCACCCAAGCGAAAATACCACGATGGAAACAACCAAGCGTTGGGACATCAAAAATCCAGGGGAGCCGCCTTTGCCCGATGATGTTAGTCTAGGAGAAGAGTCAGGTAGAAAAGCGAAAAGGCAGCGGACTACTAAGGAGGGAGCTGCAACAACAACAACACCAGCACGGAGCATGAAAAAGGCTACAGGAAGCGTTCGGCGGCGCGAAGTTCGAGGTAATAAGATCCCAAAGCGGGGCATTGCCAGCGATATACATGACATCCCTACTCGCATGGCATCCACAAATATTTCCCTGCCAATAAAGTCGGCCAGCTCGAGGGTCACGATGCCTCTTCCTGTTGACATGGAGAATACAAGAAAATCGTCTACAGAAAAGATTCGAAACTTGGGTTTATGGTCCAAAATCGGTGGAGGGAGGAATGACGCACCAAGCAGCTTCAAAAGGCTGCTCACAATCGGCAGGGATTAATGTGGCCGAGGGGAGATGGGAGATGTTTGAGGATGCAGACGCATATTGGATGTTTGTGCTGCTTGGAAACAGAGCCGTTGGTAGATGGATGGCTGACCGTCTGCAGTTTTGTTTGTAAACTCCAACTAGCATGTTTTGGGTCTTTTGTATGGATTAGCACATCATCTCTATAGGAACCCTGGGAAGCTCAGAGCCTCAGCTATCAAGTTTAGAATTAACAAATGAGCTGCGAACAAGGCCGAATTTGACGCGTGGAAGCCATGGCCATTGATTGCTCGGCTAAGAAAGAGGCTAATGCTTTGAGAATGATGCTGGGCGTAGTCATCACTGGAATGTGAAGCAATGGCGTGGGCATCACCAGGAGGAGCCGGTGGATCCAATTGAGAGACAGAAGACGATAGAAGAAGCATTCAATTGAGGATCAAGGCTGCGGATGCCCAGCTGTGCAAGAGCTTCGACTGCCATGGAAATGTTCCTGGATCGCCAGCCAAGCACGATCCACTCCAGGCTCGACCTTACGTATTGCCTGTCTCGCCAGTACCGGATACAGACATAATGAGGTCATATTGTACCCATTGCCCAGCGCCTTGTGGAGGTGCAGCGCTGGCAGTGTGAATAAAGTGCAGGCGGGATGGGGAAGCTGTTGGCCTGGTACAAGCTGCCGGTGTACTCGGTCCGCACGCCACGATGACGTAGTTGGCGATAGAGCTCCCCTCTTCAGCGCGCATCTATTAAAACTGCTGCTTCTCCCGTTTCTTCACCTCTTCTTCTTCACATTTCATCGAACTCTAGAAAAAAATCACCAATCATTTTCAAATCTCTTTTTAGCCTCACTTCACTCTAACTTTTTTCTCTCACACCAACAAGTGAAAGATATAAACACAACAAATACGCACTTTCGGCTATACGTCACGCGACTCCGCCTACCTAAATTAACCAAACGCCCACCTTTGCCTCACCACCAAACTACCACACTAGCCAAGATGACTCGCGGAGAATCTACTCAGTCCAAGGTTCACTACAAGGGAAAGCAGGAAGACTTCCTCGTCTTTGTGGATGATGTAGACACATACAAGAAGTGGCAGAGCGACAAGAGCATTCCTCCTGCCCATTTCATTTCAACCTTCAACGTATTCCTGACGCATCGGTATGTACCCATTAGCTCGCCTTCGCTGTTGCCTGTCCCGGCAGCAAATGCTCAGAGATCAGGGCACTGGTGCTTCAATCAAATACATATGACGGCGGCTAACAGTACATTTACCTACAGACAAGGAGCTCAGGGAACCTTTGACTCAGCGTCAAAGATGGAGCTAGCTGCCGAATTCGATACTGAGAACACTGACGAGGCGATTCTAAAGATCCTTGAGCAGGGATCGATGCAAAACATGGAGGTAAGTCAGCTCATTCATTACATCAAAATGCATTTACCTTGACTGAGTGCTAATGCTCCTGGTGCTTGCACAGATGCCTAGTCGGCAAGGTGTTACGAATGATTCTATGAGCTCGATGAGGGTAAAATAGATGCGCTGCTGGGAGAGGAGTGTCTCACTCAGTTTCCACCCCTTGTGTTAATACAGCGGTACTGTGGCAGTGAGATGGTGGTCTGAGTGGCCTGGAGAGCAGCATGGAATATGGATTATGGAAATGGGCTTTGATTGAGCGATCAGATGGCCTCGGGCACAAAGGCGCTCCCTCGCGAGGTATATGCAGCAAGCTGTGCCTGCATCATGTTGCTCTTCTTACATACAGTAGGAATCTCTTTACTAGGGAAATAATCAAGCATTGCATTTGAAAGTTACTATGACTATGGGGCCGCGTCCCGTCCTGCAGCAAGCCGCTATTAGGCGGGTCCAGTTTCCACTTGTGCACTCCGCTGGATCCACGGTTCGCGACAGGGCAGTAAGGCAGTGTCAGCAGATGGTGTCGCCAGGTTCTACAAGAGCTCGTACGATGTTTGTAGCAGGACGCAGCTTAATCTTGATGTCACTAGATTATTGTTTCGTGCTATCTCCCATGTGTTAGATCGAGTTTCATACTCTTTTTCATCGCGCCACGCTCTGTGGTATTTCCTCCGGAATCACCGTTACATTTCTCTCTCTCGCAAACAATCATCATAACAAAGTAAGAAAGAAAAATTCCAAAGTCATGCAACTAAGAGCCAGAAACGCAGTCGTACAAGCATATCAATAACAATAATAGTACACATATTAGCCATTTGTTACCAAATGCTAACCAATGCTGAAAACACTCTAGGATGGAAATAGAAAAAAAGAATACAAAAAGAACAAATGACGGATGCTGAATCCTGAGAGGCCCTCTTTGTAGAAGAATTCGATTTGTCTGGCTTTGGCTGGATTTCTTTCTTTCTTTCTTTCTTCCCTGCTCTTCGCCGGGGGAAGCGGGTTTCGAGTACTTGTAAATACACACACAACTCCTGGATATGCTCCCTTCCTTCCTTGCCTCTCTCTCTCTCTCTCTCTCTCTCTCTCTCTCTCCTCTTTTGTAATCGTACGGTTCTTCTTGCTCTGGCGGGTGTTTGTCTTGTCTGGTTACATGCGAATGTTCCACTGCTCTTTCTTTTCTCATTGTCATTTCCCTGCTTGAATAATTCCTCGGCATTGAGTCTCAGACTTTGCTGCTCGATATTGGTGTTCGTGGAGGTAGAGTCCATGGTTTTGCGCAGATAATCTGGGGAGGGGGGGAAAAAAAGAATCGTTAATATCTCTTAATAATAAGAAAATTCTCTCTCAAAAGAAAGGGGGAGGCAAAACATACCTCGCCTTCGCTGAATGCCCAGAAATATGCACCCATGCCGACCAGATAATACAAGCCCGGATTCGTAGACTGATACATGAGCAGACAGGCGAGCGCAGAGAGGGGGAGGATGGCGAGGCGGAATTCGATGGATCGGTGGACGCTGGTGCCGGCGAGCAGGGGGAGGGGCCACTCCAGGGCGATCATGGCGATGCCGAAGATCAGGTTGATGATCTGGAGGATGGGGAAGGGCTTGACTGCGACGTCGAGCGACTTGGTGAGGAAGTCCCAGAAGATCTTGGGCCAGATGAAGCCCTCGATGGAGGCGCCGATTTGGTCTACATTGAAAGTAGCCTTGTTAGTAAAATATATATGTGTGTATGTGTGTGTATGTGTGTGTTTGTGTTTGCATATAAAAGTAGAGAAAAGGTGTCGTGTAAGTGGAAACAACATACAAGTGGCGGCAGTCAGCATAATGAGCCGAGCCCAGTGGTTCTTGATAAGCTTGCCCATTGTTGCGGATTATAGAAAAATCGTCTTTAACCTCGTAAAAAAACGCTCCCTGTATTCCCGATCGAAACCAAAAAAAATTTTCCCAGAATCGTTTCCTTTGCTGTGTTCTCGAAAATTCTACCCTGGTTGGACCCGTCCAAGAGATAGAAAGTATATGATGCAACCGGCGGAAAGAAAAACCAAAAGTCGGCTCAACCGAATAATTCCTTCCTCGTTAAAAAAGACAAAGAAAAAAAATATAGTTATTAGGGCTTTTTTTAAAAAATAAAAATCGACAGGTACCGGACCCGCGTAACAGAGAAACGAATGATGAAAAAAGAAGAAAAGGAAAAAAAAAAAAAGGAACACCGAGCAGACTCGCAGCCGGTGACACAAAACGAAAAAGAATGGCCAGGGAAGGAACCAGAAAGAAAGAAAGAAACAAGAGCCCAAGAAGAAGAAAAAAAGGGACAGCTCAAGTCTATATTGGAGGTGGGCCGAAGCCAGAGGCCCGGCTGTGTTTCCTCCCGGGGGGGAGGATGGAGGTCCTGATCGCCCGCCTGGTGGTTGGTTTTGGCGCCGAGCGTAGACAGACGTTTGAGGCCTTGTGTCAGGTCCCCGGAAGCTAGCGAGGTGAGAAGGAGGGGGATGGGCGCTGGCGGAGATGCTAGGCCGGGATCCGTTTCTGCTTCAGCCAGGTTCGTGTAATGGGCTTGTGTTTCTTTCGTGTCCAAGCGTTGGATTTCTGAAATGAAATGCAGTGTATCTTGGCGCAATGAGGCGGAGCGAGCAAGGCCCGGATAGATCGATATCCGCCTTTGACCAAGGGTGGAGTGAACCTGAAGCAGATCTCTAACGAGGAGCGTGTTTGAGATTGTACCGGCGGCACCCAAAAGGGGGAAGAATTATCTCGGGTGCGTCCAGCAGGTAAAAAAAAAGGCCAGGGAATGCCAAATTCGGGAGGGTGTCTTTGAGTATGCTTGAGCGGTTTCACGATGCTATGCTAATCGTCGTGCTAGTATTAGCAGCTCCGTATTGCTGCGTTCGTCGCGATGGTATCCGTATGTAATAGTAGTAAGTCGTCGGCTATCGTGGTCTCATACGCAACAGGAAAAGGAAAAAAAAAAAAAAAAAAGCAAAGGCCCAACAACAGGATGAATGTGGGGGAATAGGAGCCTTGCAACTGAATCAACGCTGAAGGGGGTATCAAGTACGGATTTCTGAAGCAGTGAGAGCAAGAGAAGATGCAGAAGAGAGGGGGGGTAGGTCGGGGTTTTTGAGTATTGACTACGATATAATGGCGGCTCTACTTCTGCGCGCTGCACCATGGACGGGCATCTGCAAGTCGCAGTTGACCAGAGTCAGCCAGTGGGCCAAGACCCGAGAGGAGCTACTGCTGCGAGCTGGTCACACAAATGGCCGCTGCCTCTCGTTGTCTCTCTCTCTTGGCCCTCTCACTGTCTGGCGCTTGGTGTTGCGATTTCCTGGGTGCTGGGGATTGCAAGGCGATTGGCCTGGCCTCGGCGGTTACAGAGAGGGCCTGGGCCAATGAGATGAGAAGCCGCTTCTCCTGTGCGTCGGGGTTGCAGGGGGGGGCTGGTCCACTGAAGCTCTAGGGGCCCCTGCTACCTATACGAGTGCCAATGCCATTTGACGGGAGTACCTGGGAAATACGCAATGTTGGGCGGCATGGCTTTCATTTGCTGCTGTCGCTGCAAGGTACTACCGAAACCATCGACCAAGTCCGGTTGCTGCCATGCGATGCCACCCACAGTATGTACTTCATTCATGCATGGCACAGAATAAGCGAGAGCAGGAGGGTCGCTAGGCAATTGATCCTGGGATTGGCATGTCTTGCGTCCTGCATGCGCAGAAATGGTGCTAGCAGCCGTCAGGGCGTTCTCCGAGTCGCTAACTAGCATCTCGATGAAAACACATCGTCGCCGCCTCGATCTTCCCGGTGATTCAAAACCAGACAGCTGAGATGGAAGAAACAAAAAGAAGCATTGCTAGCGAGCCGCTCTAACAGAGGCGCGACCACCGCAGTCTCATAGCCCGCAATTGTGAAGCACACAGTGTTTGGCCAGTTTCGTCCCCGGCACCAGCCAAGCCTCTCCTCTCCAAGCACCCCCTGCTGGACCCGCCTAGGAAAAACTTGCCTCTGGGCCCCATGTTGATTCAATCATTGACGGGGTTGCTGCAAATGGGAAAAAGAAAAGATGCTAGAGAACAAAATCACCCGCTAGCGAAGATTAGCTTGCAAGTTCTGAGACCCAGAAATAGAACTGCGGGTCAACCGCCTGTGCAGCTTTCTGCGCCGGGCAGCCATTCATTGGTTTCCGATTTCTCTTGCTGCGAGATCTTGTTGTTGGTCGACCGTCCCTTTTTTCATGCAATGCGGCCTGGCTCTTTGATCGTTCATGTACGTATCATCGTTCCCGCTCGCCACGTTGACGGGACAGGCGGATGCGACATTGTGTTTGCTCGCCCTTCCATCTTCTTTTGTTTCGCATGAATCGATATAAGATAAGCTTCCTCCGCCTAGAAACACCGCCATCTGTCATTTCTCTTTTATTCTTGGCGGGTTTGTTGCTCGAGCCTAGAGCCAATTGCTCCACCAATACAGGTTCCCCTTCGTCCTACAAGTAACTCCAGACCTCGGTAATTTGTCACAATTGTCCGTCACCTCTCCTCATCACATCACTCTGCACTAGCATGGAGACAACGGCCGTTTCTCTGATAATGCGCGTGGAAGAGAGAGAAAGACAAGACTGGACCGTGCAAATCGTGGCCCTAGCGTATGGACTTGTCATCAGACCATGCCCATAGAATTGCCCTCTTCAGCCTCAGGGCGGCTCTACACCAGCGCTGATTGGCTCCCCTCCCCTCCCGCCCCAGCCAACCGGCGCCATCACAAGTTCTTGCACGTATTGGTTGACCGCCAAATCGGCCTCTTGTCGTCCAATTCTTCATAGCATGGATCGTGGTGATGATTACGAAGACCAAGATTCCACCATAGCCAGGTGATGATCAACAAGTAGCCTGGGGCTATTGATGTGAATGGACAGACATCATGGTGGATGAGATTGGCTCCATCCACGCCACGGCAGCTCATTCTCATCTCCGCCGGCCAAATCAAACACTCGCTCGTACTCGTAACAACTGCAAGCTAGATCATATTCCCTGCTGATTGAGCATGTCAAAAAAACTATCTCTGGAACAATCCATATGCCGCAATTCACAGGTTTGCCGACCCCATTTGCAAATTTCTGGGTGCTTGCGCTGCCTGCTCCCGCATTCGCATCTCCAACCGAAGAGTCGTTTCGTGGCCATTGACAAAGAATGAAATCACTCTATTACCCTCCTCGTCTTCAAGCAAGTCGCAAAGCTTCCTCCTCCCTTCCCTATCAAAGGCAAGCTGCGCTAAGCTCCCTAATCCACTCGAGATATCCGTCAAGACATTCACACGTTCGTGCGAAAGCGCCTGTCCATGCACGCAATGCGATGCGAGGGCCCGAACCTCAGCCATTTCCTGAGCATGGCTTTGGCGGGGAACGTTGGCTGTACACTGACGTCGTAAAACATCCAAGCGAGTGACTAGCTCCGCTGTGGACGAGACGGGGATTATGGGCACATGGGCCATGCCTTGCGTAAGGATGCTGAGGATTCTGTCAGGCACGGGCGCTTCCGCAGATGCCATAACCCCTGCATATGCGAGCTCTCACCTCATCTGTAAGTGAACCAGCGAGTCCACTCTTCCGCTTCCGTCTAGGAGAAGGATAATGGCCACATTTTGCCCACCATTGAGCATGGATAGTCTTTCGACCTTTGTCTTGGCCTCTGCAGCTTTGGCTTCTTCAGACGAGAGGAGTAAGAGTTTAAAGGTGCGCGATTGGCGCTGCCTTTGTGGTCCTAGCTCAAAGGAAACGTCGTGGCCGCGGAGATTTGTCTCTGGAGAGGTTGGTCGAATTTTCAGCTGCCCTGCCTCGAGAAGCGATATCTGAAGCTGGGGGCCTACAACTTGCCTTTCCAATCTAGCGAGGTACTTCGTGAGAGAGCTGGAACTATTTGCGCCCAATCCTTTCGCTGTCTGAGCGATGAACAGAACATGGCCGCTGACGGTTCTTTCGATGAATCTTTGAGGCGACAAGAATCAGCACCCAGCCATACGCCATCACAGTTGTGGTTGATAATGTATGAATTTTTGTCTATATAAAGCTTCTCTGTGTTGTATGTACCGAAAATCTGCACCCACCTCCAAAGCGGCGAGTCAGGAAGGAGCCTTTGCGCTCCATTTCACTCCTTCTCGTATAAGCCTTTATCCAAGTCCTATTCCCCAATTCTTCTCTGTTCCCTGTATCCTTTCTCTTTTATCATTTGCCCGCTGATCCATTTTTGATGTGATGTGTAAACTAATAAAAGAAAAAAAAAATATGAACGCTTTGCAGTAATGAGTGGAGTGTTGAGCCGTCTGAGGATATCTAGCCCAGCCTAACCAAGAAGCATCCAGTTCATTGTGAGACTTTGGAATTCTCTTCACTGTGAATGAACCTTTGCGATATGCATCAAGATGTGGTATTTAAGGAGCTCGAGATGCTCAAATATTGGGCATCATGCTCCATCATTTTGGTGGCCGCGGAGCCCGCATCAGCTAAGCAGCCAAAACTGATATTGCCTAGTTGCTCGGTTGCAGTGATGGTAATAATGGCTGCTTCGTCTTCGGGTCCTTCAACGCTCTTAAAGCCTCTTCGAGGGATTCGAATCGTTGCCGCTGTCTCTCCTCGGCATCTGCTAGTTCCTCCTCTTTCTTCTGAAGTTCTTCAAACCTCCTGTTGAGCTCCTCGAAACGCTCTTTGTTGGCGTCGGGCTTTTGCGACGATTTCCAGTACTCGTATATAATCAATGCTCCCGCCACGCCGAGAATAAAGGTATCGCCAGCGACATCAGCGAACAAATCTACAGCCTTGGCCTCCGGCAATGGTCGGAATTTTCGCCGCCATACGTTTTGAAGCGTGAACTTGGGGTAGCTAGCCGGCTCGGGTTCGTTCTTCTGCTTGGCCTTCTGCTTGGCTTCTTCTTCTTTTTTGAGCTGTTGCTCTGTCTTGACCGTGGGAGCTTCGGCGATTTCTTTGGCTCGTCTCTCGGCCTCGGGATCTCTCAGTAGGGCGACAGACATCTTCATGTTGAGCTGGTGGATAGCCTGGCCATACTTGGCTGCGAGCGCGCGAAATCGCGGGTGGTCATGAGCCTGCGCCTTGATGCGATTCTATGCGCGGTATATGTTAGTATCAAAATGGCCACAACAGATCCTGACAAGGTTGTAATACGTACTGCGCCATACTTGGAGACATGCCGCACAAAGAGAGATGCGAGCTTGAACAGCGGGAGGGGCACCATGGTGACGGCTGGTGAGGTTCTGTCTGCGGGCGCCGGCGCCGTCTGCGAGGTCCCTGTCCAATGCGATGCGTCTGCGCTTTTCTGTTCTTTGCCAATTGGTGTGTTAGTACTTCATTCTCAAAATCGCGAGGTTCAAGCTTCGCATGGTGGCCTAAAACCAGTCGGGCTGGACGGGCTTCGTCTTTAGCTTGCTTCATGTTCCGCGCCGGAGCCCGCGATGTTCCGGTGTCCACCGGAGCTGGCTCTCGGGAGGGACAAGCCAAGCTGCTGCGGCGAGTGCCATGTCGTTAAGCTGACTTATGGCCGCCTTGCTTGGTATAGGCCAAAGGGTTAATGCTAGTAGTAAACGCTACAATTACTGTATCCTAGTAGCATCAATAGTCTACAGCGCAAAAATGCTGCAAGATTAGGTGCCGCGCCATATCTCTGCACCATCTTCAAAGCCCAGTCTTAAGCCGCGATTCGCTGGCTTGTGACAACGCTGAAGCTCCCGGGCTCCAGGGCTGACTTAACAGCTACAGGCACAGCTTCAGTGAGAGGTGGCAACTAAACGTCCACTAAACCCTCCTCTCAGCACCTCCAAACGGCAGCTATCTCGCCGCTGTGGGGCCCCAATGGCTTTCAGTCACTCGTACCTACGGCAATGGCGGTGTGACCCGCAATAAGGCAATGCTGTTGCCAAGAGCAACCAGCTCCCACAAAGTACACAAATCACAATATGGGGTCAATCAACGGCAGGGTTTGTTCTGTGGCTGCGACTAGTCACGCTGCGCTCACCTTCTCGCATCCGCCAGCCTTCAACCCGCTTTACGATCATCCAGCATTGCTTAATGCCTTTCCCATGACTGCGCTATAATTTGAATGTTTTGACCTTGTTCACAACAAAGGCTCTCGCCACGCCACCATTCCTTCGCATGCTGTGCGTATTTGAGGCACCTGGTGAGTTTGGTCTTTTTTCTTTCTTCCTCGAGACCTGCCCTGCCTGCTTTGGTCTGGCTTACGCTATGATAAGCAAGACAGCCTCAGCTGTGTTTTGTTTCTTGAGCCCGCATACCTACCACCACCCGGCTGAGCTTTGGCCATACACACAAGGCTCTGCAGCAGCTTGACCCTCCTGCAAAAAGTGAACCCCCTCGCCTAATCGCGTCCGTGTTTTTCTAGGCTCTCCGCGGCACGTCTTCAGGCCGCTGCTGAATCCCGTAGCTTGCCCGTTCCTCGTCGCCACATAACCTCGACCAGCTCTCTCTCTCTCTCGCTGCTTCAACCATTACTTCGTCGACATGGCGCACAGGCTAGTCCCCAGGGGCGGCGTCGACATGGAGGCCTTGTCCCCTAGAGATGTCAACGCCCAGCGAATGCCCAGGGCTACGGAAACCAAGGCCAAGCCAGTCGCCCAGCTCAAGTCCAAAGATAAAGAACATCCGCCTCCACCCCCAGAAGAAGTGCTCGAGCCGAGCAGCACCGATCGCCCAGACGGCGCTGTCTACCGTGTTGGGAAACTATTGGGAAAGGGAGGATTTGCTATATGCTACAGTGGCCAGCTGCTTCCCACGAAGCAAAGGTATGCTCTCAAGATTGTCAAGAGCCAGATGCCCTCCAAGATGGAACAAAAGGTTAGTGATGCTACTGAGGACCCTTGGCCTTCAATTTTTACAAGTCCGCTCATATCGTTGCAGTTCCAAACCGAATTACAAATACACTCAAAAATGCGCCACAAGAATATTGTCCAGTTCCTAAGAGCCTTCTCATACGTCAACTGCACTTTTCTAGTTCTCGAACTATGCCCCAATGGCTCTCTTATGGACATGGTAAAGCGTCGAAAGGGCCTCACCGAACCCGAAGTCCGATTCTACTCAGTCCAGATCTCCGGCGCCATTAAATACATGCATAGCAAGGGTATTATTCACCGAGATCTGAAAATGGGCAACATTTTTCTAGATCACCAGATGAATGCCAAGATTGGTGACTTTGGTCTTGCTGCGTTGGTGGTGACTGGTAGGGACATGCAAACCATTCGACGGACGACCCTGTGCGGAACGCCAAACTACATTGCTCCCGAGATTCTTGAGAAAGGAAAGAAGGGCCATGACCACATGGTCGATATCTGGAGCTTAGGCATTATAATGTGAGTATCAGCTGAGTGCTAGATCAACTAAACTAAATCCTGGTATAATATCATAAGGCTAACGGAAAGGGGGGCTTAATATTAGGTTTGCCATGTTTACTTCGAAGCCGCCTTTCCAATCCTCAACGACAGACGAGATTTACCGCCGAGCCAGGGAGCGAGATTACGAATGGCCAAGTGCCGAGGTGTCCCAGAAATATATTAGCCAGGAGGCTAAGGACCTGGTGGCCACGATGCTCGAGGATGCTGACCAGCGACCAGATCCCGATGAAATCGTCCAGCATCCGTTCTTCTCTGCAGGCTACATGCCGGCCTCTGGCGAGATCACCTCAAAACTACGAGAAGTGCCTCCTGATGCGGATGAATATTATGCCTCGACTTTGAGCACCTCACTGCAGGTGCGGTCCCACCGTCACCTAAAGGAACTATGTCGAGAGTGTATTGTCGGGCCTTGGAGCGGAGAGAAAGCTTCGCACACGCAGATCTGGAAAGAGATGGCAGCTGAGGAAAAGGCGGGCCTAACCCCGATCATCCCTCTGGCGGACAATGTGGTCTATCGGCCGTTTGATGACTGGCTAAGGGAGCAGCACCAGATTCGTGCGAAATATGCAGCGTCTGTCTCTGCGCGCTCAGCCTCAACGGAGGGACAGGAAGATGCCACAACTGGTTCGCAAAAGATATCTTCCACCGGCCTTCTGCGACAGCCTCCCCAGAGCTTTGCAGCTCAGCAACGATCCCAAGGCCGACCGACTATTTCCACCACTACGAGGCCTCGACCTGCCCCAGAAGCTACGCTGTCGGCTACCATGTCAATCTCACAAAGCACGAGAATTCGACCCCGTCCAGACCGTCAATATACACTCACTCGTGAGGCAACCTCCTCTTCATCTTCCTCGAGAGAGGCCCTCGAACCTACTGCGACCAGTACCCGAACTATGCGCGTATCGGCAAGGACCCAGCCGCTAACAGCTCGATCTGTGCCTAATGCGCCAATTGCAGAGAGAGCAGCGACAATCTCATCCGCAACTTTGGTGATTCCTAAGAGACGAGGTTCAGAATCTGTTCGCGCGGCCACTTTGTTTAGCCCCTCTGAGACACCTAGAGTAATGCAAGAGACGAAGCCCGATGACATTCTCGACCGATTAAGCCGACTTCAAACCGAGCTCGAGCGAGCTCTTAATTCTCGTACTATGGCTATCATCTCTTCGAAAACGGCGGCGCCGCCTCATCCTCATATCGTAGTCAAATGGGTTGACTATACAAACAAATTTGGCCTTGGTTATATCTTGAACGACGGTAGCGTAGGATGTATTCTACGCGATATCCCTACCACTGAAGGCAGTAAAACCGCTTTGCTGCCCCCCGCAGGCATTTTCATTCGTAACGCCGAAAAGCATATCCTCAAAAGGCAAGACGAATCTTACCCAGATCGGCATCAACCAGTGCCAATGACTGAGCCTATCAAGTTTTTCGAGAACAATGGCGAGGCTGGCCTTTCGCAAGTCATGGTCTCTCCTGATCAATTTCGAGTGTCGGTGAACGAGGATGGCACCGCTGGGAAAATGAATCCCGGCAGAGACGTCTTCCAACACCGAAAGCGAGAAAGGATCATCCTGTGGAAGAAATTTGCTAATTACATGATTGCATATGGCCGAGACGACGTGGCCGAAGAGGAAGAGGAGGACACCACCATGTCCCCAGGGCAAAAGGGCACGCCAGCGGAGCTGGTGACCTTTTACCAGCGATTTGGAGATGTTGGCTGTTGGGTATTCGGCGACGGACACCTTCAGGTAAGGGATAAACCTTGTGAAAATGCCTATGCCCGTCGTGGTACACTAATATCTTTTTTTGTGTAGTTCAACTTCCCAGATCATACCAAAATTGTTCTAGACGCGACTGGGACCTGGTGCCACTTCTGGCATCTTCCTCAGGAAGCAGCAGAGCGTCTCGCAAACACAGGCTCTATTGGCGCCACCGCTCTAGACGATCGTGCTACGCTGTCGTATCCCCTGCAAACTCTGCTCAACTTCCAGGCCAGAACATCAGCACGAACAACCACTACCGCAGCGAGGAGGCGACCAGAGATTGACCCAGAGATTCAGGGTATCCCTGCAGCGAATGACTTCCGCCGAAAGGTTGAATTCATCAAAAATGTTGTGAAAGAGTGGGTGGCCAACGATGGTCTCGGCAATAGCTCCATGGAGAGGGAATCTCGTTTGAGATGGACTGGATACCGAGAGACGGTCCACGCAACTGCTCCCCAGAAACATGTTTGGGTAACCATCGGTGCTCGATGGGGAGACCAGCGCATCTCAACATTTGTCGACCCAGCTAAACCTTGGGAGCTGGGCGAAGAGGTAGAGAATTCAAAGAAATGAATCTACCACTGGCCGATGAGCCGAGTGTCTAAAGCTGAGGATACACAAGATCATGGTTTCTCTTTTCTCTACTCTCTCTAATGTTTCATTTACTATGCATTTTCTGAAGGGCCAGGATGATAAGCCGGCGTTAAACGGCGTCGACGGACTTGGGCTATTGAGGATTCTAATATTGGTCATGCAGGGATCATGCAGGCTGGCGTTGGTGGAGTGCAAGAGGCAGAGCTCATGTCGCTTTTTTGTTTTGTTTTTTTTTTTTTTTTTTGGAAGAGCCGTTATAAAAACTTTCTCTTTGTTTTTATTTTGAAATGGATGCAATACCCTGTTGCACATGTTAGTTTACATGTAGATACTAATCGTGTGATTGATGAATGATTGAATGACGGAAGTTTTGGGTTGGACAAGAAAAAAAGAAAAAAAGAAAAACAAACAGACAAAGGAGGCGAAAAAGGGGGAGGCAAAGTTAGGGAGAGAAACGAAACCTGTTGAATATTACGCTGCTCTTATATAGGTATTTGTTTTCTTTTCAAGAAGCATCAATTAATCGCAATATATCATAATCAAATGTACACAAACATACTTTATCAACACCCTTAAAAGGCTGGCCAAGGTGTAGTGATAAAAAGACCAAAAACTGGGCATCATAACAATATCTCCGCAGAGCTCCAACCGGATGACATCAATAATAATAATAATAATAAAAGTTATGTACAACAAACTTTATCAACTAATCATCTCATTCACTCAATCAGCGCTCAAATGATCGATCGATCGCCCGCCTATTACAAAATGTTGACGCCCATTCACAAAAAAAGAATTGCTCTCTTGCCCCCCTCTTTACCTTCCCTCTCTGTGTACACATAATCGCCTCTAAATAGTAATCGCAATCATTAAAAGCCATCAAGCATCTCCTTCTCAGCCACGAAGAGCAAAGACAAGAGTGTGAACGAATATCCCAGTTCAGTTTTGGGAAAAGGGGTAGATACAGCGGCGAATAAGCTTTCTCCGAATCATATGCGCAAGTAAAATGTGTGTGTGTGTGTGTGTGTGTGTGTGCCTTTTGTTAAATATGCGGACGTTACCCATATGTATTTCGTTATTCCCAAAAAAGAAATTAGAGAGAAAAAAAAAAAGGCACGGTATTCTTAATCCACGTCACCATTATGCCCGTAAGTGCTCGGATCACGCGTCAGAAAAGTACTCTTCGCTGTGGTGGCCGGGGGGAGGCATCGCCCAGCTGTTGGTACCACCACTGACGACATTCTCCCTCGATCCCCAGTAAGCGCTCTTCGCACGCTTATCTCGCTCAAATTCGGCCCATCTCTTCATCGTAATCTTGCTGCTATCAAATTCTCCCTTGCTCTCCCCGTGGCCGCCACCCTTCTTATCGCCATCCGTTTTACGAGTTTCACCCCACGAGAAGTCGTCAAACTTCCAGAAGGCATAGACCGGGAGAATAAAATTCCAAACGGGGAGAGACAGGAGGTAGATGAGCATCCAGACGATGTAAGACCAAGAGTGTGCGGTGACGACGACAAGAACACCAGGGAGACCAAGAATGAGACCCAGGAGCACCAATGGTATAATCTGCGGGGGGTGATGAATGATGGATGTGATAACTAAAGAGAAAAGCATCAAGTCAGCAAACCTCGAATGACTATATTCATTTTCACAAATTTCCAAATAATACTTACCGACGTAGAAGGTAAAGGCGATGGCTGCTGGAAGCACAAGAGTACCAATGAGCTCAACAGAAACAACAAACTGCATACTAAAACAAAAGGTACCACAGAGATCGCGGACCAGAACCAGCTCCATCAGGTTGTGAACGGTAGAGTTAATCCAGCGACGCCGCTGGGATAACAGAACCATGAATTCTTCTGGGACCGTAGTCTTGCAAACAGCTTGGGGAACAAAGACCTGCTTTCGCTTAGGGAAAGTCCGCAGCATGAGCGTGGTCAGATAGCGATCCTCGCCGAGAAGGTACAGGTTCTTCTCGTGAAGAGTCTCGACCACGTTTTCTGAATAGTGCTCCACAATGTCAGGATTGGCCAGAATTGGAACCCAATAGTTTTGCCCTCCCTTTGGCGCCTTAATACGATACATGCAGAAACATCCGGGTAGACAGGTAACACCACCAAAGACAGATTCAAAGGATTTAGCGAGATGATGGGAGACGAAATATTCGAACACTTGAATGGCCGACACCCAGCTGGCTCGTTTGTTGGCAATCTTGGTCTCGCCACAAAGACCCATAATATCCGGATCCTTGACCATAGCGGAAACCATGTGAGTAAGACTGTCAGGGAAAACCTTTGTATCGGCGTCTACCATGAGGAGAATTTCATAGTAATCGGGAGAGATGCCGGTGACTTTCCATAATCCATTGAACATCTCATATTCAAGCTCTGTCATTCGCTCATCGAACATGACCTTTTGGAGGAACGACATGAGAATGATCTGACTGTCACGCTTGCCTCGGTTGCCGGGCTTGGATCCCTTTTCCTCTTGAGGAGTACCACACTTGACAATGGTAATCATGGGCACACGCTGTTGTTTATCCACTGGAATTCGAGACGAAGACCCATAGTCGTAGAATCCGCAGTACACCTTGGCCATATTGTGTCGTTTAGATCCACTTGCTACGGCAACATAGGAATACGGCTTTACCAGTTCGGGAGGAATGGAGAAGTCTTTCATCATGCCTATACAGACATCCGGAGTTGATACGGTCTCGCCCGCACCGGTAATGATACCATCGCAGATAACAACGATAACTTTGTGGCTGTTGGGGTAATCCGTAGTGGCGATTGAATCGAGAGTAGTCCGAATGCCTTCTTCTCCCTCAGAGTAGGCCGTAACCAGGAGCATGGTATGCGCAAGAGGAAATCCAAAAGGCATCCAGTCAGCGGGAGGCTGAGGGACAACAGCGTCATGGATAAAGCCAGCTGGGCCGGGACCATCAGAGATAGGACCAGCGCCAAACGGGTCTGAACGAAGGAAGCTTGCGCGGCTATCGTTACCCTGCTTATACATGGGGGCGGGCGGGTACAGAGAACTAGAGCCACCTTGGCTGGCCATTGTGGTGGGAACTCGGCGAGATGAAGAGCTTCGATCCGGCCCAGAAACACCAGAGAATCGCGATGTGGTGGGTAGGAAAGAGGACGCTCGCTTGCTTCTATCCGAGGTGACAACTGTGCTGCCATCGCCGGGCAGTCGAACGGGAGCACGATAAATATCCTCAGACCAGTCTTCAATTTGGCGATTACGCTTTCTTCGGTCAGAGCTCTGAGATGTCTTGGCGGCAGCGTAGTTGCGGCTGATGAACCATTGGAAAATAAGGGCCAGAGCAAATCTTGCTCCAACGACAGAGAGAATCAAAACCAGGGCGCAGTAAAGCACAACCTTGGAAGCGATGCAGCCAACAGTCTCGGTGTCAATGGAGCCAACCTTGATAATGTCTTCGAAGCACTGCATGTTCTTCTTGTCAGACGAGGACTGGAACATGCGCGTTACATCACGGCCACGGATAGCCTTGTTAACATCGGAAGACGTGTCTCGGAGTTCCTTGAAGCGATCGGGGATCTGAACCTGGCTCTCGTTGAACCAGTTGAGAAGATTAAGGTCCAAAACGCTACCAGAATAAGCAACAAGATTACGAGAGCTGTTCTTGATGTCATCCCACGTAAAATATACATCCGCCGTGCCGTGGAGATCGAGGTAGAATGCATTTCGGGCATTCACCGAGGTATGGCACGCATAGCCAAGGTAGTATGGGATGGTCAAGTTGGGGGTGGAAGACCCATCTTGCTTAAAAGTTGTGCAGGGGAAATACCACGCTAGGTTGCCAGAATCGTCGGTAGGGACGTCAGAGCCCTCAGCAAGGGTGATGAGGCCCTTGCAGTTGCCATTAACATTTTGGAAGAGAAAGCTGCCATCGTCTCCAGAGTGCTTCTCGGGAAGGTCGTACAGGACGTTAGCACCGAGACCATTCGCCTCCAACGGAATACCCTCAGCGGCAGGATGGTGAGAATTGGATAAGTCATAGGCTACTCCGTGGAAAATCATGTACCCTCCAGAGACTTCATTTACACGCAGTCTGGTTGGAGGCGAGCCACAAACAGCAGCAGTAAATCCGAAAGTAACGAACCCGACTATGGCCATGATTGCCAAGATGATGCTGATCAACCCCATCTTTTCTCTCCAAGCTCGGCGCTGAGCTCTCGTCGGTTTGCAGCACCCAAGGATAAAATCAGGGCACCAAAAAGTCACAATCGCGCAGTAGACGTTCCAGAAGCTTGGCGGTCGGACTTGATCCTCCACAGGCTTGGACTTGCGTTTCGAAGATCGCTTGCTGTGCTCTTTTGTGATTTTGCCCGACGACTTGCGCTGCGTAGTTTTGACATTGGCACCGCTCTTCTCATGGTCTCCACTGGCCGTTCGGCTTCGAGAAGGGCGAGGGGTCTCATCGCTAACGCTCTCAGTGTTGGCAGATCGCTCTGTCGATGCCGCCAGGTTTTCCAACAAAGGGTCATTTCCTGTGGAAGACGGCAAGACGTTCATATTGGCGGCATGGCGGTGGTAGTGATAGTTCCTATGCTCTTTGTCGATGCGGTTCCTCTCCGGTCTGATGAGACTCCTCTTGCGCGTAAAGGCAGGGTCAGGAGTCCTCCCGGACGAGGGCTCGGTGGGCGACAGAGGCATGCTCTCTGTATTCACATTAGAGTTCGAAATTGTCTCTGCATATGAGGAGACGGATTTCCCACGATGGTGTCCCGAGATCGATGACGTCTCATATATACCAGCTTCAATGTCCGTGGGTCGCGTGCGTCGCGATGCCGGCGGGTTTCGATAGCTGGCTCGGCGGTTATAGTTGGGGCTGCTGGCCCCAGGCCTCTCAGGTAGAGACATGGCTCTTATACTAAGAATGTCAGTAACCAACGGCCTTGTTGCTGCGGTAGGGTGGTCTATGGATGCAACATTCCAAAGGGACAGACGACCAAAGGCCCGCCCTTGCGCCGCAGACGATGATGATTCGGTGGGCGAATCCCAGGGAATAACAAGGGAACAGACGAAGGAGGGACTAGCTGCGCAAGGCGCCGCTATCTGGCGTCGCTCTGAAGGTCGCGATAGTCGGCAGGACGGGGCAGTCTGGAGAGAGAAGAAAACAAATTGGTGGTGGGCAAAAACAAAAACAACGACTCACCTGATGAGAGGCTGTCAGCGCAGCAAACAAACAATGCGCAACACACAGCGGGAAGCAGCCAATTGGCTTATTTTGACCGAGGGCGGGTTGTTTGGGAGACGAGCGACCGTCGCCCAGCCTGCCAAAAACAGAACAGCGCTAAGCGGCGCTAGTAGAGCTCGGGAAAATAGCTACAGCCACACAGAGCCAGGCGGTCTTTAGCGGTCGAAGCAGTGCTCCGTAGTGCCTCAGCAGTGCTAAGCCCAGCTCCCACAGCGGTCCACTCTCGAACGAGCTTGAATCGACCGTCGAGAGCCGTTCAAGGAATTCTTTTCTAAGCGATAGCCCGACTAAGGGGAAGAAAAAAAAATCGCCAGAGGCAGGAGATGCAGGCGATGGATGGTTCGCAGAAGAGAGGCGCTCTACAGGGAGGCAAGCGAAATTCAGCGAGCGACTCGACCCGGCAGTGCCGTTTCGGATAGAGAGAAAACTGGAGGCGTCGCTCGCGATGGAACTGGCGCGGTCGTCTCGACAAGCTCGAGGCGATTTGCGTCGCGGCGTCGCAGCTCCGAGACAAAGCGACTGGCGGGAGAAGGGATACGCCGCAGCGAAAACGAAGGTAGGAGACACAAACGGTCTGAACGAGAGACGACGAGCGCTGCGTCCAAGGGGATCCTTTGTCCCCAGCGCTCACAGAGAAATCTGGTGCGGTTAGGGGGGAGAAGAGTTCGTTCAGCCAGCGAGACGGCCACGACGAGGAAAAAGCGCCCTCGGTGCCTGTCTGTACCTGCTATTCCTGGCGCCAGCCAGCCCCAAATGTAAGTGCGCGGGGGGGCACTTTAGGCGGTGCTAACAGCAGTCTAGCCAGATGGCCCATGGTGCTATTTGGATTAGCTCTGATTGATACGATGGGTACATCATACGGCCGCCTCCGCAGGTTCCCCGCTGCCAGGGGGTACCTGCTTAAAGCCGTGCTGCATGGGGAAGACGCATGTACATATGCGAAGCCAGGTACCTGCCTAGTCGGACCAGTCTTGCTTGCTTGGTTCCTGGATGTCGCCACTCTCTTGCTCTCATGTTTTTCTATCCCATCCCTGCGGAGAGAGGAGAGCGTCTCTTATTGGCTGCCCTTTTTTTCCGTTAATCAGCTTCTGGTGTACTGTAAGCATGTAACAGCTTGCATAGATGCAAGTGATTTGGTATGCCACACATCGTGGATGCAAGAATATAGGTATATACGATAGCATCATCTACCAAAGGACAGCAGAAGATGCTCACTCCAGTGGCTGCGCCGAGCGAGTTCTATGAACATTTTGCCGTGCACCCTTGTATTGCGTGTGCAAGATTTTAGTCCGTCTCGCTCGCCTAATCGTTCGGTCGATCAGCAGGTTTAAAGGCGTAGGGTACGAAGTACTGCCTCCCTGTACCAAGGCCATGACCTTCCACTCAGCTACGGCTAGCTACCTACCCTGGAGTTGGGAATAGGCGCCACCCTGCTTGCCTCGCAACAGTAAATGATTTGTTGTTTTTATGTTTTTTGGTGCGTGTATTAGAATATTTTTGATCAATTTCAATTCATCGCAATCCTGGCTGTGCGCCACGAATTTGAGTTACGCCACGCCCGCTGTTACACGAGCCGCCATCAGTCGTGCCTGCCAAGCTAAGCCAAGTACATAATAATACTGATAGAAGGTAAAGTTTAAAGGCAGCTTTCTCCTATACCCAAGTGGTTAGGCCTGAGCCTTGCCAGTTCTCCTTTATTCTCCTTCATACCTCCCATTTTCCTCCAAGTCCTGCAGGGCGCTATTGATATTGCACTTTCGCACCTATTCGGCAGGTGTGTTCGCAGCTCACCGCCAGCAGATACGTTGCGTGCCCAGTGTTACATACATAGATACACCAACCGATCAATGCTCTCCTCGATATCTAACCAGTGCTACGGCCCACAAGGAAAGAAAAAAAAGATTATTTCAACTCTGTACTTGATGGGCATCCGTACGGCTTACATACAGTGGATAAGCCAACATCAGAAAGCTTGATAAGACAATCAATACGAAGCACTATAGCCATGTGTTCTCCGTCACTTGTCGTGCCCCAAGCAACGGGCACAGGCAGCCGAAGTCCGATGAGAAAATTGCCGGGTCACCAGATCTCACAACTAGAACGCTAGCCTCACCGCGCCATGGTGGGAGCCGAAAACGATCAATGGCCCCAGTATTTCCATGTGACGTTTCGAAACCTTAACGCTGTGTTTTCATGGCCACGGTGCGCAATTGAAGGTCAAGGTTTGTCTACCGCCCTTGGGTATATCCACAGCCACGACATCACAAATGCGGATCGACATCGTGTTATTTCTCAGGGCCCATGATCACTGTACTTTGGCGCAAAGCCTTGCCGATGTGGCCTCTTAGACTCCGGCACATACAGGAGCTACAACCATAGAGTACAGCTTAGGACGTAGGTGCTTGTAATGTCAAGGTAATGGACTGAAGCTGCAAGGTGTGCCAGAGGGCCTGTATCTGCGTCTCTATTTAGAGCTGCAGGTTGCATTACGGCCTGGGCCCTGCCCTGCCCATGCAGGCGGCGTTACGGTTGGCGCGCTGCCCGGCACCAAGCCAGGCCTGGACTAGAGGCCTATTACCGCAAGAAAGGCGACATGAGCATTGGTCTAATGCACTCACTTGCACCAGCCCTGCTTTTTTTTTCTCTTCGTTTTCCTGTTGGCGGAATGCACCCGTGTAACGACTATTGCAGCTATCGCTAGATCAAACAGCATGCCATGGACTCCGAGTGTCGAGGGGCGACGGGCAGCTCTGCATAATATGGCGCCCGTAACCATCGTTGCGTGAACATAATATATCAGCATTTCGATGGTGCGCGCGGGTTTGGAGTGAATCTATCGTTGCGTCTGAACAATGCGGTGATGTGCAGGAGCGGGGACCGCCAAAAAAAAAAAAAAACGACCCATTGATGGACGCTCTTATTATTCCGATGTGCTGGGATAGGAGCCCGCCAAGGCCTTTTCCCTGTCAAATACGAAGGCCACTCGGTGGCCATGGCAAAGGAGACTCCGAGTCCTCATGCCGGCAAGCCTGCCGTCGCAGTAAGATGATTCGCAATGCCCCCCCTCAAAGCCAATTTACTTTCATTTCGCTCTCCTTGGGAAGAAGAATTTGCCCATGGGGTTGAGATGAGGGAGCTGGTATGGATCCAAGATGGGGCCCCATACCGGCTGCTTTTCTTTTTCCTTTTTTTTTTTTTTTTTTTTTAACGTTTGCCACATTACACAATAGCGCCAGATCAACAAGAGCACTATCAACGGAGTTGGAGTGGGACAGCTAGCTCTGGAAGATCTATAGTACCTACTTGGAGTGCTATGGATCCTGAATTCCTCGTTTTTTTCTTCTCCCGCCTACGTATCTACCTGTTAGTGGATTGCACGAGCATGAAGTATGCAGATAAAAGGAGCGCTCCAGATCTGGACAGTCGAATACCTATTCCTAATAGACCATGGGGCATTGTGACAAGTCGCAATGAGCCGTTAGTATCTCCTAGCTCACGGACTGCCCTGCTGCTAAGACGCTTTCAAGTACCGGCGAAAGCAGCAATGCTAAATCCTTACTTGTATAATTTCAACGGGAGCTACCAGCAAGCAGGGATTCAATGATGGGTAGATTTACGATCTATGCCTTGGCGTGATACTCCAGGAAAACAGATTGCTCCATTCTCACAACCGAGATGGGTCGTACAGAGAAATAACAAGGGCTCTTATGAAGTGCAGGAGTCAATTTTGGCACATGGGGCGGCTGAGCGCTGACTCGGGGAGCACAGGACGGACAGAAACGAACGCTGGTCAAGCGGGCCGTATGCGTGCCCATAGCCTTCTCGACAAGTGTGCGAGTAATTGTATTCGATCTCCGTTCCCTGCTGCTGTAGCGGCAGGGCGCTATACGAGTAGGATAGTGCTGCTGAGACGTGCGCCATTGAGATAGCACCTTGAGATTTGACGCCATTGTGCCGGGTGGGAATGTCTGGTTTGGGGCTGTCGTGTCGCCATCCAGTCCAAATTGGAACAAACCAGAACAAAACGGGGGTGCTAGCAAAGGAGGAAAACAGCCATATCGTGCTCATTACAACCTAGCAAGCAAGATCTACGGGAGGCTGCTTCACCTCGTTTTTGGTGGCGATCTATTACTTTTTGGCCTGCCTTTTCTAATCTTTTTAACTGCTAGGACTTTGATAAAGCTCCTTGGGGCTAACGTAGCCGGCAACTAACTTGGCGTCAAGGGTTCACTGGATGAGGCCCTCTTTGATGCTTCGATCCATCTCCACAGAGAAGCAGAAACGAGAAAAAAAGACGCAGGGTCTTTCAAGGATGGTCCATTGAGAAGAGTGGGAATATCACTGCTTGCTAGTAGATGATGGTGCTACTGGTACTACCGCCGGTAGTACTAGCACTGCTAGTATGAAGAACTGAAGTGGCTTCTAGGGCGCTGGGTGCCGATACGCTGGCAGATCTCGGCCGCAAAGGGGAGGTAATACGGAGCGGTACGAGGTCTGGCAGCGTCGGATGACCAGCAGACCTTGGAGGGATACGACATGATACCACTATGCCATGCCATGCCATGCCATGCCGTGCTACGGAAAAGGGGGGCCGTGTTCTGGGATAAGGGCTAAAAAATCGATCTTGGCAGCTCCTCCACGCAGACGGACAGTGCGCGCGAATACGACGACATGAACTGCACTCATTGTATATGTTACTGCTGTGACAATGGATGTCAAGGTCAGACGGGATACGGGGTTTTGTCATGGTTGTATTCCGCACTCTATTTGCCGCCACACATTGTTCCGGATTGACGCTGCCGTGTTCCTCTCGACTGGGTCAGATCCAGATGCCCGGTACAGCAACGCGGAATTGAAGAAACAATTGGTCGCCTGTTGACCTGGATGCTATTTGTGCTGGGCGGGCGTCGTCTGTGCCCCGACCGGGTACGAGCATTATTAATACGTAGCAGGATATTCCTGTACAGGAAGCAACCGCTCTGCTACGGCGTACTTTGTACTTTGGATGGACTCGAGCACAGTACAGTATGGGGTGCAGAGCGCTGGATTTGGGGACGTTGCATGGAGGCTGCGAGCCCAGGGCCGGCTTCTGTCAGACGTGCATGCATTAGGAAAAAGGCTGTACGAGCAACGACGGGACCGCCCATGCGGCGCCTCGA